AATTATGGGCTTCTCCACCATAGCAGTCTGCCAGAGAGAAAGCTCAGGATGTATCAGTGGGAACAGAACTGTTTCGGAAGGTGAATTATTCATCAGCTACATTATCTTTGGAAAGATTTAGATCTCTTCCTGGAGAGCTAAATTTACTTCACCTCCAATTCTTTAACCTGAACACTATATTTAAGAACACAGCATTACTGGACAACCTTGGTGCTCAGTGTTACTTTTAATAAACTTTTCTCAAATCTTTTTTCTCTCTCTGGTACATCAGATGAATTTAAGCTGCAGCACCAGCAGCATAACACCATTTTTAGTTTTGAGTGTAACCCTTTCTTCCATTTTCCCCCAAAGCTTGTCTATCCTCTACTGACAGTGATTGGCAGTAAGATATATAAGTTTTTAGCACCTTTCTACGACCGGAGTGTGGTAAATTCTTGATCCTGGTGGCTCAAAGCCCCATGACAGGCAACCTGATCACACATGTCATATCAAAAATGTCAGTCTCCATCTCAGACTGGTCTTGAGAGTTGGCGAATAATAACAGCTGCTGGGCCCTGGTGTAAGAGCAGACTTGAGGAGCTACTTGGCCCAATCATCTCTCAAGAGCAAAATCTTGGAGCTGGTGGCATCTTTAAGCTGCAGATTACAACAAAGACACTTAAACCAGAAGCAGAAGTGACAATGTCAAAGGCTGAGCCGTGTATTTTAAAAGGTGTGTCATCTGCAAAGCCCTGAGAAGGAGGAGCGCGCTCAGGATGCAGCAGAAGTCTGATATGCAGCGATTTGTAACAAATTCGAGTTGAATGTTTCCGCTTGGCTATAAACTAAAACACTCAGTTTAATGTTAATTAGCATCGCACGGAGGTTAATGACAGTGCGTCGCCATGAAAGCATCACTGACTGTGGAAACAGAGTTGCTTTTTTTTCCCAAGCTGTGCACATTAATCATTGTTGAGTAAATAAATCCATATTTAAACTAGTGTTTTGTGTCAACTTGTTCATGTCAAAGACCCGTCATCCTGTTTGGGTCCAGCTCACCCAATCAGAATTCTAATTTGCATAACCACCTGTTCACTTTAAATAATCCCGTACATGAGACATTCAAATGTTTGAACAGGACTGCTTACATACAAAACAAAATGCATCATCAGGCCATTCTCCTGTGGTGTGAAAACAAGTGTCTGAGACAAACTGTAATCACCTCTGGCAGTATAAATGACAAAAAAGAACTGAGTGACAATTTTCAGGATGGATTAAAGAAGTTTTTTAACTCCTCCACATGTAGAAATCTGTGCATTTTTGGGATGTGACAAAAGGTTGACTGCAGTGTGTCTCATTTACTCAGTATCTAAAACAGCAAGATCTATCTGGATTAAGTTAGAGGGGAATTCTGCTGCACTCTTAACACCATGTTACCTTAGTATAACTAACACTACCACTTCAGTGTATATAAGTGGGTAGATAAATATTATCTTCATAGTGTCTTTTAAAACCTTGGTTACAAAATTCTTAACAAAAGGGTGAATCAACGACACAAAAATACAAAATAACAGGAAAATAATTAGGGAGAGGAAAAATAAACAATTAAACCTATTAAACAATCAGTTTAATAGGTGATGTCAGAATCAGGGTACAAAGGGTGCAACCATTACATATGTACTATAACATGTGGGGGAGTAAATGGGAGTATTTTGATGTTAAAGGGGAGTAGACAGAAAGTTTCCCTAGTAGTACTCCGGGACTTGAGTCATGTGTAAAAATTGTGGGGGTTTGTGGATGATTGGAGAAGTGTTTTTGAAGAACTTGTAGGAAATTGGGGGGAAGTTTGTTGGAAGTTTGTGGGTGGGTTAGAGAGAAATAAGACGTGAGATTGTGACCAAGAAAAAAAGTCAGTTTGCAGTGAGTGAGAAGGCAGTTTGTTGGGAGTAAAAGGGGAGTGTCTGTGAGTAATGTCGATAGAAGAGTGTGGCTGGGAGTTTTTTTCTTTTTTTTTGCAGGAAATGTAATTTGATTAATCTTTTGTTTACCTTTACATTTTTTCTTGCTACAATTTTCTCTAAATTTCTCTCTGGGTGGCATTTAATTATATGCAGGCAAACTGTAGGACACATTTTGCAAACAAATAAAGCTGCATCATTCTCCTAGATGCTAAATTACTGGATGAAGTCCAGACTCCGAAGCTTTCACCTATTTGTTTCTAATGCATCATCTCTAATCGTCCTGTCTGCCATCTACAACCAGTCAATACGCCGGGCATCCTTATCAGTTACGCACTGAATCCCAGTCTAATGGTGCACAGCTGACTGAGCAGGAGGCAGCGGGATCAGGTCTGACTGTATGTTCTCCTGAATCCAACCAGAGCAGAGACTTCATCATATAGACACATTAATAACTGCCACAATGACTCAAATGACTTATGAGCTTGCATAAAAAAGTATCATCTTCCAGAAGCGGTGTACTGTATAACATAATCAATTTCAGGAGAGCACAAATACATGCCACTTTATTATTACAAATAATAAATGAACATTAGGCAGCTGGTAATGCAGCCAATTTGTCTTTCTGAGGCGCGCTAATGGCGCAAAACACTCGGCGTGAACTCTCCACAAAGAACTTTGGGTATTCTTGCTCTTTCCATTAAATATTGAAATGCAATCAGAGTTGTAATCTTCGCCTGCAAGTCTCGCTAAAGTCAATGGTGCTGAAACAACAGGCACCCAGTTCAATCTAATATCAATCAATCATAAGGGCTTGTGCTCGCTGGATGAAAGTGCTGAGACAAAGAGAAGGAAGGACATTTTCTGGGTGGTGTATAAAAAGCCACTGTATATTCTGCACTGCGGTGACTGAGAGCTGATCAGCTAAACGTCCCCCATTTCAGCCTTTGTATTAGGAGCAGTATGCGGACACTGCTTTGAACTGTGTTTGACCTTCCATGGATCTATTTGCTTGTTCTTTAAACTCCAGACATCCTTGTCTGTGTGCTCATTAAATATCCTCCCATCAGGCCTCAGGGTCAGGGACGCCGGGTTGAGCCGTCTGAGTTGTCTGCGGTGTGGAATACCAGACAAGAAGACCCCCTCCCTGCCTGTCAGACAGCCACACCTTCACACACACCCTCCTCCTACACTCATCTCTAATGAAACAGATGAATTATTGCAGCGGTTGTCCAAAGTTGAGCGGAAAGTGACGTTAGCGAGAGCCACAATAAAAGAGAGGGGTGACTTTATGCTTTGTGCTCAGCATGCGCGGTGGTGCGGCTGAAAAATAAAACACAGGACAGGGTGTAGAAAAAGAGAGAAACTGTACACAGTACCACACACACAAACACGCCACAGCGCTCTTTCCCTCCCGATTGGGTGGCCCAGTGAAGCCTTGACATCGTAAACAGGATTTATGTCATTTAATTAAGCTTTTGTACAATTACTGTTATTTACAGCTGCATGGAGCAGGCAATGGGGAACTCATGGCTGTGTGAGCCAAACGCAGAGCTCGTAATTTCTGTCCTTTACTTCTTACTGTTCCCAAGATATGAGAACAACACCCCTGAGAATGTAGGCTACATGTATGCTAAGGTGTTGCTGCATTTCTAATGGATTTCCTCTCCCTTAATTGTCAATCGTAATTCGGAGCCTGAGTATCCTACATAGCTGGCTTCCTGGCTAAATGTTTATCATCCTCCTAAAAATCTCTATATTTTGGGGCAAATTTTAAGTCCAAAGCTTTTACCTCTCGGGCAACAGTAATGCTGACATTCTGCATTTTCAGCTGATCTCATCTCCTATAAATGTACATCTTTCATGCCCACCAATCTGCTCCCTCATTTGAGAGGAAATGTGAGCCTGACATGTCTCATAATGGTGATGAATTTTCCCTGCTTCTTATAGGCGTATACTGCTCTTGCTTCAGCTTTGATGTTACAGTGCCATCTACTGTTCGGCCTAAAATAACTCAGCCTGGTTTGTGTTACAGATAATATATAAATCTAACCATGTGATTGTGTGTAGCGTGTCTGTTTGCTCTGACAACAGCAGAGCCTCCCCTCTATGACAACTGTTCCCATCTCTGTGTCAAACCCTGTGTGTGTGAGTGTGTGAGTGTGTGTGTCTGCTGGCTCTGTGCCATATGGCAGACTCACACACAGACACACTGTGACTGTTGGCATTGTTCTCACACCAGGGGTCTCATCAACCCAGGCATTGTGAGGCAACAGTCACACATAAGCATTTAAAAATGTATCACATTACATCCAGAGGAAGAGATTACCGGACAGGGATCCTCGTGAATTATCTGTCATTGCTTTCAGAATATTCTTGATTTAATTTAGCACATAAATGTTGCCTTTTTCCCCTCTCCGGTCTAATTCAGACAAAACATCTCTTGTTTTGGGTTTACAAGCTCTGACCAGGAGAGGGGGCTTTACACACACTTTTACAACCACTGGAGGAAGCCAAATCATGAGGGCAGGCAAGTCACAACATATTTCTGCCAAATTCATACATACGAAAGATATATTTAAAAAAAAAAAAAACATGGTGTTAAAATGTCACTAGGGCCAATCTGCAATTTTTTAAACAAGCGTTTAGACCATGCTATTTAAAGGGATATTCCGGCATAAAATTAATTTAGGGTCAAACACACTGTAACACCGAGTTAGACACCCCCTCGAGAGATGAATGTTGTCGACCACTTACTGATACCAACTTCAGTAACGACCCCAAGATAGCAATACACAGCACTCTGAGGAGCCATAAACAAACCTCAACCAAAATCCCTTTCTATAGCCACAAATAATGCTCAGAACAGCACCTAACTTCATCAACAGTACATATAGGGTCCCAGCCACAGCACTAGCCAACATACATCTCTTTAACTTTGCCTAATTTCTTTAGCAAAGAGGCTAAACACAACTCACCCTCTCTTCCAGCAGCCCAGCCGCTTGTTTGTAGCAAGACCTCAGACGAGTCCATTACAGACTACTGCGGGGTGACGCAGCTCAAGGAACATTTCTGCTAAGGCAGAAGAACTATCGCGACTGCAGTGCAAAATGATTAATATGGTGAATATTACTTCAAGGAAATAATAAAGTAATAATCATAAATGTTCTTCCTTGAGCTGCATCACCCTGCAGCAGTTCGTAATGGACTGGCCTGAGGTCTCACTACAAACAAGCGGCTGCTGGAAGAGAGTAGGTGAGTTGTGTTTAGTCTCTTTGCTAAAGAAATTAGGCAAAGTTAAAAAGATGTTCGGTGGCTAATGCTGTGGTTAGTACCCTTTATGTACTGTTGATGAAGTTAGGTGCTGTTCTGTATTTGTGGCTGTAGAGTGGCGTTTTGCTTGAGGTTTGTTTATGGCTCCTCAGACCGCTGTGTATTGCTATCGTGCGGTCGTTACTAAAGTTGGTTTAACTAGAGAAGCAAGTAGTCGGCAACATTCATCTCTCGACAGGGTGTCTAACTCGGTGTTATGGTGTGTTTAACCCTAAATTAATTTTACGCCGGAATATCCCTTTAAACACCTGCTTATACTTCTACATATAAATCTAAGTATGAGATTAACATTATCATCTGTCCAATCCTCCTATAACATTAACATGTTATTTGCATTTCTTGTTTTTGCATTATGCCCTCTAATCAACCCATCTGAATTGGATGGGACATGAAACTAAGCTCAGAAATGCAACAGGCCCCCGGGGCGCAGCACACTGAATGCAGAGCTTTACTTCTCATTATATTCCTAATGAAGAAGCTTTTGGATGCAGCTGGCCCGGGGAGGCCTGTGTGATAAAAGAAAGTAAGAGAGGAAAATCAAGAAGCAGATGGGAGACAGAACAGAGCAAGATTAGTGAGCTGGGATTTGCAGTCACAAGACAAAAGTAGCACAAAGATAAAGGATGATGTGGATCTTTCAATGTCATTCTCATCCGTGATACACCAAAACATCAGTACCTCAGGTTCACACTAAACTCCAATATACAGCACATGTTCTTACTTACACTTAAGCTGATTGCTCTAGTGAGTGAAACTGAATGAAAAGCACAGAAACACCTTCTTTCATTGCATTGCAGTGTCTGTGAATTTCTCCAGTGTTTTTAGAAGTGAGTGAAAGGACGGATAAAAATAGTTCCTGTCTAGCCAGTAATGATAAAACCATACCTGCTGATCCGGAAGCCAACCCTTATCCCCTTTGAAGACAAAAAGAGCTTCTCTCCTATTCAGTCATGCACAAAACACACGACTGAAGCCTACAGGGAGCCGCTCTTTACATTGTTCTGAACCCGTAGTTTTGATCTCTGAGGCCTGTAAGGTGTGCCAGTCGAACAACTACACTTTCAGTCTATCAAAATGCAACGCTGCAAGACTTGTAATCCAAGTTTGCAGGGACAATCCTGTAATGAGGATGCAACTCCAGTTCAGAGGCTTTGCATGTGCACTAGCTGCGTGTGTGTCCTTGTGAGAGGTAAATGCTGAGGGGAAAAGCAGTGTTTAATTAATTGCAGAACAAGTTTAACCCTCAAGCAAACAATTACGCCTTCCCCTGTTTAAGCAGGATCCTTGGAAAAACTGCCGCTGGTGAAAAAACAAGCTCATAGCTGCAGGCTCTCTCTGATATAACTAAGTTTAATCGTCAGCATCACAATCATTACACAGGCTGCACAAAGGCTGCAAATTCAGCCGCCTGCCAGAGCTGATACAAACCCTTGAATAATTCATGTTTAACACCAAAGTTAGGCACCTGAGATTTCAGATTTTGCAGTTTTTGTGTCAAAAATGTGACTAAACTGACTAATTATGCATCATTTGGGTCAGAAAAACTAACAATTAGAAGTTGAAAGAAGTAGCTTCCTGAATAAAAGAGGATATTTCTGGCTTGTCTCTGCAGGAACACATGGGTTAAGTGCTGAAGATGAATATCCTTCCTCTTCTAATGGCTTGTCCTAGATTCCCCCCACCTGCAGTGCCCTTATTTTTCACTGTAGTCTCTAATCCACTATCGCTCTTCCACTTAACGCAAAACAAAGCCTCCAACAGTGTTACTCCAGGCGGCCCATGGGAGCCGCATTGTTGAGACACAACTTCATCACATTGCGAGTAACACACTTTTTACGGCGTCTATTCCAGGCTGAGGATTATGCCGAACAGATAACAGACACTCACCTCTCGCCTTTAAAAACTCTGGTAGTCTAGAGTGCAATCCATCCCTTAATGTAAATTTGCTTTTGCATTATTCATGATGGATGTACGTTTTTCAGTGGGGATAATTTGCGTCTTATCGAGCTGCTTATATGATATGAAGAGCTTCACAAGGAAACTGGAGAGCCGACATGGCTGAGGGGATCAAACACAATGTTTCTGCCAGATAAGGTGAAGTCTTTGTATGTGTTAGAAGTGATTGTCAGATAGTTCCTACCCGCTGTGTGACTGTGTCCTATTGCATAAAGTGGACTTTTGATCATAAAGTGCCCTCCTATCACTGCAGCTTGAGTAAATATCACACAAGGGGAGAGATACATCTCAAAATACAGAATGTTTTTTTCATTGGATACATCACAGTGTTTGCTGAGCTGTAGTCGAATCATAGAGCCTGGAGTTTGAGTCCCAGTCTGAGCCACCATTAGTAGTTAATGTATGTAGTTATTATGACAAATTATGGCTTTTTCATTGTATCTGGATTTTGTGAAGCTTTGGATTTATTCCTCATAACATCTAATTTTAAAATTAACAATATTTGTACTACGATGTTTTTCTCCTAATTCTAGGGAAATCCTACATGTCGAAAAATATGGTTTATTATCCAAAACAATGAAGGACAACAAAAAAAAGAAGAATATAAACTTGTTTTGTTTAATTGCCTCTGTCTAAAAAAGGCTGGACTGTGCAGGAGCCCAAAATGAACTTCAGGTTTAAAGTAAGCAACTGAAAGGAGTTTTTTAAGGTTATGAAACAAGCTGAAATGAGCAGTGATATGTTAAACATATGATAAAAAAGCAAGTGAGATTATTTTCAACAAGAGTGGCATTTTCTAAAGTGTTATTTTTAACGCCTGTGACTGCTGCAATACACAGCATTGGTGACTATTTCCACAGCAAATACTCAAAGGGATTATTAGATTTCACAGTAGAAAGACTAAGGGAGAAGAAGTTTGTCAAACAGCATCACTTACAAGGCAACAAAATTAACACACGCACGGACAAAGTAGGTTTACATGCTGGACTGGACTTTTAGAATGCATGTCAACACATTAGTCCAAAATAGGGCTAAGTCAGACCTCTCATAGACAGACTAACATAACTGGTCAATGTGGTTGGGGGTTGATTAAAAAAAACGCAACTAAAAAGAGTAACTAGAGCAGGCGCTGTGCCACCATTGCTCAAGAATTTAATGCAAGTACACACACGCAGGCATATGCACAAAAATACACACAACTGCTCTGTATACACACCAATTGGGCAGCAACAAACAGCCACAGGGGGGACAGATCAAGCAGAATAAAACAACCCAAACCTCGACGTTGAGCAGTGGGAGGGTTACGCAGGTGATTATAAAACACAGTCAGCTTAAGTGCAGGATTTGCTGAACATAACACAGATCAATAAAGACATGCTGTGTTGCTAGATTGTTACCTCTGGGGATTCCCTTTGTTGGCGCAATCAACTGTCATGGTCTTTACAGCTCCATCGCTGTCAAACTAAACATATAAAAAACAATCTTTAATTGCACGTGAACACGTAAATTGATATTGTTTTACTCAAATGTGCATGGAATTATATTTTTACATTCATGGGGAACACTCTAGTTTGCTTCATCACACAGCAGAAGGAAAGGCTGTCAGCTTGGATTCAAAGCAGGGTCGGTTTATTTTAACTCCACAGCCGACTCATTGTTGAGTCACCTTTACATTGCTGTCTCAATTTATAGCCTGTCATAAAATCATGACCGACGCACTAAAAATTTATAATACAGAAATTCAGGGCAATGAAGCTGCTACAATGAAAACAATGCAAATTAGAGAAACACTAGCTCTAGGTGCTTTACTCTCCTATCCAGGCTGATTCATTCTTTATTGATGTGCGCAGAACAAATACCCTAAAGCCACATATTTGGATAAGACGGAGAAATCTGTGTTGCATTTGAGGAGTTGCTCAGTCGTGCTTAACAAGCAGATCATTTTGAGAGACTTTTCCTCTGAAGACAGCCATCTGAGAATTAAGTGAGGTCCTTAACTCCTTTCTGCTGTCCTGATTTCTCATTTTGTCTCACGGCAGTATTGATCTGAGAATCCTGTTCTGGGGTTCAGGGAAGGATTCAACAGAAGATTACCGATGGAAGGCTGCTTGGGAACCACCTCTCTGCTGCAAATAACACTGTTAAAACACTCAGAGGGGGTCAGTGTTAAAGACTGCAGCAGTGGGAGGATGAACTGCCAGTTTGATGAATGTTGCAACTAGGACTATAGAGTCTGTGGTCATGTTACCCTTGGAATAGAGCAAGTGAGGTGTGAATGGTTAACAGGGTCAAACACACCTTTACCTCCCTGCTCTAATAATATCCATCTGTGTTTTACTGGAAATAACTCTATCACCATGTGGTTTTTTGGACTGGTTAAAAAGATTTTTTAAAAATCACTATATCTCGAAGCCAAAACATTTAGAGTGTTAGTCATTCATCCTGCTTCCTCACTGTTGACAGATGATTCATGAGTCAAACTATAAACATTTTAATTCACGTCAAAAAATATAGATTCTGTTGTCATATTTTAGTCATGCTACAATGATTTATGTTTCAGTATTTATTTATTTTATTCATTTGACACTATAAAGAACAGTAGAATATCAGGATTGACAGCTCAGTTTACTAAGTCTAAAGAAGAACAGCTATAGACAACAACTACAGCAAAATTCTGTGTAGCCTATAAGGTCCACTTTTACCATACTTTCTATCATCTCAAAGTTGAGTTTTATCCCTGTGGAACTGGGTGGAACTGTGGTGTACTGACAATCAAATGAACTTTGTGGAGCGCTGATTTGATTGAAAGACTCCTCAAGTAAACACAACAGGTGACAAAGTAGGGGGGCAACTCTCTTCACATTGGTCCCCAGCAGTGGGTTCATCCAAACCTCTCTACTCTGAAAGTGACCACAGGCTTAGCACAGGCTAACTTCAGCACTAGTCGTGAGCAGGATGCTGGAAACAGGCAGTACGAGGTAGAGCTACACAGAAGCAGCACATTAGCTGTGTTTACATGGCCACAAATAATCGGAATAAATGCGCGATCGGAATATAAATGCGTCATGTACACATGTCGATCGAGAGATTATGATCCAATTCGGCTCAATCGGAAACATATTGTATTCGATCGAATGGGTTGGTTTATGCCGATCGTTAATCCGAAACGTATCCATGTAAACACGTATTCCGATCGTGACTCTCTTACCTGAATCGATCTTCACGCTTTAGCCTTTGGTTTACTTATTGAGGCCGGTACAGGGGGTTTCATTGGGATGAAACACAACCGCATGTACCGTGTCTGTTCTTCCGGTAACATAACAAGAGGTACGTACAGCGTAATGATGTCACATGTGCACGCACGGTGGAACCTTTGACAAAACAGTAAAATAAGTACGCAATGGCGCCATCTAGTGACAACATTTAACAGGGGGAAAACTGCTGAATTGGAGGGAGTGAGCTACTACGGCAATTGTTGGTTTGTTGACAGCACAGACGTAAATAGGCCTACAACTCTTCTTCTGCGGTTGTTTTAGCGAAATCAGACAAGTCTGCGCATGTCCAAATACTTAAAGTCTAGTGCATGTATATGCACGTCATGATCGGATTATTTGATTTGCACCCATATAAACAGTGGATTCAGATCATCCGATCCCTCAAATTTTTAATCGGATCAAGAAATTTGGCCCATGTCAACGTAGCTACTGTTGAACAGCACATCATCACCAGTTCATTATGTCAGCACCTGTCATAGGAGTGTCTTAGTTTTACTTTTGGAAAATGTCATGATTGAGGATGTGTCATCTGTCTTTATATACTTTCAGCTGTCAATTAAAATGGTTATATGAAATATTAAGATTCAAGGGTAATTGCCTCCTTCGCTTTTTACCAACACAACAAGGACTCTATAGTAAATATTTATTAGAAGCAGAATAACAGACTATTTAAATTCTTCCATCTCCAAACATTTATGTGTGTTCAGTAAAATAAAATCTGAGGGGAGAAACATAACACATTAACACAGTGTATGTGCCAGCAGCCCTGCCATGACCACGCTTTCTCTTCGCCATATGTGGTGAAATTACGTTCTGAGCATGACATATGCGTTCAGGAGGCTTAGAGCCACAGACTGTTGTCCTGTCCTCTCCGTGGGAGCACATGGTGCGCTGCTGTGACAGTCAGCGTTGAACATGTCTTTGGGGATGCTCCATTATTTACACTCTGCCTTCCTGTGGCCCAGATGAGACATGACAGGAGCCACAGGAAGCTCATGAATTAAACAGAGGGGGCCTAAAAGCACATGGGGAAGGTGGAGGGTGGAGGGTGATGGAGAGGCCTGGGGGAGACAGCAGAGCACCAGGGCTGGCAGCAGATTGCGACGCACATGTTGCCATGACCTGAGGGGGTTGGAGAGAGGTGAGGAAGGGACACAAAGATGCAGAGATAGAAGCAAAAAAGATTATTTTAATTATCTTTTAATGAGGTAATGATGAGAAATGAAGAACATTCTAGATAAATTTAGTGTGAGGCTTTAATTTGCACTGCTGTGTGATAAATATATCAGCAGCAGGGTGATGTCATGCATTCAGAGGACCTTTTATGATGTCTCAGCTGTTGCACAAATAGGTTGGGCAGCCATGAGTAGCTTCTGGTGTCAGCCTGTGTGTCCGGATGGATGGATGGGATAACCTCATTTGGGCTGTGACTCATCATCTGATGCAGCAAACCAATGCACAGTAGCTGCTGGCAATAAAAAAACAAGCTTCCTCTTTTAGTGAAGTGGTAAAATTTGACTAATGGGTATTGAGGTCGCGGGCGCTGGTGAAGAGGAATATGCAGAGAGTATTTATCCTTGTGTGTTTATAATCATACTAAATGTTATGAGGATTAACCCATGTGTGGATTAGAGTGGAATTGTTTGCTTATCTGTGTTTTTATGGCTTTCTCTCCCACACACATGCGCTCACACAGGCTCAAGTCCACGTGTGTTTTATGAGTCTGATATTTGTAAGTAACTTTTTACAGGAAGTGCCTCTAATGACAAACCCATTTTATTGGCCCCCAGGGAACTGCTGTCCATCTCTCGTGGCAACCCCAGACGGGAAAAGGAACCGCCCAGACCGTCGGTGCCAGAGTGATATCATCTGATCATCAACCTCCAACACGGGCGCTGAGCCACGTGGTGCATTTTCATATAGTGGAAGGTCTTCATCCTTCACTCTCCCTCTTTTATACTCTTGGCCTTTTATCTCCAAATATTAATCCTGCAGAACAAGTGAAATTGGCTTGTCATATAAAATGGGAAGTTGGGAGTGTTATATATCTGAATGGGTGCCAAGTGAATTAGGCTTATTAACTTGAATCTGTAAAATCTTTTTTTAAACCTCAGGCTGTATGTAGCTTTCTCTTATTGATGCAGTCCATTAGTTGTAACAGTAGTCTGTCTTTGGAGTATCAGTTGTCATTCAGCTTGTGCCTGAGTGCACTTAATTCCCTGCAGAGCCCATCTGGACAGGTTTGCTTCAAAAAACAAGACAAGCAACAACAATATAGAATGTAGATGATTGGTGGACATTTATAGTCATTTTAATGGTTTTCAGTAAATGTTTGTTTATTTTCGTGTCTATCTACAGGTAAAGAAATGCAAATAAATACATTTATACTTACCACTGTAGATAGTGAGTGAGTGAAGTAGTGAAATTATCAAATCTAAATCTATTTTCTCTTCGAACTAACAAGGATAAATGAACTGATCTGCATAAATGACACATTTGTACCAACCATGATAGTTTTCTTGGATCCAGCTATTTCAAAATAAACAATTTTATACATGTATTAAAAATGATCAAAAAGCCTCTCTGTGTTTCTGTTAACATCAGCCACTTAGGGTCACTTTCTGTTTAAAAATGAGACGGATAAACAGACTTTTATTTCTTTCTTGCAAGCTTTGTTTTGTGAGTATGAGAATTAAGCATATATTTGATACCAGAAGTTAGCTTCGTAATTAGAAATAATAAAGAATGGCATTTATCCAACACATTTCTGACACTGCTTTGCGAATATGAGATAAAAAAAGAGAACTTTCACAATGCCAGTATGCTTCTGCAGCCTTAATACGTTTATGATGTCTTCTGCTGTATCAATCAAATCTCTGATTCGACTCCTGTTTAGTCTCTTTTGTCAAAATTGGCCCCTTATCTCAAATCCCAAACTTGTGCACGCACAAAGCTGCTTGTTTTCTTCCACTGTAAAAGAGTGACTGAGGGGACCATGTGCTCGCCGTCCCCACCCCCATCTCACCACCACTCTGCCCATATGTGCATTCGAAGTGGCAGCTGCAAACTCCCCCACTTGCCCTCTGAAAAAGAAAGTGAAAAACAGGCCCATATCCATGGCGAAAGTAGGAGAGCTTTACTGGTCAGAGTGTGTCACCCTGCCACTCTGAGTGTCAGGAGGAAACAAACAGAAAAAGCATCTGGTATCTTTTACGTTGAAAACAATAAACCAGTAAAATATAAGAACTCTATTATCGGCTGTATTTATCAGTAACATTCAGCCATCATTTCGTGCCGCTTTGTAATTGCATTGATGCCTTAATTGTGTACATGTGTGCTCATCCCACCACATACACAAACAACCTGCAGTTATCCACAAATAAAGCCCCGCAGCGGCCTCCCCATCTGGCTCCTTTCTCCAACTTCCTGTGGGAGACTGCAGGAGGTGCAGAGCAGCAGACTGTGCCATAGTCTGCTCAACACATTAGCAGCTCACTGACACAGTGAGTCCAGGCTGGGCCCATATTGGACACATTGAGGCAACGCCAGCCAAATCTCATCCAGCACCAATTAGAACATTATGAGACAAGTGTGCGGACAGGGGGACAAATGCAAGCATGTGCTGCACACTCCGACACAGATATGGAGCGTACTACATCTCTTTTACGCTTTCTGTTTAACATTCACCACAAAACTCAGTGAAATGTCAGCTCATACACACACACATGCACAAACACATACGCAGCAGATTGGTCAGTGACAGAAGGGCCTGCTGCTTTTTTCTGTATAACACCCATGTTGTGCAAAGGAGGAGCTGCAGTCATGTATTTGTTGTATATTAAACAGACCAGGGTTTGTGTCAAGAAAATGTCTAAAGTAGAACTTGCAATAGACAGTTCCAGCCAAAAATATTATAGTGCATTGTTAACATGGAACTCAAGAGGAAAGGGTAAATTGTAATCTTTAAATTCAGAATATAAAGTACATATAATCTATTCCCTAACACAATTTAAATCAGTGCAGTGTCTTCGTATGGTTGCATGATTCAGCTTTCTTGCATGAAATAAAATTCAATCTGAGCTCGAGTATGTGTTTTACAAGTACATCCCAGCTCTATCTGGGACCTATATTCCAGATGCATTCTCAATGGTACATTTTTTTCTCAGATAACATCTTAAATTTTAATGCCTCGTCTTGAAATTCACATATGACATTAAACTTTAAGTATCTGGTTAAATTTTGACACGGAACGAGACAGTTTCATAAATCACATGAACGATGGAGAATAAAGCCCAATGGTCCACAGGACCTTTGCTCACGCATCCATCCATGTGTCACTCACCTCCTTTTTTAAACTTTTATGCTCATCTTGTTATTTATTCACTCACTCATGGCTTGGTGCAACTTTGAGTAGCTCCAGACTGAGAGGAGGGAACAGAAAGCAGAAGCACATATGGTATGCGATAATGTGTGTGCTTCTTCAGCCACTCACCACTGCAACACTCAAATGAGAGTCCAGGGGGGTTGCTGGGTAGCATGTTTTATAAGTACTTTGCTAAAGAAGGTGTTTGTGTGGTCTGTGTAAAAGGTGACTGAAAGAGAGTGAGAAAGGAAGTCTATGTGCATGAATAGCCTGCCGTACTCAGCGCTATGTCACAGTTTCATTCTGAAGTAGGACTTTCGCCTCACGTGTGCTAACCCCACCGGATGAAAGCTTGACACTTACTCACGCTATGGTTGCTGAAATAATCTGCCTACATCACTCTTTTATCATCACTAATGCTGGTAGTCCTGTGATGAAGCCTATGTCATGATTTACATCCAAAGAGATGATACTGCTGCCATACATCACCTCATATGTGTAAACAAAAACAAAAAAAGTTGTTATCTGTGAAGGCATGAATGGACAGAGATCCTCCTGTGTGCTGCCAGGAAAGGTAATGAAGTGAAATGATGATGTTAAAATTATTATGGATGGAAGCCTCAGGTCGGCACTCAGTTTAGCTTTTGTGGCACTCAAAGCAGGGTTCATCCTCCAATCTGACAATGTCGTTTGGTGAAACGGAGCAGAACAGCTGAGCTGGGCTGCCATTTTCCTCTACACTGATCTAAATCAGCAGACCCTCATCCATGCAGAGATACAGAAATAAGAACAACAATGTCAGACAAATGCATATTACACACACATAAACTCTTGAGGTATAATTTTGGATTTGATTATTTAACCTTGATAGACAGTGACTTTCTTTTTCACACTCTGTTAGTGCCAGCGGCTTTGGTCAAACACAGCTGACAGTGGATGCTGCTCTACTCAGCAGGTAGGAAACTAGCCATATCACGATGTTTATGCCAGGAAAAGGGGATTAGCCACATCCTGCCTGAAATCTTATTATGTGAGAATCCACAGGACACTGTCACACTGACTCACAGTCTGAGGATCAGACCACCACAAGGCCACTTGAGGACAGACATACAAGTAAATATGGGGACAAGGATGAGTACATGAAAATAAAGCAGGCTGTTGTGCTTCTCTGAGAGTCCACTGCCGCTGGAGTGCTCAGTAACTGTACTTGACTATGACTATTGGTGCATGTTTGTTTGCATGTTTACATCTGAGTATTGGTGCGTTTTAAGTGGAGTGGCTCTTATGGATACATGTCATGTCGATGCTAGTCTTTAGATTTACAGTTCACTGACCTTCTGTGTCACAGGACTTCAGGAAAGCCTGTGCTTCTGTAGGGAATAACCACATCAGCTTCCTGGGTGACGCACAGGGATGCAAGGTGTACTCTCCCCCTAAGAGGTAGAATAGTTTTATTAGCCCCTCAGCTCCTGCACCCCTGTCATGCTGATGCCAGGAGCCATTCGTCAGGAGCCTACCCCTTAGAGAACAGGGAGACTGAAGGAAAGGAGAGAGCACTGGTAGGATGTCACTCACATTAGATCAGAGAACATGGCAGATCAGCAAAGATTTGGATACACTGATAGAGACTGACAGCAGATGTCACCCAGCTGTGCTTTAAAATCCTGATCTATCTATCCATCCATCTCAGAGGAACTGTCAAATCACAGTCAGAAAAAACTAGAGGGAGCTAAAAGAAGAGGGTTCATGAATTGAGAAAATTACTCCGACAGAGAGTAAAGCTGCAGTGAGCAAAGTGGGAGAGACATCAAGACATCCTTTGACACCCTTTTTACAATGCAAGTTCCCCTGAGATGGATCAATGCAGAGGTAAAAAGGTGACAGGAGCCTCACCACTGCCACTGGGGCTGATTGACACTATTTAAGTTCTATCAGGCCAAGGTTGGCCCGCAGCTGAACTGCTGGAGCTTACAAATCAACTCCTCAGCCTGCAAACTGCAAATGAGTGTCTAAAGGTGGTATTTAAAGCTGACCCTGATCAGATTAACATCTAGGAGCCACTCTGTGCTTTCTCTGGATGCATCTTTGTTTGTGTCCTCAAGTGTCTTGTGGTTATCATTTCATAATTTTTGAATACTGGGGGGAGTGCAACTTTATTGGCCTGTTTCTTTGTCAGTGCTGCTCAATATTTAAGGTGCAACTGGGAGATGAAGACAGATTTGGGGGTTGCTTAAATCATGTGGGGTATCAGCAGATGTCAACAGACATCTGTCACTTTCCACTGCCCGGCTTTATTTATAATATGTCCCAAGCCTAGTCAATGTTTTCTTTGCGGTCCTATCTGACTTGACAGATAAGCATCAATAGATAACCAGGAAATGCTGGTTTACCTGCTTATCTAGTATGTAAGAGGGTGTCTTGTCTTGATATCGAGTCCCATGGTGTCAAAACGTTTTTACAGATCCTGAACAGCTGAAAACATAATTATTCCCTCATTTTAATTGGCACTTTGCATTGTTGATAGCCACAGTGTGGTCTATCTAAAAGACTACAGACATTAAATTAATTGTTTTTAATGGAGTTGTTAAAAAAGATTAACTGTAAAATACATGTGTCGAATTTCCATGAAACAACTGGCATATTTTAAGCTATTCGAAATCAAAAACAAAGAAAAGATACACTGAAACTGCCTAGGTGAGATAACACATTTGTCATTTTAGCAGATTGACAAACAAAATTATGGTTCACTACAGTTGTAGAAGGACGGAAAAAGTCCCAAATTTTATTATTTTATTTTTATTTGATCCCTATTATATTTCAGGCAATCAAAATGACTGGTCAAGCTTGTAGTGTAGTCTAACATGAGCTCAAATAGAGTGATGATGAAGCTGGTCCAGAGACTAAAAACTGTTAGCTCTGCATCTATTCTCTCATCCTGCAGACCATGGTTCAGGTTAAGGTTAGGGGAGAGTGGGGTAAGATGAGCCATTTTTCATATTTCGGATCACTACATTAAGGCAATCATAGTTTTGTATCTAACTAGTGTATCTGCATATTTCAAGATGTCGTGCATCCCTGCAAACCAACAGAATGAGTGTAAACATAACTGTCTTGATAATATAGCATGCCAAAAAAAGTGGTCTCCTTTGGTCAACTTACCAGAGGGAAGGAGGCGGAACCAAGTCGTCCATACAGTCGTATATATACAGTCTATGAACTTATCCTGAACAACTATTATGACTTTATTAGTCCTCTAAGCTAAAATGGTGAACTTTTATGTTAGGTTTTTGACCTCATGCTGTAGCTCATAGATACTACAATTGATGAATAAAACAAATTTAAAATGATCTTCTTTGTTCTGAACACAAATCTAATCAAACTTATGACAGACTAAATTCACTTTCAAGAGTGAAAAATGTTTTTTTTTTTTTTTTGGAAATTAATGTCTAACCTCCTCACCCATGTGCTTCTAACCTTCACTGACTCCATAAAAATTGACGCTCATCTCCCAAATATTTGGTCACGTGATCAATTTCTTTGACCATTTCCAAACAACAGGGGGTGGCTCAACTTACCCTTTGACTCAACTTACCTCACTCCCCCCTATCCATTGGGATACAAGTCCTATTTCCTCGAGTACCGATAGAAGATCTCATGGATGGAGCCGGTGCCGCTCTGTGTTCACTTGGCTGTGTCTGCTCGCTGACTGGAGAGTAGAGGGAGAGGGAGGGGAGAGAGAGAGCAGCGCAGCAGCAGCGGGTAAACCACCAGCTCTGAAACCCAGAAATAAAGGCGAACTCAGCTTACATGCGCAACAGTAATTTACTGTACTTAACGATAGTTCGCAACTACCTTTCCGGGGACTTAGTGTATAGGACCGGGACGTTTGTGGACTATATTTTTGACGGCTGGAAACTCTAAAGGAAAGAAAACAACAACACTGGAAAAAAAACGGGGGTTACACACAACAGTGACAATAAAACAACACTCCCCGACAAGTGGTCCGTCTGGTGCCGAGGGGGGGAAGTCCGAGCAGTAAAACTGGAAAAAATTGGTGAACTATTAATCCATTTGAAACGCCTAAATCGTGAGTTCCCAGATGGTGTTTTGTGTGAACTTTAAACTCAGGAAACAATGAAGACATAGTGAGCGAGAACTCATCAAGTGTCTCGAAGCTGCTAGCCATCCCCGCTAGCGTTAGCCGGGCTAGCAGCGAGCGAATGCTAACGGCCGTTGGTGCAGACAGGTAAGCTAAGTTAGCTCGGCGGCTAACCGTTAGCTGGCTAGCTAGACGCGTTTTTGAGAAACTTTTGGTGTTGTTTCCTCAGAGCCCAAACACTGAAGGAGTGCTGTAAGAACGGAGGGGAAGGGCGGGTTCCCTTCTGGACTTGTTCCCCTCTATATATCTTGCTAATATGATGGCTGCGGAGGTCAGCAGTGAGGATACGGGCTCGGTCACCGCGGGGACAGGGGTGGCAGGCGGAGGAGGCCCGGAGACGGCCCCTTTTCCCTACTATCCCAAACCGAGCAGAGTGAGAGTGAGTGATTTGGGACAAGGACCAGCACCGGCCCTTCGCCAGAATTCAAACACCTCTCCGGACTCACTGCCTGACGTGAGTATGATATATCCCGTGTCTAGTGGGGATATTACTGGAGCAACGCTGTCCGCTACAGGGAGTGGCGGACCAGGAGTTGGACACTCAGTTTTCCAAGGAACAACCTCAGGGACTGGGACCGGGGGCAGCGCTTGCAGCTCTCCCACTTCGGAGGGTCCAGTAAGTCGGATTTCACCCACATCATCAGGCCCGGATGGACCCACTGTCTTCCCCCCACTGCCTCCACCCCCTCCTCCCCCTCCGGGCTGCGGGGGGCTCGGCGGCACTATGGATGAAAGCGACATGCAGGATGGACCGGAATACGAAGAAGAGGAGGTGGTGTTCCCCCTCTCTGCACCTCCCACGAACCAGTAAGTTTACAACTAGTAAAACTGATAAAACTGTTTGATAGAAAACAGCCTTTGCAAGCATATTGTACTCTTTCATGTGTTCACGTCCTTCCTGCTGAAATGCACATGGGGTGTAAGTATGAGCTCTTGCAGAACCATACTATGATTATACATGATCATATCCTGCCCACACTCATTTTTGTGAGTATTTGATAGTAGCAGATATCTAATATCTTGACATCTTCATTCTCATCTTTGACAGATCATTACATTAATACTAATGATTGTCACTGTAAACAACACCAAATCTCTCCTGTATTGGAATTTACCTGTTACTCTGTCTATTTGCTCTAGAAATAGACATAAAACAAGGCAAATGACATTTGATTTGACCCAAGATAATACATATATTATTTCTGCACATGTAGACATTCAGTATTATGTCAGCTGTCTGTTTTGAAACTTTCAGCTGACATGTCAAAGCCTGTTCACCACACATAAGCTGTCATTGCGGCTATATAACTGATACATCATTTTCCGTTAAGACTGCGAATATCGGCAGAATTTGTTATAGTTGCCAATACCGATGATTTAACAGTTTAAGCTCACATCTGATGCTGATATTATGCTTTTACTATGCCTCCCTACAAGAGTCACAATACACCAAGACTTGTGGTGTGTCCCAAATCGCGTACTTCCATACTAAATTCTTAGATTTTTCAAATTGAGTATACTAAGAATACTGTGTACTCAATCGCACAGTGTGCGAGTTTTGAGAGTGCAGTGTTGTCCCAAATCGCATACTGCCACGCGGCGAACTCACCACAGCGTGATTTGCCTCATGTCTGAACATTTATTGTGCATAACAGAAAAATAAAGTATTTACATATAAAAAAAAATTAGAACTAGAAAACTTAAGATACCCTATTTACATATTAAACATTTGGTACGCGGTAATTTAAGATAAACTATTTTACAAATTAAGCATTTAAAACTAGAAAGAAACTATTTACAAAAAACTACTTTTTAAATACATTTTATGTAATATATAAAATATAAAACATAATATAATATTAAATACAGAGGCAACTTATTACTTACATCTGTACAAAGCTCCCAGGTTGATTGTCGCCGACCCACTGGCACCACAGCCGTCCGCAGCCATTATTACTGATAAAATGAGTGCTGCGAGTGTCCACAGTCGCATACTCAAAATCTTGACCGATTTGAGTTCGTCACCTAGGTACTTTTGCATACTCAATTTTCGCATACTATCCATACTTTTCTCCATGTTGAGTTGAGTGTACTCAAAATTATTCAGTATGGAAGTATGCGATTTGGGACACACCTTTGCTCTTACTGGCTGCGTGTGTGTTTCTCATTTGCAAACATCCTTTTTTCTGAGGAATCAAACAGACTTTGATCATGCACACTTTGCAATTATATAATACATTGCTTTTTTTTTCCTAACAGTCAAACTTTAGTTTCGTTTGTTCCACCAGAATTGGACAGTTTTAATGTCTGTTTTTAAGGATCAATAATATATTAGGATTATTTTAGGTAATGCACATAAGAAGAGACCAAAGATACATTCACCCCTTCCTTTAACCACTATTATAGTATCAGAAGGCAACAAAGAGGAACAACAAATCTAGAATATAATTTCAGAATACATCCACATTGTGCAGTGAAATATTAAGATACGCAGGCACAAAGAAATCACATAAAGGAATTTTGACATGCGCAAACTGTTGCATCTTTTATCATCTGATTGGATGAAGAGTTGCAGGTTGACAAAGGCTCACTTAAGGTCAGAGTGTGTTCAATTCTTGCACCATTTTTCTATTTTAGCCTCTCAAGTGAATCAAAACTCAGTTGTGACAAGTCTATATCTTGGGCTTTGTCAAAAACACCTCACAGTTGATAAAAGTTTTCTGTATGGTTTTAGGTAGATAGTTGATTGACTGTTAATTCTGATTTGTTGATCATCTTATTTAATTTGTAACAGCTACGCAACAATTTAATATTTGTAATGATAAGTGAGGTTGATGATATATTTCTGACTTGCTTTTGATAAGAACTATAATAGGTTATTTTCAAGGTTGGTATGTCACCTCAGTTGTGTCATAATTATTTTTTGCGACCTGTATTCAGTGGTGAAGTGAATGACCGAATGAAACAGTGATGCTATTTTACTGCATTAGAGTGAAATGAGTATATAAGGGTATTCATGAACCTTTTTATATAGAAGCAGAGAGAATGCATACTAATGTGTGTTTTCAAGTTGCAGTTCTAATTGTGAACATTTGTATAAATTTATCAGGCATGCACAGAAGCACATGTCCAAACGCAAGTTCACTGGTGTTGTAATAACCTAAATTTGGCCCTCCCATTTGTTATACTCTCATTAGAGAGCTGCTGAGCTTTGTCATTTCTGGCCCTCATACTGTTATATGGAAGTGACCGGGCCCAGAGTGTGGATTCAGCTTTTATTTTAGGAGCCACTCTATATCTCCCTGTCAGATTACAGAAGAAGGGGAAGGCCAGTATTTCACCAGTCTTGCCTCTGCTGGGTTTGAATAAACGATCTCAAGTGGAATAGAAAAACTAGAATGTTTAGTTTGTACATACTGTATATTAGCACTGTGGAAGTAGTATTTTTCCCAAGGGAAGGCCTACTTCCTCATTGGTTTGCACTTAGATTTCAGTTTATCAACTTGCAGGGTTGCCAGTGAGGCAGTGGAACAGTTGTCGCTTGTGCATGAATGCCATTGATTTTCTTTGGTTGTGCTTGTTTCACAATGACAGACTTGTAGTCAAATGTTTCTCTGCCACATTCATGAGCACATATCTTTACACCCTGCTAAGAGTCAGAGTGAATCACTCTCTCACTCTGCCCAACTCTAAGATGTTTTACAGAACTGAGTTGTGTAAGGCACATACACAACATAAGCCTTTCCTCTGTTTGGGGTTTGTGTTTGTGTTTTTTTTTTTTCTGAATTGCCTCAAGTGGTCATTATGCACTGGAAAACTGAACCACATTTCTATCAGGATTTTGGTTAACATTAGCCAGCAATTTCCCAGTAGGCTCTGTCAAGTGTATGCCAGTGTTTAACAAAATGAAGACAACATTTTTTTAAACCAAAACAAAGTGAAAAATGTTTCTCAGTAGAAGCTCTAAAAGCTGATGTTATTATGAGCATCAAAAACAGTGAATTATCCACCCGGGGATAAATAAAGTATTCAGATTCTGATGATGATGCACATATAGAAGGCATTTTTGCTTTACAAACACCAATTTAAAAACAGTAAAGTAAGATGTCGAATGTAGTAAGGCGAGTAGCAGTGACAGCTGTCATTCATTCATTCTCTTGTTTGGGGGTAAGTGCCTCTTGGGAAGCTATGAGGTCCTCCCTTTGCTTTGCATTGATGACCCAGTTAAGGAGAGGGTCTGCTCCTCCTTAAGGATGTGTCACTGATCCATTAAGATGGACAGGGCTGATATGAGTGGACCCTCTACGAGGTCACTGTCTCATCTGGAGGTGCAGTCCTGAGGATGAAGCCTTGTGTAATATAGAGGGATTCAGGCAAAATGCTTCACGGTCATGAGCATTGCTAAAGCACTGGCCTGAAGGCAACACACTCATGGCCATGTTTTCTGGCATAAAATCAACTTATCTTATGTCACATTGTGTATGTAACTCTCCGATGTATGTAGAGTACAAAACATGTATACATTTGTTTATTATGACGCACATTTTCTCCCTGTTCCCATGATAGCATATGTCAGAGGCGAATCTATGATTGGCATAAATGGGTGTTACATTTACAGCTGACTACCCTGGATGATTCTGAATCTCACTCTGCCCATTCATCTGTGTGGCTAGCAGTGAATGCTTTCTGTAGTCTGGCTCCGAGACTCATCTTGTATTCCTTTGAGTTATGTTTGCAGCCTGCAAAGTGCATTTAGAAAGAGTGATGGTGGAAAACTCGCACACCGTTGGAAATGGTCCCACTGTGTGTCGCACACTGACTGAACACTTGACTTGGCACACTCGCGGAGAACAGCAGAGTGCAAATGTTTGTGCAAGTGACAGAGGGACAAACAGCACTCGCACTCGATCACACCTTTGCGCTGCAGTGCTTCATTCATAAACAGTGATAACACCACGTTTTATTTATAACGCACTTTACATTTAGAGCAAATGTCAAAGTGTTGTTGGTTGCAGCTTTCACAACAAGAATTTTACACAGATGATGGCTAAAAAAAAAGCTAGTGGAGGTGTAAGGCCACATAACTGTGCACGCTTCTGCTGCCATTATAAATCTGCAGCCCAGTGCCTGAGCTTAAACAAACACACGTTGGGAAACAGGTCGTTGATTTCGAGTTTCCACGAAGATTAGCGAGGATTTTGAGTCATAAAGGGTTTCCCTAAGAAGGTGGGTGGTTAGAGGAAGAAGTAAAAGGGGAAAAGGAAAGTTGGATTTGAAGATCAGTGGCAATGTGAATGAGTTTACCAGATTTAGCTCTTGGCTGAGGAAACTGCAACTGCAATGTTAATTGAGTATCCACAGTACCTTATTGCCCTTTGTGTGGGGTGGCAGAGACAATTGAATCCTGAAATGGCACAAGGATCATGTCACAGAGCCTAACTGGGTTATTCCCACAGGGAGATTGTTCCCATGGCCAAACTGCTACAGCTCTTCATAACAAAGCAGGGTTTTATTAATGGGATTGAATCAGTCATTACACACTTTTGATGACTGGTGAGCCATGCAATTAGTATTAAGCCTGTAATTTCCTGCCAGACATTTTTGAAATTATTGCAGTACCTTGGCTGACAGTTTTCTTCGACTAACACGGCATCTGTGAAACTAGTTTAGCAGAGGATTCATGTGCTTTGACGGGCTTTTCTAGATCAATTGATTGGCATACCAGCCCCATTCATATTCATGTTAACTCTATGCTGTGCATTGATAAGACAAACTCTATGATTTCCATGCATTTTCATTGTGTTACGCAATGTCCTGTCATGCCCTTCTAATACCCGCGCTGCCCTGCCTTTTCTCTCGTGCATCCTGTTTTCAAGACTTCTGAGCCTCTCATTGTGGTCTTAACAGGATCCTCTGGAGCTTTTCATTTGTGTTTGACAATACCCAGGATTTTTGATTTGAATGACTCTCTTAGACCCGCTGAATGACGAGGTGGCTTCTTTCTTTGTGCTTGACATGTTTCAGTGCAAGGTTAGGTTTAAGCTCTGTAGTTACACCGCAAAAGCGTCACACATAACGAGTATGATAAAGGTTTGTGTCTAACTTTGATGTCAAAGCTTTTGTGTTATGTGCAGCAGCATAATTGAAATCTTATTTTACACATTGCAGCGCCTGTTTCCCATAATGTTACTAAACTATGGTGTTAGATCTACAAAGAGAGAATCTAACTGGATGCCTCTGCATGTAGAAATCAAAGCTCAGGAGGAATATTGTATGGGTAGATGACAGCGAAGCCTATTATCACTGATGTAATGATGTTATTTCAGGGTGGCTGATTCACAGCAGGAAAGCCGAGATGTCTGCTTTGGTCCCTGTATGTCTGGCTAGGCATTAAAATGATGGTTGGTTAGCATTCAGTCTGAGCAAGGCTGGAGATGCATGGATGGTCCTTTCCCTCTCTCTCTCTATCTCTCTCTCTGTCTGTATAGGTTGAGCTGACCCCCCTGTGTGCTGTCATTCTCTAGATCTGGCAGAGGTAACAATCTGTGGCAGCCCATCGCATGCATAGGAAAGCAAAACCAATGCACAGCTGCTGTCAGGCCCCTACTGCTTTATATAGACATAAACTTATCAATTGTGGAAACGTATTCACACATAAATAAATATGTTACTAAGAGAAGTCAATAACAGCATGGCAGTTTTTTGGCTCACTGGTAAATGCACACAGTGTTAGGATTAAATGATCTAGCGTATGTTCATGTATGGCTGGGCGGTAAACCGAAAATACACAGATACTGAAATTTATGACAATAACTGATGTCATTTTGCCCATTGTGATACATTTGGTGTCAAAAAATTAATAAATAAATAGGGCCCAACCGATATGGATATTTTGGGGCCAATGCCGATACCGATCATTAGGGGGAAAAAAATATGTTCACCGATTGATCGGCCGATTTAAAAAATTTTTTATGAAGTTATAAAAAAATATATATATTTATAGTATAGATGTCTAAAGTATACTATATACTGTAGATATACTGTAGGCTACCTTTCTTCACGCCGACAGAAAGAGCGACTGATCAAACTCGGACCAGAAAAAAAGCGTTTTCAACGATCGGTACCTCTGCGTCCTAACTCACGTTACACATCGTGAAGTGGGTTGAACTGAAACTTGTTGACTTATTGTCTACTTCACAAACTAGTTTATTTACCGTTGAGGCGGACCACTCTCCTCTGTGCATCCCTTAGCTGCCTGCTTCAGATTCGTCACTCTGCTGTGCTGTGAGTAGTTAGTGGATGAAGATTGTCATGAGGCCGCTGTGCCATCTACAGGATAAGTCGGGGACCTTTTCAAATGGCTGAACATTTTCGAAGTGAAACCGAATCTTATTCTCTGCATCTTATTTCTGAAAATATCGGCGGAAATCGGCAAGTTTTGGCCGATTACTGATTAGTCTCAAGCGGGCTAAATTGGCCGATTTAATCGGCTCTCTGATAAATTGGTTGAGCCATATAAATAAAAGTTGGTTTGGATGTGTGTAGGTAGGCTATGGTCTCATGTCCCTTTAAGACGCTGTCCTACGTGGGAGACTTGACTCCACCCCATCCAACAATGAGAGAAAGACAGACGAGGAGATGGAGGACGGTTCAAAAGTTGGAGCGGCGGCTGAAGTAGATGAAGTTAATGTGGGAGAGGGTGAGCAGCTTGTGGAGTAGTTATTGTCCATTTATCGTTAACGAGGTGAAATGCTCAATATATCGTAATATTGATTTGAGGCCATATCACCCAGCCCTATCTTCATTTACTAATAGAGCGGCAGGTGTGGCATTAAAAGCAGTGGGTTTTTCTTACCCAAAGAGAGGTTCATGGCATCTTGTTAATTTTAAATGTGAGGTCAAAGATTTGTGTGAATTGATTTGATTAGTACATATCCGTGTATTTGACAGCACATAAAGGTACATTCACACAGTTTTCCGGGTTTGCAGAGACCACTCCCTACCCTTGCTGTCCCACAGCTCCAAAAACCAATCGGCAGCAGGCTCATGATGCAAGGCTTTATGAGAGAGAAAGAGGGATGGGTAAAAAGAGAAAGTCAGAGCAGGATGAAGTGAAAGCAAAGACTACGGGGCTGCAGTTTGCCTCCGACTCAGAGCAACTTCCTCAAGACAGCACCTGCAGAAAATGGAACCAGACTCAATCCTTCAACTTTCCTCAAATTAGTTCAGACACCTAAATGCATGTGGGCTGTCAGTCTTCATCTCTTTGACCTCCTGCTCATCCTACTTCCAAGGATGTTGCTAAGTGAGCCTCGCAGCGGGAGATGACTGTTTCGAGGCAGCTGCGGGGTCACATCATCATGAGTTGTACGGATTTGGAGCTGCCTTTGCGCTGCTTTCCACGTCGGAGCTCATCGTTTTCACCCGTCCAAAAGCATTATCAGTGGAGTGGGTGCACCTTGTGAGATTACAGGATACGGGAGGGAGATGCAGCAGAGGGCAAACTCGGCGTAAGTGGAGCATCAAATTAACCTGAAACTCTAGAAACAGCTGACACCCCAGCTTACCAACTCTTTACATTTCATACTCATGTGTAAACGTCCTTAATTGTATGTATAGAAAAGTGTTTAGATAATAGGCCAACACTTAATCACATTTTGAGGTGGCATTATTTGAATCACAGGAAACCTTCTTAATTATGCAAAAAAAGCTCCATGGGGTATGAGCGTTATTCAAGAGTGTTTTATTTGCATGTAAAAAAACATGTTGTGCTCAATATCCCCTGTAGAAAGTCTGCAGCTCCCCAAGGATATATCGCTAATGTACAGTGATGCAATTTTTCATTACTTTTTGATACTGATGAGGGCTGACAGTACGACTACGGAGAGGTTTGAGTACAGTCACACAGCTGCGTGCGGCAGGATTAGGACAGGAGAAGATGAGGAGAGACCTAAACTACAGAGAAAGCGTCATGACAGAAGGACGGGGAAATTAAATACAGTTCACTCAAGCATAAGAAATTGGTGCATGTACCGTCTGTTTTATTGACCGCAGAAAAGTGGCTCCAGCAAGCACAAGAAAAAGGGAATGTTGTTCTTATAACTTCATATGCAATCAAATGGCACAAATTGAGTCAAACAGCCGCGTATTACAATCACTTAGGAGTGGAGGAGGCACTACTACTCCAGCAAACTGAGGCTCGTTATATGGTAAAGTCTGACCCAACATACACTGACTGTCATTACTTTTTATAAGTAGTTAGGCTTGACTGATTTTGGCCAGTAGAGTATGCGGTGACCTCCATTTGAGTGTTCCTTTAAAATTGCAGCTCCTCACTTCTTCAACTTCTACCCTATTTTTACCATGATCCAAACTTATTATATTTTCCAATTAGATGAGACTTATAATGATATTATCAGTCATTCTGTTATAAATCCTCCTCTGATCGTCTGATTAATCCGGTGAGGACTGTGCCACATGTTGGTTTTGCTGTCTATAAGTGCTGTGTACGATATCATAATCATTGATGAGTGCACATTTACGACCTCAACACAATATGTGAAGTGCTTTTCACGTAGGCCTGGGTTTATTTTTATTGCCTAATTCATAGTGTCGTTTAAAGACATATCCATATGCAGCAGCTGTAGCCCATTTAATCAAGACATTAATTATACACATGCATGGTATTTGCACATATTTTCTTCTCGGCTGTTACAGCACAAATTGGGCCAGTTGTGTTTCAACTGAAAAACAAATTAAATCAACCCTTGAGGGAATATTGATCCAAATTATCCACATACCTGTAATGTTTGATATCCTCTCAACCATAAGGAAAATGCGTCTCTTTTCTTTAAATTGGCCAGTTTGGTGCCACTATAGAGTATCAAGATATAGACAAAATGATTATCTCAATATTTCCAGAATCTTGGTCAGACAAAGTTGTTGTACATCCTCAAAAATGTGTAGAAAACGGTGTTAAAGTCTCGCACTCACTCAACCCTGTTCATATAGGTTATTAATAATATATATGTTAGAACCAACTTCTCCACAGAAAAGCAGGTGTTTTTGAATCTAAACTGTATTATTCTGCAAATACAACATAAAAATGCTGAAATCAACAGAGAAGTATTGAGATCAAACAGTGAAAGTACATGTAAACCAGTTTGAAGTGTCTCTGGATTCACTTTGTAAAAAAAAAAAAAGCCAAACTTTGCGACGTATGTTTTTGATTTACGGGTACTTTAGCTGGTCAGTTCACAGATGGTGAAACAAACTACCGTATTTTTCGCACTATAAGGCGCACCATCAATGAACGCGTCTGTTCGCACCGGATTGTAAGGCGCATTAAGCCAAATAAAACAGTCAGATAAGTCAAACTTTATTCAACTCATTCAATAACGCTGCGAGGCTACGGTAGCTGCAGTGCTCCGACAAGCCAAAAGGATTTTAAGTGCGCCTTATAGTGCGAAAAAGACGGTAGTTGGTGAGTCTTCTGGCATCTTTTGAGCTGCGCCCCTCCTTTCCAAAGCTAAAGCACCATATGAGTGAGGATGATCCACTTCAAACAGATACATCCATAGATATCAAAAGGCTGGTGGTGTTTGTGTTTTTTCTCCTACAGTTGTTTATTCACTTATTCATATCTTATGCAGGCAGCTGTGCTAGCTTAGCTTGTTGTGATGTGTGAAAACATGAGCAGTAGTCTGTCCTACTAGGCTTCATCATGTGGATCCTGCATTTGCATTGCTTTTTTCCTGAATGACATTTTTGCTCCTTCAACAATTAAGCCATTATCTTGGACAGTTATATCCACACACCCCGATGCCACAGGTTGTCCTTTTCAAATCAAAACCTATAAGCTGTGAAAGCGAAAGACAGTGAGGGTTTATGTGACTCAACAAACACTACAGGCAAAAGCTGCAAACAGTATGTCACTCCTGTCCTGTCAGAGCCTTTGTGATGCAACATTTTTAAGGCATCCAGCCTTCAAATGTAGCCTGAAGGATTGTATACACAATAAATGGTGCGGCCCTGCTTGCAGGAGCCTCATTATTTTGGCATCGGGCCCAAGCTCTCTCGGCTTGGGCATGTTCGATTTCAGCAGCGTTCAGTAATATTGTTCTTGACAGCATGACACAGTTAGCTCAACTATGCTTCTAACTTAACCTCCTAACTCCTTTGCTAATAAGAAAACGTGAAAAGTTTGTGCCCCTTATGTCACGGTGGAGTCACAACATGAGTGTCCTGTGTAAATATGATGTTCAGGATGTGGGCGTTAAGTTATTTCAGTGAGATCTAGTTCTCGGAGAGCTGTGACTCAGTTGGTAAAGAAAGCGCTATAGTGATTAACGATGCATTTTTGATTTGTGTTACCATAGTTAGCCGGGGAACTTTGTGCAGAGATAAAAACCTTATCCTGAGTGGAGTGTTGGTAGAGGAGAGAACCAGGACGTCACTGTGCTGCTCGCTGTTCATGTACTGACATGACAGGGCATTCCTCAAGCTGATAGCAGCGCTGAATGCTATCACTGCTGCTCATAGTTCGCTGATTTGAACACCTTTCCTGCCTTGTTTACCCACATAACCAAGATCATTGTGGGCGCTATAATCTAAGGATTAGATCATATAGCTCAAGCATCAATCTATCAGCAACTATGAAAAATAGTTTTTACTAATCTTTGAGTATGAGGTTAAAAAAACGAAATGCATGTGAAAAATGGTTTTATTCATGGGGCTGACTGTAAATTATACAAATCCCCCACATACTGTACAAAAACAAATCCACATGGCTTTTGCTGCTAAGGCAGAACAGAAATTTACAGTTACATGTTCAAGTAGGTGAGTAAGCTATTCATTCAACACTTACAACATAAAGAGCTTCAAAAACACATTATAAAAAATGTTGAAGCGGTTACAACAAACCAAGAGAGACAGGGAGGTGTTCTTACAAAAAAATAAATGTGGTTTCGTGTGTTTAACAGGAAGACTAAATACAGAAATGGCAGCCATACCAGACATGTATGATGTTTGTTTGAACCGGATACTGCTAAGAAATTCTGAAAGAAAAAAAAAATCGACACAGTCTGAAAGTAATTCAACACCATTTAATGCACCAGGTAAGTTCAACAACTTAAGAAAGTGGGTATTATAGATGTAGAGCTATAGCAAAATATATACATATGTAGAAAACGGGCAAAAATTGATTATATGAGATACTTTTTTGTTTATTTAAGCCCCCTGTAACCTGTACAGTAGCATTGTTTAGGGATTCCTGGCTAAAATTCATGATGCAAACCAGTATTTTTATTTGAAATCAGTGCTTTGAATATACTCAAATATTTGTACGACCAAAAAAAAAACAATCAAAATGTCAATTCTTGTGTGATAAGTCTCTGTATTAAAAACAGACAGTATATACAGTATATACTCATTCTGTTGACTGAATATCATATTATAGGAGTTTTGACACAAACTCAAGTTTTCAAACTCAACTTTTAATCCGAACTTCTTTTTTTATTCTTTGTCTGAAGATGTTAACAGCACAGAACAAACTCGATGTTCACCCACAGCTACAGCAACAGCCCGCCTGTCAACAGAATGCACAACCTCGGGGGGGTTATATCAGATTGAATCACCGTTTAGCTGCATTAGCTTAGCCTCACTCTAATGTGATGAATGACAGGTTTAATTAAACGCACAGATTTCATAGATGACACACTTATCCTGTTTATTACCCTGTACTGGGTGCTGTTGGCAAAATTTCTGTTTTCTCTTTGAATAATCTTTAAACTCGCCAGCAAAAACCCCCCCACAGTTCACGCCTTATGGTCCCATAGCATGTCTCATGTCCAGTTGCTCTGTCTCCAAGCCTGCTCGCTACTTTTGGTGCACCAGGGTTTGATGGGCCTTAATGTAGATTAGAAGATGTTTTCATTATTGGCACATTACTGGTCTCATTGCTCAGATACAGCTTTTACAATCCCAGTAATGCATGATGATAGCAGCTCAAAGAAATGCTGCTCTTGAATTGTACAAGACTAACATGTCAAATGCCATCTTATTAGAAATTGAGTGTAAAAAGAGGATGTGGTAGCTTCTCGAGTTTAACACTGTTACATAACTTTGTGCAGTTTGTTTTTTTAATCTTATTTTTAGCAGCCAGGTGTTTATTGATTCTGAATTACTCACTGCACTCTGAAGTGAAACCTCCGACTAATCAACCTACATGTCATGCTGCCTTCATACGAGAGCAGGAAATTAATGCACAGGGTTAAAATGTCTCACAGGATATTGTTAGAACCGCTACTTTTTTGTGGCCAGGCTTGACTGTGGTTGTTGCAGCACCATAAAAATAGCTTTGTGTCAAGTTTATGGATCACTGTTTGGTTTGGTGTTCCATCAGATAAACTTACAACTGCAGATCGGCCGTCAAATATAACCAAGTTGTCTTGATAGGCTTTAAAGGATGGCGATCTTGTCCATCTCAGCACCTTGCTCACATCATTTTTCATGAATTGTGGCTCGTGTTGTGTGTATCCACTGGTGGGCCTTTACTCAAAGCGCTTCTCTCCATTTTCTGTCATAATAACTCAAACTTATCTGACCGGTAAGATGATTTGCTTCCCTCGGCTGTCTTCCTTTGCTCTTTTACAGTAGCCTATCTTTTCCTCCCCCCTCCTCTAGTCTCCTTCAGTGTTATTCCCTCCCTGAAGAGGCCCGACTCTCCAACTCCTCTGGATCTCCCTCTTCAATTCCCTTATCGCCTAAATCCCCCCCAAAGCCCCCTCATGGACCCTTTACTCCTCCTCTTCTCTTCAGCAAGTGTTCTCCAGCTTACTCTGTGATGGCAGACTTGGTCACGTTTTCTATATAAGCACAAATCTTGACTCACCCTGACCAGATGAGAGCTCTTTAGGTCTCCAGTGAAAAAAGAGCGGCTGCAGCTCCCCATTCATCTTCTCACCGCTGGATGTTTTTTCAGTCCCTGCCCTCTGCTCGGAGAGGCACCGGTGGCCTAAATTTGGAAAAAGCGTGTTAATTTTTTACCCCAGCAGGCAAGAGCTGCTGAAGTTCTGCCTCACCTGCTGAAATTTTAACCAGTGTTGTTCCTAATGCTTCTGTTTAATTCAGGAAGCTACAGGGTTTTAATGGTTTTCTCGAAACTCAAAAAAGCTTTTAAGGCTTTCCCCTGTCTATTTGTTTGAGAAAACAAGGTCTGCTCATCTGTTCAGGTTTTACTTTTATGAAAGAAGATTACAGCTGCACATCGAAAAGGGATTTTACTGATTGATGGACTTAGTTTTTAATGTCTCTATTAATATCTTGGATGTTCCTGGGGTCTGCAACCTTTTAAAAACGATTAACCTCATGTAGGAGATTACAACTTTTTTTTACCTCCGATACGATACCGATATTGTAGCCTTCAGTATTGTCCGATACCGATATTGATCCGATATTAGCACAAACTTGTGCATGAGAAGTTTTGCACTCAGCTGCGAAATTATTTCTGACTTGAATGAAAAATACTGTCACAAGGCCGACATCACTCTGAAGGTCCTTACACACCGGGGCCGACACGAATATAGAACACGAAATATTCTGAGGCGAATTTTGACGCGCCTGACTATACACAGGATGGGACAATATCGCAGGACGGGAAAATGTCACTGATGTGAACGCTTGAATTGACAGGATACGGGTTCAAAAGAAATATTGACGTCCGAAATAATGAAATAATCGCACGACAAAAACGGTCCTGTTGTGTAAGGACCTTTACTCCGTGGTACTTTGGTACACACTGTTGTTGTGGTCACATGGGCTCGACATGCTGGATCCGGGCGCTGCTAGATAGAGGTGCCGGAGCAGAGTCTGGAATGGACTGCTTGTATCGGAGTGCTGATATTGAAGATTTTAGATGCAGGCTTATATATTCCGATATTAGATTTTTTGTTGATATCGGACCCATATTCAATATCAATATCGTATCTGGACACCCCTAATCTCATGTGTCTACCTCAGGAAGCAGTAACTTGAACCTCTGAAATGATGTATTATTTTAAGTTGTCTCTTTTATTCTGTTAAACCTTTAATGTTGTTACTTTGGGATTTGACATTTGTTGCATACACAGACAGTACACTGGCCTAACACACTGTGTGTAACTGTCTCCTCTGTCTTTCTGTCTGCCCACAGGTGGTACCATGGCAAGCTAGACCGAACCATTGCTGAGGAGCGGCTCCGCCAGGCCCGCAACCCTGGCAGCTACCTCATCAGGGAGAGTGACCGCCGGCCCGGTTCTTTCGTCCTGTCTTTCCTCAGTATGACCAATGTGGTCAACCATTTCAGGTACGAGAGAGAGCGTGCAAAAAATCAGAACCGACTTAGTCCTAGTGATAGGTGCAGTCTAAATCTAGAGCAAAACCCCTTATAGGGCCTTAAATGCAAAATCCAGGTAGTTACAAACCGGTAAGGCTATCTAAAATAGCGATTTTCATGGATGTGGCCTTAGATGACCTCACCTGAATTGACCTGTAGTAGGGACTCGGGGAGAAAAGAGGACTGAGAGCACCAAACCCTCAAGGAAGAAGAGCTAACATGAATAAAAAGTAATGAATAGCTGTAAATGTGGGTCAGGGGCCCTAAGGAATGTCTGTGTACGGAGCCTCCGGACCTGCACAATGATGATGACATTTAAACAATGATATGCTATCTGTTGCTGCAGTAATAAACAGGGAAATAAAATGCTCCCAGGAAATGTGAATCGCATGGGAAGACCCTGTAGGTCCCTGTTTTTACCCTTGTACTAATTACCGTTTAGTGTGGCATGGTCCCCCTTATTTTTAGTTCAGTCCAGCTAGTGGGCAAAATAAGAAACAATAAGCCGCCTCACACAAACAGAAACTAAGGACTGAGAAGTAGAGGCTGACGTTTTTGTTTATGCTCATATTTTATGACAGTTGTTGCTTCCACATCTGCTGAAACCCATGACTGCGCACATGAGTTTGTTTTTGCGAGCGATGCAGAGGGCTTTTCATTCAGGGAGTGAATGTCTACAGTCAAAGAGAGAAACCACAAGCTGGTGTTGCAGTGTCAGTGTGGTTTTTTTTCTTACAACTTAACAGTCAATACAAGAAAAAAAAAAAAGTCTTCCTCCTTAATGTATTTGTTGTATTGTGTTCGAGGAAACATTAACCCCGCAGCTTACGCAGAAAGGAGGAAGATAAGCTCTAAGAGATCAAGGTCAAGCGACTTCACGTTTACAGTATATCCTTCTCCCCAAAAGAAAAAAGCTTACCTTCGCAGAATGCCTTTCTTGTGGGTAGGATGTGATAAAGTGGGAGTATTTATTGATATAATAAGTCAATAGCTGCTTAGTATAACACTTTGCATTCAGACTTTGTACCAAGCTTGTGTGTTTAAAAACTCAAACAGTTTGAAGACACAACATTGGGATTTGTTAAAAGTCTGTCAGCAATTGCAGGGCTAAGTTGAAAAAGGAAGGAGCACACAAAGAACTTTAGGGGCACAATAAAAAATGATCAAATAATGTGTGTCATTTTTTTTTTTACTTTATTTTTCAGTATAACATGGTTCAAGACAATAAATTCTTTACAACCATTTTTTACAACGTTTTTCTCAAAACTGAAGACAGAGGAAGAAAAAAGGAAACAAAAAAGGGAACAAAGGAACACAGGGGGCAGTTCTTACTCCTTATTTTGCAAGTGGTTAACAAAGAGGTCCACACAGTTTGTTTATTAAGCTTCAAGCTCCTTAAACGCTGTCCTTTTCCTCCATTTTTGATGAAAGGTAGACATGTCCAGCCTCAAGTGGTGGTAAGTTAGACTTTCCATGGTATAAATTTCACCCATAATGTCCATCCACTGTCCCAGTAGCGGGCGATCACTTTTCATCCAGTTCCGTGCGATTATTTGAAATCAATTTTCGGTCAATTGGTCACATGACATGGAAGCTGTTGAAGAAAATGTTCAAAATTTGCCCTTTAAATTTAAAACAAAAACTTTTACGGGACCAATTAAAAGGAAATAAAGAGCGTGTCTTATTGTCCGACCTTAGTACTATTATTTGAAATCAATTTAAGGTCAATTGGTCACATGACATAGAAGCTATAGAAGATAACTGCTTTTTTGAGAAAATCAACAGGTAATTTATTGATGGTCCCTTATTCAGCACTAGAGCTGTAGCTTTCGAATATTTTAGTAATCGAGTATTGTATAGAATATTCCATCGATTACTCGAGTAATTGAACCCAAACAGCAAACTCACATAAGGTTAGATTTCCTATAGCCCCGCAATGAAGGCCAGACTCGGAGAAATAGAGGATAAGTTGCTAAAGTAGCTAGGTTGGCAACACTGCAAGAAAAGCCCCTCTCATCATTTATTTTTTTCCACTCCGCAAAACCTAAACAGCGCTTACTCCTCCTTCTACTGTGGTGACGTAAGCACATTGTGTCACCTTCAAAAGAATCCGTGCAAAACAGTGACAATTTGAGCTTATAAACGATGACTCGAGGCAGAGAAAATTCCTTGATCATTATTCATTATCAAGTAACTTTAGGTGATCGAGGAATTGTTTCAGCCCTATTCAACACCCGACATTGACAGCAAGGGTGCCGAGTCGATTTAACCGCGCTGCTGTTGCTATTCCCGGTTATGGAGAGTGAGAAGACACCGGTAGATCATCAGTGCATGTCCGTCGAATATCCAACCTAAAACTAACTTCGCTGCGGTATTTACATGAAAAAACATTTGTTGCCTCGGCTGATTTTTTTTTTTTTTTTTATGCGCACATTTGCCCCTGAATACCTTCTACAATTCGCACACATCTATTTTTCGCCTCAAATGCGAGTGAAGCGGTTGCACTGTCGAGCCCTGACCTGTGTACTGATATGCTCACTTTCTCCTCCTCCTACTTTTTAAGCATTACTCAAAGATTTGCTCGTCTGTGAGGTAAACTTTTCATCCTGGATCGCAGACTCTCTATCTCTGGGAAATGGACAATTTCCCCAGAAGATGCCCTTCTCTTATTAAGTAACAATGACATCATCTCCTTGACTCACATTGGTGTAGCGCCGGTGATGTCATCGATGCTGCGAGGAAGGAGCCCCCGCCATAAGCGAATTATGAACACAAGGTTAATTGTGTGTCACCTGCTCTTGAAGAGGCCGATGTCCTCAGATTGTGTAGCAGCAAATGAGTAAGAGCAAAAGTGGGTTTATTATAAAGCCTCCATCATCAGAGATCCACTCAGCTGATGAGTAAAGAATTAGGATTAGTGTTTCTGCAGCAGGACATGCTATATTAGAGTGATTTTATCATGCAGTTGAACTGTTGAACTGGTGATTTTCAGCTTTTTCTCTGAGTGACAAATGACAAAATCCAGATAGTGGGATTCAGCGGCGGACCTTTTAACTCTATTCTGTGCTCACTCTCTAATATCCACTTGACATCGATCTATTTTTTACTCTCAGTTGGCTAAAAAGTTGTGACTTTTCTTGCATCTTGTACATTCAAATGACAAAACCGCTGCCATCTTCACCTTACCTGTCTTCTCCAGGATAATCGCCATGTGTGGGGACTATTACATCGGCGGGCGACGGTTCTCTTCTCTATCAGATCTGATCGGTTACTACAGCTATGTGTCATGCCTGCTAAAAGGAGAGAAACTGCTATCCCCTGTAGCGCCCCCAGAGGTGAGAGTGCAGAGATCGCAGACCCAGTATGCTTGAAAACTCAAATGAGCCTCCATTTGTTTTGAACTATTCAAGATATGCAAGTAAACCATGTCGAAATATGGTTGGATTTAAGCTCAAATAGTGTCCGCATCAAGACTGAAAGTAGTCATTTCATGTGTGTAGTGTACTTTTACAAAAAAATTAAAACAGTGGTGGTATAAAGGTTAAGAGATTTTAGCGATAAAACTTAGCAAGAGAGACAGTAAAACTGAATGTCAGCAGATCAAGGCAAGTCAGATTCATTTATAAAGCACCGTTCCTTCATAGAAGAACTGTAACATTGACAGTCAGGTATGCAAAATGGGGCCCCGTCATGTAAAATACTGTCTAGTATAATATCTAATCGAGCTGAAAGAGTGGCAATGAATGAAGTAAGGTTCATTATTAGATTACTCGGAGTCAGCCTTGATTCCTTTATGGAGCCTCTTGCTTAAAATACAACTTTTTTTCCTCACGTCTTCCTGCTCCTTTTCTCTTTTGCCCTTGAGCAGTATTCAGAACAGTTTAAAGCAAAGCTCCGGCTAACGCTAATTACCTTTTTTTTAGCCCAGCGTGATATCTACCCGGGGAGTTGTAGTAGAATACTTGATTTAACGGAATAATTGGGGGGATTTAATGTGGATGTGGTTTCGGGGTTTTAATTCTTTGTGTGCACGTCTCTGCAGCCTGTAGAAGACAGGAGGAGAGTCAGGGCCATACTTCCATACACCAAAGTGCCAGATACTGATGAGATCAGGTAAGTGTCATCCACCTTGTCCTACACCTGTAACAGATGATAAAAAAACTTAATTTTTGCTTCACTTTAAAAAATCGATGCAACACAGTCAACACTGAAGAAATGCACACTCTTATAAAAAGCGGCTACAAAATGCAGATATCACTTCAGATCTTATGGGTCAAAAGAGACACCTGCAGGTGAAGTCGTGGTATTACACCCACTGAAAAAGAAGGCTCCTCATGCTTAAGCTTCAAGTCTGCCTTATAACATCAACACTTATAAAGACAGTTTTCAAATTTCAGTTACATCTTAACAACAGAGGTCACGTGTTTTTATAAATCTTCTTTTACATACTATGAACCTTTGTCTTAATGTCTGTTTTGACTCTGTGTGTCTTCAGCTTCCTGAAAGGGGACATGTTTATTGTTCACAATGAACTGGACGATGGCTGGATGTGGGTAACTAACGTTCGCACGGAGGAGCAGGGCCTCATTGTGGAGGATCTGGTGGAGGAGGTGGTAAGTGAAGCACAAATCGAGTGATTTTTGTATAGATATCTAAATATCTGATGACATTATTTTGAATACAGAAGCAGTGAATTGTAGATATAACTTGGTGAAATATAGAGAGCCAAGAAGGGGAACCACTGACTGAGTGTTTGTGATCTTTTTCAGGGGCGGGAGGAGGATCCACATGAGGGAAAAGTGTAAGTCACTCAAAATGATTCTCTGTGGTGCATTCTTCTTAAGTTTGTGAAAACAGTAGTCGTCTCATATTCTCATAGACTATCTCATTTACAGGTTTAACTCAGGATCTTTTATTTGACTCCAGTCACATAAATTAGTTTGTTTTGTCAGTCAGTTATAGAGGATGTTTGATATGGAAGAGAAAAGAGCAAAACAGCACATCCTCACTTGACTTTACTTCACGTTTGGAAAGTCTTTAACCTTTAATATGTTAACGACGACAAAACTAGAAAATATAAATCAACATTTAGGGTGCTAAATTAGGCAGAGCGGAGGAGAAAATATATGAAAATGTAGTCAACTAAGTCTTTAATTTTTAATGAAAGTTTGGAGATGATGTTGTTTCTACTAAATTTCTAACTGTATGCTTGTGTGTTTCAATCTCCTGAATAGCTGGTATCACGGAAAGATCACCAAACAAGAGGCCTACAACCTGCTGATGACAGGTACCATCCCTCTTTGCCCTTCATTCAGCTTTAGTCATTCATCACTCGTGACATTATTGTGTTTTTCTTTTAGCCAGAAATAAGTCGTGAACATCAAGTCTATTTATAAAAAAGTACTGCTGAGCCTGCACTAAAACCTTCTTTTCCTCTCGTCCCTTTTCTTCTTTTGCTCTTTTTCATGCTGCAGTCGGCCAGGTGTGCAGTTTTCTAGTGCGGCCATCAGACAACACACCTGGGGACTACTCCCTCTTTTTTCGTACCAATGAAAACATCCAAAGGTTTAAGATCTCCCCCACCCCCAACAATCAGTACATGATGGGAGGGAGGTACTACAACAGGTATGTTTGACGATTTAAATCAGTATAATGACGCCACATTTGAAGTTGTATTTATTGAGTTAACTAGATCTGCTGCGTCTTATTTCTCATTCTCTCACTTGTAGTGTTGACGACATTATTGACCATTACAAGAAAGAACAGATTGTGGAGGGATACAACCTGAAGGAGCCTGTTTCAGTGCAGGTAGGTTTCAATCCATCCCTCTTTTGTTAATCCTGTCTAAATGGATGTTTCTGAGTTATCAGTATGATTGCCATTTTGAGGGGGGAAAAGAGGAAAAGCAGGAGATGAAATATCGCATCAGATATTTCCTTTTAAAGATCCAGAACATTCCTTCTTCACCCGAACGATCAAAGTAGTTTTGTTGCGTGGGCCGGCTCTCGTAAATGGAATTGATTTTGCCTCCACGGTTGCGTGATTGTTTGATTCTGATTTTTGTTTCTACTTCAGCAGCAGGAACAGGTTCTTACTGACACGGTGGATGGGAGAGAAATTTATAACACTATCAGACGGAAAACAAAAGACGCTTTCTACAAAAACATTGTCAAGAAAGGCTACCTCATGTTCAACAAAGGTACAGGAGACATCCATCTTTCATCGCCTCTTGTTTTGTCATGAATCAAAGCGTTTCAGTTCAGTCCTCTGATCGGGTCTGTCAGGATAAACATCAACTTTCATTTGTTCCTCACAGCTTTAGGCAAAGGCAAAAGATGGAAGAACCTTTACTTCATCCTAGAGGGAAACGACGCCCAGCTCATCTATTTTGAGAGCGAGAAGAGAGCCACCAAACCCAAAGGGCTGATTGACCTAAGTGTGTGCTCTGTGTATGGTGTGCATGACAGTCTGTTTGGCAGGTGAGAGATGAGGCTATCCTTTTTTTTGTCAAATTTAGTTAAAACGGCAAAGAGTGTCATGATGAATAACTTCCTCGAAAAGGTTTTCTCCAAATGAAGCATCAAACACTTCATACTAATTAGAGTTTTTACTCTTTTCAGGCCAAACTGTTTCCAGATTGTTGTCCAGCACTTTAGCGAGGAACAGTACATTTTCTACTTTGCGGGGGAGACTCCTGAGCAGGCACAGGTAATGAGATCAAAATGTGAAGTCTAACTGTGCGTCTGTCTCCAAAAGGACTCGCCATGCTGTGAAATGTCCTTGTTATGTATAAAAAGAAAGTACATTTCCAGCAGGCACTGACAGGATGGCCGATCAGGACCCCTGTTTGTGCTGAAGATCTTTGCCTGACAAAAAAAAAAGAGAGAGAAAAAGGTTCAAAGTTTTGGGTCCTGACAGCTTGTTTTTTGTTGTTTTTACAGGATTGGATGAAATGCCTTCAAACCTTTTGCAGTAACTTAAGGAAAACCACTCAGCCAACCTCGAACAAGAGGCTCAGACAGGTACAGACACAATCAACAACTGTGTGTGTGCATGTAAAGGAAGTGAAGCAGAACACTCTAAACTAAGTCTTTGTCAAATCTAAACTTGATTTGAGACAAATAAATTTGAATCACAGGGTTGTCAGTAACTTAAAGATACGGAGCTCTGTGAGTTTTGTTCTGTACCTGTTAACCTGTTAGATGGCTTGTGATTGACTTTTAAAGGAAACTATCAGTGCTAATGTTGGTTTACACTCTTAATAAAGGCTTTTTTTTAAAACAATAAGTATCCCTCTGATGCCTTAGGCTATGTTCACACTGCAGGTCAATTCCGATTTTTTTAACCATATATGACACATATCTGATTTTATCATTTAAGTGTGAACAGTGCAATCAGATTTTTTCATATCCGACCCAGGCCTCTTTTTTGTGTAGATATGTGACTGCAGTGTAGACGCTCAGGTTGCGTTCATCCGACCTATACGTCATCAATATGCGACAAACGTCACCATTGTTCCACAACACAAACAGGCGCGGAAAGCAATTTGTGCTTTGTGCACATGCGGGTCACTTCACGGATGTATTCCATTCACATCAGATGCTGCATTCGTTGTTGTAATGTGAACGACCGCACAAAAAGATCGAATTTAACAAAAAATCCGAATTGTGCATCATAACCTGCAGTGTGAAGGTAGCCTTAGTTAGGGTTCCATAAAGCTGTGAGCCACTATAATCCTCGGGAGCAGGTGGTATCGAGAGGAAATACTGAAGTAGAAAGTCTGTACACTAAAAAGTATATCAAGGATTTCATCATCAGTTTTGTTATCACCGTTCTTCTGACTGAATCCTGGAGAGCTTTAATGATTTAAATCAGTGGTTCTCAAGTCCAGTCCTTGAGGCACACAACACACCTGATTCAAATGATTAGCTCGTTATTAAGCCATTACAGAGCTTGATAACGAGCTGATCATTTGAATCAGGTGTGTTGGAGCAGGGAAACATCCAAAACATACAGGACAGTGGGCCTCGAGGACTGGACTAGAGAACCACTGATTTAGAGCATCATTCAACCGCCCTTGTGTTTCTGTTTTGTGTGAAATTCATCATCTCTCTCAGGTGAGCAGCCTTGTGCTGTACGTGGAGGAGGCTCACAAGCTGCCGGTGAAGTATTTCACCAACCCTTACTGTAACATCTACCTGAATAGTGTCCAGGTGGCCAAGACGCACCCGAGGGAGGGGCAGAATCCTGTTTTCACAGAGGAGTTCATCTTTGAGTGAGTTTATCAGACTCAGAATGAGACTTCCTTTTTTCCCCCTTTGTCTACTGTGTCTTTCTCTGACAGCATTTTTGATAACTCAAGATTTGTATCTGTTGTTTCAGTGACTTGTCGAGTGAAATCAACCGATTTGAGATCAGCCTGAGCAACAAAACAAAAAAGAGCAAAGAAAGTGACATCTGTAAGTGCACGTCCTCGTTTTTTAACAATCGCTCTAATCGCTGGAGCTTCTGCAGTCGAGTTATTTTAACATCTGTAACGTCTTCCTTATCCATTCCTCCTCATCTCTTCCTCAGTATTCATGCGGTGCCAGTTGAACCGTCTGCAGAAGGGCCAGATGATTGATGAGTGGTTCCCTCTCAGCTCCCACGTGCCTCTGAAGGGCATCGAGCCGGGCTCCTTGCGGGTACGAGCTCGGTACTCCATGGAGAAGATCATGCCTGAAGAGGAATACAGCGAGTTCAAAGAGGTCTGTCTCTCTGAGAGGAGGTTCTGATTGCAAAGTTCATCCGCTGCTCTGGTGTTTGCTTAAATTGATGATGCTACTGTGTGTCGTCTGCAGATGATTTTGCAGAAAGAGTTCCATGTCATCTACGCCCTGGCCCACGTGTGTGGTCAGGATCGCACCTTATTGGCAAGCCTCCTTCTGCGGATCTTCAGACACGAGAAGGCCGAAGCCCCTCTACTCAGGACACTCAATGACAGAGAGATCAGCATGGAGGGTAAGAAAGACGGCAGACTGAATATGATGTTGGTGATCACTGAACGAGCTCGTGTTGACCTCTGCCCGTGCGCTCTCTCTCACCAGACGAGGCCACAACATTGTTCAGGGCGACCACGCTGGCCAGCACACTGATGGAGCAGTACATGAAGGCCACAGCTACACCCTTCGTTCATCACGCGCTCAAAGACACCATCCTCAAGATCATGGAGAGCAAACAGTCCTGTGAGGTAAAGAGACCTTCACGCAGCAGGACAAGACTTCAGTGTTTAAAACTGTTAAACGCTAACCTAGAACTAAGCATCTTTAGAAAATGAAAGCTAATCTAAGATGAAATTTTAAAACTATTTTAACTTTGGTGAAGGTTTATCATAATGATTGAATATCAATGCAGCATCTTTAAACTGCTGTGTTTGACTTTCATCCATCTATTTTAAAGCTGAATCCCTCCAAACTGGAAAAGAATGAGGATGTGAACCTGAACCTCGCTCATCTCCTCAACATCCTGTCTGAGCTGGTTGAGAAGATCTTCATGGCTGCTGAGATCCTACCGCCGTAAGAAAAAAAACAAAACACACATCCGTTATATAATCTCACACACAGGCTGAAATTTGTTTATAAACCGCCTTGTAATGATCTCTGCAGGACGTTGAGGTTCATCTATGGCTGTCTGCAAAAGTCTGTGAAGCAGAAATGGCCCAACACCACCATGAGGACAAGAGTCGTAAGGTAAACAAAAGTGTGGACTCATTTCTTTCATGCAGAAGAAAGTTTACAATTAGGGCCAGATATGGATTTTTTGGGGTTTTCATGAGGTCGCTGCGCCATCTACAGGATAAGTAGGGGAACTTTTCAAATGGCGGAACATTTTCGAAGTGAAACCGAATCTTATTCTCTGCATTTTATTTTTGAAAACATTGGCAAAAATTGGCGAGTTTTGGCCAATTACCGATTCGTCTCGAACGGGATAAAATTGGCCGATTTAATCGTCTTGCTGATAAATCGGTCAGGCCCTACTTACAATAAAAGGGTTTTGCATCCAAAAGTCCATCTCATTTAGTTTTAATTCACTCTGACCTTTCTCCTCCAATCTTCTTCCAGTGGCTTTGTCTTCCTGAGATTAATCTGTCCGGCCATCCTCAACCCCAGATTGTTCAACATCATAGCTGGTGGGTTTTATTCAGGAAAATCTTCCAAGATCCCTTCTTTTTTTCACATAAGATATGAGTGTTTTATAACGACTGACTGTTCCTGCAGACCCTCCATCATCAGCAGCAGGCAGGACCCTCACACTGGTGGCTAAATCTGTCCAGAACCTGGCCAACTTGGTTGAATTTGGTGCTAAGGTTTGGATTCTAGAAAACTGAGCTTTATGTCAGAGGAGATATGTGCTCCAGCGTTGACTATGTCTTTGTATTGTTCATGTTGTGTTTTATTGCCTTGAACAGGAACCCTACATGGAGGGAGTGAACCCTTTCATCAAAAACAACAAACACAGGATGATCATGTTTCTGGATGAGTTAGGGGTGAGTGGCATTCTTATTAGAAGTCTATAAACTCCCTTTGTCGGCTCACTCATCTTGACTGGTTTCTTTACAAGTTTAGAAAGTTGTACGCTTTCTTTTGTAGAACGTCCCTGACCTCCCTGAAGCCACAGAGCACTTTAGGACTGATCTGTCCCGGGACCTGGCTGCGCTGCACGAGCTCTGCGCCACACACTCAGACGAGCTCAGGACGCTGAGCAATGAGAGGGGAGCACAGCAGGTCAGAGACGGATGGCGTCCCCAGCCGTGCGCTCCAAGGCAGATTTATGCCCCCTCTGTTTCACGAGATTGATCTTCTCTCTGCTTCCTCTCTTCCGCAGCACGTGTTGAAAAAGCTGCTGGCCATCACAGAGCTCCTCCAGCAGAAGCAGGCTCAGTACGCCATGTCCAACAGCAACAGGTAGTACTGCACTCCTCCTCCTCTTCCTCCTCCCATCACCCCATCATCCGTCAAGTCTCCTCCACCGGATCGCAGCACACGGGAGACCTAGCATGCTCTACCCTCATCACCATGGCAAACCCCTCCATTATTGTCCTCCTCTGATAGCCCCGCCCATCCCCACCCACCTGCCATCTTTCCCCCTCGTTCACCACAAGCGAGCTATGCAACAACAGCACCTGAGTGAAACAGCCAACGCAGTACTTAAAAAAACAAGGAAAAACAAAAAAACAAACGCACCAGTGACTGACAGCTGTATGCACACAAACCGATCTCTTCCCTCAGAAACTGTTTTCAGACTTTGGGTACATTTCGTTCCCTTCATCACAAGGGCCAAATATTAAGATTTTAAGAGGTTTCTTTGTACCCCAGATGTGTTTTGACAGCACAGGTTGCCAAAGTGTTCCCCCCTCTCCCTGCTTGATATGAGGAAACTGACATGAAGAAGCTAGTTCTTGGTCCCCCACCCCACCCCTTTTTTTTTTCTTGTAACTGGATTATGAGCGATGATGCTTTTTATACTGTAATTGACTGACTTATTTTAAGGTTGTGACAATACCCGCAAAGAGCTGAAAACGAGCATTTCTGTCTATTTTGTTTCTTCTGTTTTTTTTCTTTCTTTGTTTTCTAGATTGGAACAAAGTCTTTCAGAAAAATATGGTTATTTTATATTAAGAATAAATTCTCTTGCTGGAATCATGAGTATACAAGTGAGACAAGCTGAATTTTTATTTTCTCCGATTGTATCAGCTATTTTTTTTTTTTTTTTGATTATTTGGTAAGTCTTTTTTTTGAAACTTTTCAATGCCAGGCAAGACACATAATCAGAGAAACCAAGTAAAAGCAAAGTGTTTACAGCAGTAATTTTTGAATAGACTGTATCAGACATGCATGCACTTATTAAACAGTTTTTGTAAAGTAGTTTATGGAGTCTTTTATTGTCCCCTGATAAAGGTGGAGGGATGTATGCGCACAGTATGTTATGACTTGTTGGAAAAAAGGAAAAAATTAAGAGAAGAATTTAGAAAAATATCTTTATTCCTGCAGAACAAAGGCATGACAAGTGTCAACAATAATCTGTAGAAAAGTAAATATACGTATTTTAACACTGGAATGAAGTAACTAAACTTTTGTTCAATCCCAAAAATTTCTAAATGCTCAAATCAGGTCTTCATCAGTCCATTCCTGCAAAGAAAGAAAGTTAAATTTAGAAGGTTTTCTTAAAGACAGAGATCAATCTGTTTGTAAAATATTGTCCCACCTCTTCCTCCAGACGTCGTTCTTTTGCTACGTGACCGTCTTCTTCATATCCTCGCTTTCGTTTGCTGCGTTGAAAAAGAATTTTACAACACACTCTTGCGTAACATCAAACTAAAAAATTGACTTTTCGATAATTCGAACTTAAATTTGCAAGCAGGAATTGTTGGTGAACTGTTTTTCCCTCCACAACATTCGTGATTGTGACCTCCTCTTCATCTAAGTGTTTGAACCATAGACTGTATAAACTATGGACAACTTGGTTCCGCCTCCCACCAGAATATGGATTTGAAGCCAAAAAGCTCTCAGTATTTCCTGAAACCAGCGCTGCGCACTAGCGTTGTACGCATTTGGCGGTTGAGTCGCCGAGAGTCGCTGTGATGATGCTCGGCTCAAACAGCGTATCCCCCCGGGTGAGCTACACAATCCCTGAACGCCAAAAGGCTGTTGAGGACTTGAGCACAAAACCAGCCTTAAGCTCCTTTCACACCGGGACCGTTTTTATCGTGCGATTATTTCGGACATCAATATTTTTTTGAACCCATATCCTGTCAATACAAGCGTTCACATCAGCGATGTTTTCCCGTCCTGCAATATTGCGACATTTATTTTGTCCATTCTATATACAGTCTATGGTTTGAACACTCGCTTAGTGAAGAATAGAGTTTCCACCACGCCTCACAGTCTCCATCAGTAGCTGTAGTAGTCGTAGTTTTAAGTCTCTTCATCTAGACTAGCTCCCCCGTCCATGAATGTTGTCATCAGACGCCACGTCTAAGTGTCTCTCTGAGCGTTTCCTCTCACAAAAGCGTGTCCACTTTATCTTACAGGACAGAGTGCACCATCATGTCTCTGGCTGCTGCCATCCAGGTAATGTGACTTTTACAGAATCCTAGCCGAGAATCAAAGTGTGGTGGTGGTGGTGGTGGGACCACACATCCAGCCAGCCAAAGTGAGGCCTCTCCTCCTGAGACCGAAGATGAAAGTCAGTTTGTATTTATAAGAGCATGTGGCCTAGATTCAAGACAGTTTCAAATGCAATATGGCTGTTCTCCATGGGAAACCACTTGCTGCATATTTGACTACTTTCCTTCCAAAGCCCTAACTCAAATGCTTCAGTGTGTTGAACTGATTAAATTGGACCAGAAGCCTCATCAAAAAACCTGGGATGAAGATCTCGATGAAGATGGACCTAAGATACCGTCAACTGAAGACGTATCAGAACTTTGTTTCTTTTCCTGGTATGCCTGCCTTTCCCTCAGAACTTTGACTGGTTACAATCGGTGCTTGATAAAGAACCAGACCGCCGTGATCTGGCACCCCTTTTCTTGGACTAAAGGAGGTAATCCAAAGCATTGAAGTAGCCGTCATCAGGGAATTTAAACATAGCACCTCTCTCCAAGATGACACAAGCCTTAACTCCCTTTCTACACGCCCTCCACTCACCTGGATCTCCTGATCTAATGAAAAGCTCTTCCTTCGTTCGAGACTTCCACTCGTCTTTGTGTATGAACTTCCACGCAGCACCAGAACCACTTGTTACTTTTTATATATGCTGCTTTGTTTGCTGGTATTATAAACTTAGGCTTGTATAGAAGTTAAAAAAAAAAGTGTTTGTGTATGAAATAGTCGAGGGAAAGATAGCGTTTGTAGGAGATTTCTGTACCCTGTCCTGTGCATGTGTTAACCCTTAATGGATCCCGCTACAGTGTGTGGGCCTACATACAGTATATGCTGCTCTAACATCACCTGAACTTCCTTTAAGCTTTGGGGTGTGAACAAATAAGCTTTCATGCGTTTGCAGTCTCTTTTTCCCGCCATCGCAGGAGTGGCGTTTCGGTACACTTCTGCACCGACTGTTGTCATGTAGATTTCATCCTGAGAAGTCATGCCATGCACAGATTTGTCAACTTCCAAGTCATAGCTGTTAAGGGTTGGCCTCGTGTGCCTCCTGATGATTCAAGTCAGAATCTGTGCCTGTCATAGCTCAAGAGTTTACCAAACTGTTTACTGTAGATGCACTTAAGATACCACGGACCTCACCGACCTCACCAAGTGTTAAAACAAACAGCCGGCGACAGATAAACGAGCCTGAACGTCTCCTCATCAGCAATACCGATATATCAGCTGTGCTACATGGTATGGATGATGGAGGTAGGAATGTGGCGTGCTCTTGTACTTCCTTTCTGTATTTCATACAGCGGATGATGTGTTCCTTTTTATTTTTCTACCTGATACTGAACCTTGAACCTTTTGCATCTTAGATATGACAACCTGGCTACAATAAAACTGTTACTATGTACGAAAATGGAGGATGGGCTTTCTTACTTTGGAGTGACGGATAGAAATACAAACCAAAATCACTGCAGCTGCATCTTAGAATGTTCCCAAAATACAATAGTTTAGTTCTGATCAAATTTAAGGACTAGGTAAAATGGATTTTATTAAGTTTTAAACTTTTAAAATTAAGATATATTGGATATGAAAAGTCATGTAAAAAAATTAAATCAGGATAAATAATTTCACAACTTCCTCTACCTTTAATGTGACCTATTACCTGTACAACACAAGTGAAAAAAAAAACGAAATCTTTCAGGGAGGTGAAGTAAAAACAAACAACTGCGAACATGTGGTTGCAGAAGTGTGCACACCCTGTAATAACTGGGGATGTGGTTGTGTTCAGATTTAACCAATAACATTCAAACTCAGGTTTAATTGGAGTCAGCACACACCTGTCACCAATTAAAGAGCTTCTGATCAACCCCAAATTAAGTTCAGCTGTTCCTTCAGCACAAGCCGTGGTCCAGCATCAGAGGTATCTCATTCAAAGATATCAGTCAGGGGAGGGCTACAAAAGAGTTTCCAAGGAATTAAATATACCATGGACCACAGTGAAGACCGTCATTATGTAGTGGACAGAATATGGCACAACGGTGACATTACAAAGAACAGGACGTCCGTCCAAAATTGATGATAAGACAAGAAGAAAACTGGTCAGGGAGGCGACCAAGAGGCCGACAGCAACACTGGAGGAGCTGCAGGAATTTCTGAAAAGTATTGGCTGTGTAGAACATGTGACAACAATCTCCCGCTGTCTTCATATGTCTGGGCTATGGGGTAGGGTGGCAAGACGGAAGCCTTATCTTATAAAGAACAACATCAAAGCCCGGCTTAATTTTGCAAAAAGTGTGTTATGGTCTGATGAAACCAAATTTAAACTTTTTAGGCATTACTGCAAAAAGTTTATGTGGTGCAAAATCAACACTGCTCATCACCAAAAGAACACCACACCCACAGTGAAGCATGGTCGTGGCAGCATCATGCTTTGGGGCTGTTTTTCTTCAGCTGGAACTGGTGTCTTAGTCAGGGTGCCGGGAATTATGAACAGTTCCAAATACCAGTCAGTGTTGGCACAAAACCCTTTGGCGTTCTACTAAGACGCTGAAGATGAAGAGGAACTTCATCTTTCAGCACGACAATGACCCAAAGCACACATCTAAATCAACAAAAGAATGGCTGCACCGGAATCAGATTGAGACTTTGGAATGACCCAGCCAGAGCCCAGACCTGAATCCCATCGAACATTTGTGGGGTGATCTGAAGAGGGCTGTGCACAGGAGATGCCCTCACAATCTGTCAGATTTGGAGAGGTTTTGCAAAGAAGAGTGGGCAGATATTGCCACATCAAGATGTGCCACGCTGATAGACTCCTACCCAAAAAGACTGAGTGCTGTAATAAAAGCCAAAGGTGCTGCAACACAGTATTAGTTTGAGGGTGAGCATATTTATGCAACCAGGTTATTTTAACTTTTCTATTAAAGGTTATAGGCCACATTAAAGGTGGAAAAAGTTGTGAAAATATTTATCTTTTCTGTCAATTTCTTACATCACGAAAACCTGGCAGTTGAACAGGGGTGTGTAGACTTTTTATATCCACTGTACTGTAGCACATGTACAAACTTGCATGTCCTTACTTGCTTGAACTGAATTCCGCGTGAATCCTCTCCAGCTTCTGTTTGTAAACATTCACCTCCTCTGATTTTGGGAGTTCATACTTCTTCAAGAGGGTTTTCATTCCTGCATGAACACAGAAAAAAAAAAAACATTCAGGACACTGTTGTAGCCCGAGGCAGCTCAACAGCACCACCCTGTGGTGTGACACCAAAAGTACAGCTTACTCACTTCTCATTGAGTCATACATCTTTGAAAGAGTCTCTTTGTCACCTTTCAGTCCCATACACTCCGTCAGGTAGCTGTGGATCAGACAGAAACACAAATTGATCATTTTTTGGGATTAAAATATTCGAAGGAAGACAGGAGTTTGGTTTAAGATTTTTGTTTTTTGCTTGGTTTCATAATTCTTTACACGGTTTACTAGTAACTGGACTTCAAACACTGATTTATACAGACTTTGGACATCATAAAATCATCCAATTGAAGAATTTTAGTGCTATATAAATTATCTAAGATTAAAAAAAAAAAACTGATCAACCCACTTCATTATTGTCCGATCATGCTGGATGACCCACCTCTCCATGCTCAGACCTGCTCTTGAGGAGCTGTTCAGAATAGCTGTCAGAGCGATCTGAGACGGGGGAAACAGCAGCCCCGCATCCGTGATTGCTGCCTGTGTGAGGAAGTCATCAGCACTCTTCCTCAGTGACTCCGGGTTCTCCAGCATGGGATATCTTGTCTGATGGGTAAAAATCATACATAGAATCTCGACTACTTGATGAACCAAATCATAAATCAATCATATAAAGCTCTCTAGGAGGTCCACCTGCCTTAAGGTCGATGAGCAGCCCCTCCATGGGTCTATACGGGTTGTGGACCACTAAGTGAAAGTTGAGCTGTTGGATTAGCAGCAGCTCATACTCCAAAATCTGCTCGAGGACCCTTTCCTGCCCTGCTGGGGTCTCCTGCAGGAGGTTACCTACAAACTGGGTGCTGGATACGTTGAACTCATCTACTTTACAGGACAGGTACGCACACGTCAGCCTGAAACACAAAGGGGAACTTGAGAAGAAAGAAAAATGTGAACATTTGTGTAGACTTTGAGAAGTATTTGTATTACAAATAATAACAGGCCATATATCCCAAATACTAAATACAAAGTCTGAGAATCAATATAAGGTAAGAAGCTAACAAAGAGGTGCTTTCTCTGCTCTCATCTCTACTCACATGATAATCCTGGGATGGTACTCCATGATGGAGTTGTTGAGATAGAATCTTCTGAAGTACATGATGGCTGTACCCTGACCAGACACATACATGGTTTAGATTATTACTACAATATAATACAAGCTTTTTATCAGCTACATGGCAGCCACGTGACTGGATGATGTCTACACTGCAAAAATCTCAAATCTTACCAAGTGAGTTTGTATCATTTCTCATCAAATCATCTCAGTACATATGCTACACTGAAAGGACCGAGCCAAATGTAAATCTCATTTCAAGATGTTTTAAGACAAAAATTTCTCAATAAGTTCCTGAACAATGTGTGGTGTCTTGTTTCAAGAAAAAGGCTTGTGGTAACAAGCAGCCATGACTCAAGTGTGTATGGACCATCTACAAAGTGCAATCCTGATGACAGATGTTGCAGAAACATTTTAATAACTTCACTCTGGACAGCCGCACTTTGCACGTTAATGCACATGGTCATATATCACCATTAAGTATGGGATATATGCTTTATATTACAGGGGCATATGTAACCCCCCATTTTGACTGCGATGGGTTAAAGGGCAGCATTCAGTACTTTAAGTATATTGCAAAGAAAGTCCTTTTTACTTTACAGGCAGACTTATACATTACACAAAAATATGTTAAATAAAATGTAACATTACTCAGCACATGACAGCAGATCTTCCAGTATCAAAAATAAAGAAATATATCAAATATTTAAACCAGCAAACAAAAACAGCACAGTTAAGGTAGTCAGGTGTGAGCCAATCCACAAAAATAAATAATAAAATACATTTTTTGGGATCACTCAGAGTTTAGGTAGGTACAATCCTTTTAATCACACTAACCTTTGTAACTTAACTTAAAGTCAAATACGATTAATCTAGAGTACTTCTGAAGTATTCTACCTTTCACCAGTCATAATGCACATCTTAGGTAATATTATAATATTAGGTAATATAAAATTTAAAGTGGTGGTAGTTATTCTTTATCAAGATTTATCGAGTTTATTGTTTTCTTACAGAATTTTCAAAATAATGCTTAAAGATATAAGATTAAGACAAATTTAGATGACTTTAGATAATTTTGGACGTTTGCAGACTTTTGTACAGTTAAGACACTAATTTGCACCTCCACATAAGAGGTTTTTTTATAGAGTACTTTTTACTTAATAGGACTGTTGCATGACTCTTTCTCTTGACCGGAAGCAGACTTACCACCACAGATTTGGGCATGGCGGGTTTAAAGATGCTGCAGAAGTCCATTAACCTCCTCTCATAGTGCCGGAACAACACCTCCTCCTCGTGACGCTCCAAGAAGACGCTCGCGCTCGCAGCGGCCTGATTCACAGGGAAACAAAACGGGTAAATCACACTGACACGCGATATTTATATAAAAACATGTTTGTAGATATTTAACTTGTCACCTTTCCGCTCTCGTGGATCTTGTTTCTGAATTTCTGGTTGGCTCTGTGTCTCATCTGCTCCAGTTCATCCTCACTTTTAAAAATCCAGTATTTCCTCTGTGAACTGTTGTGGAACATGACTGCTCCTGGAAAACAGAGGAACACGGAGCAAAAACTGTCAAAAGACCAGAATAAAGACGAAAAACAACAGAGACAGAGCTGCAAACCCAACTGGAATCAAAATCTACCAATAACAAATAGAACCCGGGTCGCCCCTGTGTAGCGTCAAGTCGTCCCGTACTGATGACGTACGAGTACCGTACTTCAGAATAAACGGCGCAATAGAAATTCACCTAACACGCTTTTCACTTTCACATCCACGTCTAAGTTTTTGAACATTAATGTTTTATTCCACCGTAAATTTACTAACTTTATTCTCAAATGGGCTTTTTAATAACTTAATGTCAAGCTGTGGATTTTAAAGCTATTCATAAATGAGATATAGTTAATATATGAAACAGGACTGCATGGTAGAAGTCCAGAGCCGGCCCAAGCCTCAATGGGGCCCTAAGCAAAGTTTTGGGGCCCTCTATTTCTGCCAATAATATTAATTTTTGATCATTTACAAACATACTTGAGGATAAATTTAATGCGCCTGACATGTCTTCACACATTTAAGGGGGTGGCCAAGGTAATAACATCAATATAAATCAAAAATAAAACAATTAGCTACAAGAGCGGCCTGGGGTTGATTTTCACAACATTTCAAGTGATAAAGCATTGTGTTTACTGTAAAAGTGTCACTTAAAGTAAGAATCATAGGCCTACATCTGCAGCAGCACTAAAATGTTTTTACTTTATTTTATTTTTACAATAATATATATTAGATCATACAGAAAGCATTACTTATACATGCAAAAAATAAAGAATATTTATCTATTTATTTATTTTTTGATTGCTCTTGGGGGCCCCCTACTTGCCACGGGGGTCCTAAGCAGTCACTTAGTTCGCTTTTGCCTTGGACTGGCTCTGCAGAAGTCCCAAACAGAAATCCTTATATAGCCTACTGTCTATTTATTCAGTTTTCCCGTGATGAGGAAAAATTTCCAGATGATTTCATACGAGCACAGTTTATAGGCCTCATTATATTGAGGTAAAAACTCAGCTAAGAAGTCAGTTTGTGTTGTCAATTTCTGCCTTTTTCATAATGTCATAATAAAAGATTAATTAATAAATCAATCAGATTACCATTTCATGACCAAACTTGGTTTATTCATGAAACAAGATGATGGCCACTGTTCAAGGCCAGACAACAGCACATCAGCTGCCCCAATCCAACAAGTTAGGGGAGACCAGGGTAGGTTGTTACAGCCAAAACCTTACAGTGTTGTGCCTTCACAATTATATCACACATTTGGTCTATTCAGATGCTTCTTTCTATGTGGCCATTTTCTGAAGCATGCACATTTAAGTGAGAAGATATTTTGTGGTTTTTATGGGTTTTTGTATTTCTTATGCAGATGTTTTTGTTTTGAGCATTTCAAGGTGTTTGGTCATGTCACAATCAAGTATTCATTAGGAAGCTTATGGAGGACATGAAACACTGACCCAAGTTATCATTATTTTTAAGAATGCCTCTCGACTTCACAAATCACTGTATCCACGACTCTCAGAGTGTAATACAATTCTAGAAAACTGTGACAGAAGTTCCACTTTAGCGACACTGCGGGGAAACGTAAAGCAGTGCCACTTGGCATGACGTCATCGGTTGTGTTGCCCGTGTAACAGCCAAAACCAGGTAATACAAAAATTAGAAAAGCAGACTACAGTAAGTCAAATTCAGACTATATACTCATGTCGGTCTAGGGCTTCCGTACATTCATCATTTGCCGCGGCCTGAAAACTAAACTTTTTTTTTTTTTTTTTATCTAAATTTTTTTTAAACTTGAACCTCATGCACAGTGAAACAACTTACTCCCTGCAGGTTGTTTGTAGCAGCTGTTCCAGTCTTCTAATGGTTAATCATTCGCTGTTTTTTAATTTGTAGTCTAGATCATGAGTAATATGGATACACTCAAGAGTAAAAAGTGTGACAATTAACCTCAGTCAGCCCTACTTTTTTTTTGTTTTTGTTGTTTGTTTTGTTTTTTTACTTTTAGGATTGTTATGATTGGGGCAGCAGTAGCTCAGGAGGTAGTGCAGTTGTCCAATAACTGGAAAGTTGGCGGTTCGATTCCCCTCTATCCCGAGTCTGTCCGTTGTGTCCTTGGGCAAGACACTTAACCCACCTTGCTCCCAGTGTGTGTCCTCCACTGGTGTATGATTGTGAGTGTTGTGTGGTGGTGGTCGAAGAGGCCGTAGGCGCAAACTGGCAGCCACTTTTCCGTCAGTCTGTCCTAGGACAGCTGTGACTACTAAAGTTGTTTACCACCACCAAAGTGTGACTATGTGAGCGAATGAATAATGTATCCAATGTAAAATGCTTTGAGGGTCTCTGATAAAGGGCTATATGAAATCTGATGCATCATTATTATTATTATTTATTATCACCTGACAGCCAAAACCAAGGAAAACATAAATTAGAAAAGCAGACTAGTAAGTCAAATTCAGACTATATATTCATGTCAGTCTAGGGCTTCCATACACTTTTTTAATTAAAGGCTGGTTACAAATTGAGAAATCTATGTTAATAGTAGAAGAAACATAAAATGAGGCAGATAAATAAATGTTATCTGTTACATGTTAATGCCAACACGTGGATGTGTGGCCTTTTTATCCATGAATGTTCCTATTATATTAGATTTCCTCTCTTCCTCTGATCCTCCTCTCAGCTCACAGACCACCTGAAGGAAAAGTTGAGGAAAGCTGAGCTGCTTTATGAAAATGTTGCTGAAATTCCTGGATTTTGGATCATTTCAGACGGTGCATCGTGAAGGCAGAAATTGAATCACGCCAGTGTGTTTAGACGGAGCCACTCAACCCCCACCAGTGTTTCCGTATACTACCGTCATTTGCATAAACATGAGTAATTTATGAATAATAAATGCTCGTGCATTCAGCTGGAGCCGTTAATTTGCATATCGCCGCTGCTAGTTTTATTTCCTTAGTGCCGTGTTATCATGAAGCACTTGAAGCCGGCATAAACCAGAATCAAAGACATAATGCTTTAACAGGTATGTGCTGAGGACTATTTTATTCTCTTTATCATCTCTTTCTCTAAATGCTTGAAATATCTGAACTTTTCAGTGTGTGTGTGTGTGTGTGTGTGTGTGTCAGCTATCTGTGTGTGTCTTTATATATGTGTGTTTGTGTGATAGGTTTGTATGTTCAATATGCGCCGAGCTTACATCTACAGTATCCATCGCTCCGTTTTGCCATGTAGCTTAAATTGCATAAACATGAAGTGTCGTTGCATTATTGATGAGACCAGAGCAACGTTTACTGTATGTGCGCGCGCCGATAGGGCGTGTAATGCTCGTGTGCGTGCGTGAGTGCATGTAGGCTATGTGTGTGTTGTCAGTCTAACCAAAGACTTCTCTTTATAGAAATGCAGTGTGTGTTACTTTTATGTCTTTATCCTGCGTTTGAATATCTAGTGTTTTCAATGGTGGTGAATGTATTGATGTTTTGGCAGTAATAACACTAAGTCGAGTCAATGCAGAAAAGCAAATATGCTTTTACCTGCTAGACAACTCCTTCTGTGTGTGTCTGTGTGTGTGTTTGAGGGGTTGCTTTGGAGAACAGAGGCAACATTTCCAGCCCTGCTTCTGTGTCTGTGTAACAAAAGGTTGTGCCTTTTATAATATGACAGGCAGTGTTTTATGGGAAATCAGACTTGTGTGATTTTGTGCCACCTACAGATCAGCCGAATGATCTCAGAGCCTCCCTGATCAAGTTACTTTCATCCAGTCAGAGTCGAATCTGCACTCCCTCCTGTTATAAATCTACTGCATATGAAAACCTGAAATTACTGCAATTCATGGACACACTGTCAGCTGCTGACCAGTAGATTGATGCCGTGCGAGGCGTCACCTTGCCTGAGCTGTACACAGCTTTGTAAACTATTCATGATGCTGATAATGTTGTGGAGAGGGAGGAGGAGGAGGAGGAGGAGGAGGAGAATCTAGGAGAGGATGAAGAGGATTATCCCCACCTCTATGAAGTAACTTTCTTATATGCAAGGAAATCGTTTGGAAATAACCTTGACGACGATGCAAATGATTTCTCTGACCAATGAGCTCGCTTAATCTGTTTTTTCCTCCTCGTTTTCGCCGTGACGTTCAATCCCATTTAAGCTTCACACATCAACAAACGCAATTAAACCTGCATTCAAACGCCCCATATGTGTGCATATTAATTATTCTGCCCTCCATCCACCCCACCACCACCACCCCTCATTTTTCATAGTGGTTGCCATGACAACTAGGGGGTGGCAGTGCTGATGTCAGAGAGAGAGCCTCCTCCAAGGACACTCATGCAGGCGCCGGGTCAGGTGATATGCACAGCTGCTGGGCATCGACTAAAACACCCAAGAACAAAATGGCCGCCGTTTCTCTGTCATACTTTTTTTCCTCTGTTTAAACAAAAGAGGAAGGGGCACCTGCATGTGCTTGTGCTTGATGATATGTGTGGGAAATTCTCGGTGCGAGCTGAGTTGTCTGAGCCTTCCTCGCAGATCAGAATTTAGAAACCTTGCCTGGTGATTACGCCGCATCCTCACCAGCCTTTGTGTTCCAATGTGTCCATACATCGTTTTCCTCAGGTTGGCATGAGGGTTTTTTTCCCCCCTGCCTTTACCCCTCCCCTCCCCCTCCCTTCCAGACACTCAAAGCTCCCCCACCATCTCTCCCCTCTCTCTCTCTCTCTCTCTCTCTCTGTGTGTCTCTAATTGAGCTTTGTGTCTACCTCCATCTCCATTCAAATCCAAGCTCATTTGCATACTGCCGCCGCAAGCCGGACAGCTCCCCAGCTGTACAGTACAGCACTAAATGAGGAACACAGACCCACTTTACGTGACGTGAATACTAAACAGCCAGGAGAGTCATTTCCCCCCCTGTTTCCTGAAAATACAGCTACCTGAGAGAGGATGGAGGATGGTAGTATCAAATCAGCGCATTCAGACAGAGACAAGCTTAGTCTGAAAGGAGATGCTGAGTTGATTATTTTTAATAAAGTAAGACATTGCAGGAGATATCACACGCGATGATTTGACAGAGAAACAGTCATATTTGCCGTGGTGTATAAGGCGCCAGTGATAAGAGCCGCATGCAAACTTTCAGTCAGCTTTTTTAATATTCAGCAGGAAATACAGGATGTAGGCAACTTTTTGAGCATCAGTCCTGCTTTGCAATTTCTCCCCTTTTCCTCAAATAACACCAGGTTTAATTCAGAGCCGGCCGCCCTGTGGCTTTTCTCTCGCCTCGGTCCTGCTTAGGCCTGATCTTTCCCTTCACCAGAGAGAGAGAGAGAGAGACTCGCTCAGCATCACTGAATTTAAGGGACATTTTGCTTGAGTGTGCTTAGACACATGATTATGTTGTATTTCTGATGCACTTCTACCACACTTAACAGAACGTGTTAAGCACATCCTTAATGGGAACCTTAAAAACCCCAAGGCCAATTTTCATTTTCGAGCGTATTGGTAGGGATTTGTGACATTTCAACTCATTTCAGGATTCAATCAAAGCCGTAGCTCCAGGGAGAGCAGAAATGGCACGCTCTTTCCCGCAAATCCAGCTGTCCTTGGTTTGCTATATATGCATACAACTTCTTCTTCCTCCACAGTGAAACCAGCCAGAATTGAGTGAAATTTAATGACCCATTTAAGTTTACCTTGAAGACAAATGCAAAGAGTGCAGAAATGTTTCTGTTTTTCTGCCTCGGATGGGAATGTTTTATTTAGAAAAACAAAGTGACTCCTGCTCGTTTGTAAAGGGTTTCCAAATCAGCGGGGAGTGAAACACACACGCGCACACACTCACACACACACACACGGCGTGCTTCATCACTGTGAGCACCTTAGCTTTGAATGAAACGAAGAAGAGGACAGATAGAGACACGTTTAAGTGAAGCCGCTCTGATGAAAATCCAAGCCTTCACAGCACCAAACTCAAACAAGTCCTCTGAAAAAGCCTTTGGATCAACATTCATGTCCTCAGCCTCTTAAATAAACGTCTGTTTAAGGTGAAAAGGAGCAGGTGGAGTGTCCAGTTAGAGCCATGTACGGCCTGTGTGATGGCACTCCTCTTTTTTTGTGTGTTTTTTTCTTTTAAAATGGTTCATTTGTTGCTATTTGAATCTCTAAATTAAATCTGAAATCTTGTGTTAAAGTTCTTTAGGTTATTTTGAGCTATTAATAGTTTAAAAAAATAATCATTTTATTCTAGGTTTTATTCAGACAGCATGTGCAGTCACAGTTTATTAATAACAGATATTAAATGTATTGGTTTATGTATGTGTTTATTAGAAATAGTGTAAAATGTTAAACCAGGAATGAGAAATACCACCACAAAATAGTACAAATTTTCCGCCTTTGCAGCTTTATTTTTGATGGGTGATAAGGCAACAAAGCACTGTAATATTTGAGTGGTGTGTGTTCGATATGTACGAGTGTGTGTGTGTGTGTGTCATGTTGGTATTAGTGTGAATCTGCCTGCAGTGGGGGGTTTTTGTATCTTAATCTAATTAAGAAAAAGATGCCTGAATATAGACGAAGAATTATGAGCTTGCAAATGGGGGAAGGGAACTCTATTTGATCAAGTCGGGTTGCCCAGCAACCCAAGCCATTTATTTCAGACTTAGGAAGAAAAAAAAAAGAAAAAAAAGAAAAACTCCCTCTAAGATTTAATAATCAGGTTGTCTGCATTAAAATGCAGAGCAGGCTGTCAGACTGCACCTGAAGGACAGCAGAAATTAGGCAGGCTAATTTCTCTCCTTACAGGTGAATGGCTGACCTTCTGCAGAGTGCCTGTCAAAATCAGCACTCAAACTCTACAAATCAGCTGAAATAATCTTTTAAAAGCCGCTTTTAAAAGAGAGGGAAAAAATAAAGGGGGTAAAACTGGAGCAGTACGAGCGCACGGTGTGTTTATCTCATTTGAATGTTGTTAATTGAGCGAGCTCATGTGACTCCATACGCAGTCGTTATGAATTTAACGCAATGTTCATTTCCAATTTTCTACTCAGACAGGTTCACAGTGAGCTGCTGTTTATTGCAAAAACGAAATATCATGACAGACAGAAAAACACACACAAAGAAAATATACCACTATGTCTCAGCAGCATTTTTCTTTTTCTTTTGAGAAAAATAACGTTTCTCTTTGCACTTCAATCAGATAATCACATATTTCCCTAATTCTCTTTGTTTAAAAAAGCATATTTCATAAATATTAACCACTGCAGGGATATATCTGTCGCTCTCTAACTGAGAGTGTAAAAGCTGGGTGTTGGCTGCAGAGGTGCTCCTGTGCTAATAATCCCTGGCACCCTCCTGTCTTTTGTTTTCCTAATTGCTGCCGTTCCTTTTATTTAATTTTTTTTTTTTTTTTTCTCGTCAGAGGGCGTTCATCTAAGTGCAGCAGGCCCTGCTGGAGAGCTCTGAAGGCTTCCTGTGGACTTCCTGTGGACTTCCAACAAAAAGCCCTGTCAGGTGGATCAGCCATTAGTCACTGGTCTTCATTGTCTCTGACAAACCTGACGTTTAAATTACACGCATAATTCCAAAGCTCCCCCTGTGAGGCACAAATTGCACATGTTTTATCCTGGAAATGTCACATGTGCCAGGCTGAACTTCTTTCAGGAAACATGTTGATACTAAATGTTGATTTTAACCTTTGCTCAGTGAAATATTTTTCACCAACTGCACGGCAATGGAGCATTTTTTAGTTAGGACATTTTTTTTGCTAAATACATTTTGTTCTATCCTGGGGTATAAACTGATTTATTTTTTAAAGCGTTTATTCCCAAATTAGACATAAAAAGTGTGATCATGAGGTCGAATGAGTTGATATTGGCATTAATAGTTTTTCAAATGTTGTTATTCTGCAAAAGTAATAGTGAAATAATGATAACAAAAATGTTTTTCCCTTCAGCTGTTTAAAGAAAAGGGAAAAAAAAAACAGCTTGACTTTTTTTTCTTTTTTCTAATCTTGGATGAATTTAACTTCAGAATAGCCTCCAATAGATTTAGCTGAAATGGACTGATTAAATAATGCCCTCTTGTGGTCTTAATATGAGGATTATTAAAAAGAAGTAAATATTTAATTAATAATTCTATGAAAACCGCACAAATACCAGAACATTTTTCATGTTCAGTGTTTTATAAACTGGTTAGCACATATTTTAAATCATATAAAGGTTTTAATTACTGCTTGTATTTGCTTTATTCTCAGGATTTTTGCTCTATTTAGCAGAAACACACACACAAACCCTCCTGCTCAGACTCTTGGCTGATGAGAATTACTCTCTCTTTTCACTAGATGGGGTCAGAGCATCATTTAAAGGCGTTGACACAGAGCTCATCTCGCCCCTTGAACCTGGAGGTGCACTAAAATTTCTTGATAAAGCTGCACCTTGATTCTCTTTTAGGTTTTGCAGAGATTCCTGTCTGATTATTATTTTTTTTTGCATCATATTAGGCTGGGTCGGTCTGGTTTGCCTCTCAAAAGAAGAGGTTCGAATATGTTTTCTTCCCGCATTCGTTGGTGTGCAGTGTTGAAGTGGAATCAGCACTTTGTAAGGCGCTTTAATGCGGGAGAAAAATCTTGTGTGCACAAGAAAGTGTGTGTTTTTAACATTAGGTTGATTCAAAGCGGCTGTTTCCTTTTGCGCATGTGTGTTTGTGTGTGTTTTGCGTAACTGGCATTTAAATTAGATTAACCAAAACTTTCTGAAAAACTCATTCCCCTTTAGATAGAACAATGTGGGGTTTTTTTCCCCTCTTTTGCACACATTCACTTTCTCACAATTGCGTTCTTGATTCGATAAAGTCCACAGAGTTTCCCCCTTCTCTCTGTCTTTTTTTCCCAGCAGCCCTCCCTGTTCATACATTCATTTGAGAGTAGCATATCATTAGCTCATGGTTGTGTTATGGCGCACTGTTGTTCGTCCTGTCCCGGCTCCTCAGTGGGTTTGAATTGGCCTGGGAAAGAGACGGGGGAAAGCTTAACCAGCAGCACTGTGAGGCTCTGTGGAGATGACAAGTAGCTCCTTGATTAACCCATAGGCTGGTTGAGCGGACACACTGTGTTCTTTATTCATTCCCCTTGTCCTTTTCTTTCAGAAAGAGACCCAATAGGGCCCAGCAGGTGAATGTAAAGAAACGCGAGAGGACTCCCCTCCGATCGGCCCTTTCAGCCCCTCACAATGGGCCGGCCCACCTCTTGTACAGCTGCATTAAAACCCTGATTAAAGTTCTTCCTGTTAGCAATTGATTGAGGATGCGGAGCTAAAACCAACAAAAACCTGCACTGCTGAGGTCTGATAATGACCGGGCCCCACCTACAAAGAGCGGGCTTCAAATGATTAGTGGACTTTTGTTTTCTTAGGAGGTGTGTTTGAGACTGAGTGTGTGTGTGAGTGAGTTAAAAAAAAAAAGAAGAGGAAGAAGAAGAGGGAGACGTGAGGGAGGAGAAGTTGTTTAAGCGTACCAGGAGGTCTTCAGACAGATAGCTCTAATTAATCAACAGGGCTCTGTGGGGGAAAAAAGCAAAAAACAACAAAAAAAAACCCTTTCTTTTCTTTTCTTTCTTCTCATTTTTTCTTTCATTTCAATCAGCAATGACAGCGTGAGTGTGTGTGTGTGTGTGTGTGCAGGTGCATGTGTGATGATGGCTTGATTTTTTTTGGTGCCATGGCCTAAAATTAAAGACACACAAATTTTTGTTGTCAGATTATTACCAGATGAAAAATTATTCTGAGTTTTCCTAAAAATACAACAGAAAATGGTTAAGAAGAAAGAGAAATAAAGGGAAACAAATGCAGAGTGAAGCACAAATCAAAGGTAAAGGTTACTGCGTTAGTACTCCCCTGATCACTAAAACAGTACAGACAGTAGAGAGGAATAAAAAAAATAAAAAAAAGCATCTGGCATGTTTCTCGTGGTCTCCTTAAACTTTCACATGCTCATCATAATCAGGTTTTGAAGTGCAGATTTTTAAACACTCTTGTATTGTTATGTAAACAGCCTTTTTTTGCATGTTAATCCTTTTATGAGGGGGAAGATAGGGAGACGCATGACGACATGGGAAATGATTTGAGGAGTAGACACTGAGTAGACTTTAACAATGTGCGTGCCAGTGTGTGTGTGTGTACGTGTGTGTGTGTGTCTAGAGAGGGGCTCTTCAAGAATGCATAAATATTGCATTTCTTTGTTTGACGGATGTGTGACACATTTTCATGTTTCCTCAACAAATTCCACTGTCATATTCTTCCTTTTGTCAGTCATCTTCCAAACAGCACATCCTGACAATTATCCCAGAGAAACTCCTGATCAAAAACCGCCTTATTCTGTCTGCTGCCGGGCTCCATCACACACACACACACTCGCACACACACACTCACACACACACACACTCATTCTGCATCTCTTTCCTCTCCCTGCAGCTCAGTCTCCATTTGGATATACCGCTCCACTCATAAGTTCAAATGCAAAAATTACATTTTACAAAGCATTTGTGTCAACTTTATCTCACACATTTGTAATGTCTGTTTGTGGATGCAGGATGCGGTTTATTAGCGTGTTGCAGAGTGTCACTCTGAGTGTGTGTGTGTGTGTGTGCTGTAACGAAGCAGCTAATTCACAGTTTCAACAGAGGAGGGCATCGTGCATTAATGTGGGCCACTCTTAATAAAAAGACTTGTCAGCAGAATAATGATAATAATGGCTCTGGAAAAAATCTCATTAAATAGATTTCGGCTAATTTAGTTCAACATTTCACCAGGAGATTTCATATTTCTGACTGAGTGATTTTTTTTTTTTGTGCTTTTATTTTGTAATTTTTTAAGGGCAAAATAAAAGCATAATAGTGCTGTTATTTTAAGAGATTAGATAAAACTATTAATAGGAAATTCAGGCGTAGGATTTCTCAAACATTACGATACAACAGAGCATCAAATATGTGTAGTTTGGATAATGTGTGGTGTAAGATAAAACGTCAAATGTACACCCTTATATGGAGGCTGGTTCGACTTCCTTTGCTGCTCATTATCCCTCCCTCTTCCTGTCCTATCCAATAAAAATATCCTAAAAGTAACTATAAAAATATATAAAGTCAATGAGGTTATATGCGAAGAAACAGTCCCAGACATAGGATTCAAACGGAAGTATGATGCATCAAGTAATAATGTCAGCCAAGTAATGTAATACCACATTTCTCAGTGGTCTGGTGTTGCTATTTAGAGGTGTTCACCGGAGACTCAAGTAAATATAGAATATGATATTAAACATAAATGTACATGATCAAAAAAAGAAAAAGGAGGCAATGAAAGAAACAGGTCCTAAAAATATCAGAGGTGATGAACAAGGTGGGGTCAAATTCCTAGCAGCACCCCTGAATATGATAGTAATGAAATATAGTGACAACAGGGTAATTAATTAATCAATAACACACACATTAATATCAGGTCTTTGAATTATTTATTGTTTATTATGATAAACTAAATCTTCAATTTTTGATTCACATTTTCACTCCAAGTTGTGTGTGTGTGTTTTCAAGTTTTAGGGTTTACAAGTAAAGCAGTATTACTTCAGAGAGAAAAAAAGTACAAATTCACACACTTTATATCACAAGAAAAAAGCTTTGTATTCAGTCGATGCTGGAGTGTTTGAATAGCAGAGAGAGAAAAATAGAGACAGACAGGTGGAGGACAGCACTGAGGAGGCCCTCAGGCTGCAGAGAGGGTCTTGGGCAGATTGGCTCTGAGGCTCCACAACAACCATCCTCACATCCCACACATTTATCAGGGTAGGGTTAGTGTATCACACAGTGCCTATACTTATGCTGTGCAAACACACACATACACACACATTTAGACACCCGCCTACGCCCACTGTAAGTCTTATAGCCTTTTTAACTTCTCCTCTGTGCACCTCTTCCTCCCACTCTGCTGTTATTAGCCTCAGACAATCAGACTACCTGACTCCACCTCGCGGCGTGTGTGTGTGAGTCAGAGCGACCTGCAGTCCCAGTTATTTTCAAGAGCATAATTGTTCCATGTATAAAACTGCCGCCGCAGAATCAAAGTAATGATGCAAGAAAGAAATATTAGTATGAAAAAAGCAAAAAATGTCAGAGACGATGAAATTATTTGAGATTCTTCTTGTATCATGTGACGGAAAAAGCATCCCAGACATAGTATCAGATCACAGAGTGCTGTAATGCATAACACACCGAGTCTGCTTTTATTCTTGTAACTTAAAGGCTTTGCAGCTCAGCCTAAGCCCTGTATTTTATTTCATATATGGTCAGGGAGTCTTATTTAGTCTTATATGACGCAAGAGAGGCCTCGGGCGCATGAAAAAGGAGATTCAACTTTCGACAAGAGACTCTATCTCTCTTTCATTTGCACCTTGTACATCTCTACGCTCTTTGGGGCTCTTTTTGGTTTATAGAAGTGGACATTAAGTTTACCTGGCAGGCAGCGGAGAGGGATAAAAGCAGGGGCCCGTTGATAAATCCCGCTCGGATCGTAGTCGGACTGAACAATGTCTACAACAAGCCCAGGGAGTGTAAAAGCTTTGAAATACTGTTTCTGGGTACTCCCGCTGTTCTAAATTCACACTGCTGATTTATTATGGAAAGGATGCAGTGCTGCTGTCTGCCTACAAGTCTGCTTTTTATGTGAATGTGTAGTTGGTCAAAAATGAATGACCTCAAAGGGAATAAGAAGAGTGAGAAATTAATAAAAGCTGGCAGCTTTCTTTCCCAGTTTATTATGTCACATTAGTCAGTCTCTGCCTTTCTCAGGAACACAGAATCTGTGACTTCTTACATCGTGGTGTAAATCTGAAAAATCTGTGTTTACCAAGATGTTCGTGAAACACTTTTTGTGGGCGTAGTCCAACAACCGCAAAGACTGACAGTCTTGACACAACCCCTATCCTCCGCACCAGCCCTCCAGCCTCTTCTTTGCCCCCCTTCCACAAACCAGGGGTCTCCCGCGGCACAAACAACAGCACATAGCCACACACTCCACCCTTTGGAGTCAGCGCCGGGTCACGGAGGCCGACGCCGGGCTGTGCGTAGCATCAAACACACATGTCAGAGTGAAGGACTGCCAGATTGTCAGCAACTCTTCTCATCCAACCCTAAAAATATCTCGAACGCGCCGCCCCCTCCTCTCGTACGCACACACATACACACTCACAGCCTCAATATCCTGATCTGTCTGACCTCGCTGGATGTGGATCAGTGCAAAGGAACTGACAAGCCAGACTTCAGGCATGCCAACAAGTCTGGTGTCGATGAAGTGATGCTTTGAATTAAAAGTACGTTTGACGCTTAAGAGGAGCTAACCTTATTTGGCCAGCTAACGTGATTTGAGTGGGCTCAGACGGAGATAAAGTGCTATGGTGTGTGGAGAGAAATGGATCTCTGCCAGCCGGATCTGCTTATTCAGTTGATAATAGAAGCAAATGCTGCTAAATGAACCCTGAGGTTCAGCGCAGAGCTAATCTGAAATGCTAACAGTTGCCCTTGCATTTACGCTATTCTAAGCTTCATCGCTGCAGTTATCTAATAGCCGTTTGCTAAAAGTATTTAGCGTGGGGATCATTTATAAGCTCTCGATTTTTCATTTGCATCTGTAAAAGGAGTAAAAGTGAATCTAATCCAAATGAAAGCATGTGTGGGTGTTTTCTAGGTTTGTGATTTTTGCTCCCGCTGAATTTTTATGCTAACCCCATTGACATATTTGTTTAGCACTGGATGTATTCACAGCTAAAATGGTGTTTGTCGCCCATAAGGAGGCAAAGTCTGTTATGAGACGTGCCTTTGATGGGGGAAAGGCCGAGCTTCTGGGCTGTTTTCAGAGGTGAGAGGGTGTCAGGAATGGCGAGATACAAAGTGCAGAGGCGTTGATTAGGTGGAGGAGGGTGAATCTGGAGATCCTGGAGAGAAAGATTTGACTGTAAGGACGCCCATGTGCATTAAGTAACAGAGTGCTAAATGTTCGCATCTCTCCTGCCAACACTTTCTCCGTGGCGTTGTTGTTTATGGTGGACTCTTTTGCTTTGTATGTAAAGAGGCTGAGGTGGAGCTCCCCCACCCTTCGCTCTCCAAACTCATCCTCAAAGAGCATTAATCATTGGTTCTCAAAGACACGGTCTCTCTGAGGAGCAGTCACTCGCCAGAAGATGACGAGACACACATGAAAGCTATAGCAAGGAACAGAGGAGGGGGTTGAGATAAGGTATAGTGAACTATCCTGCAGGGAAAAAGGGGAGAGGATTTCCCCTCTCATTAAAGATCAACTGCTCGTCTCTCGCCGAACGAAAACTCCTCCTTGGAAGCAAACAAACAAACAAACAAACACTTGAAGGGAACATTAAATGGAGGAGAGGCTTTCAATTGATGCTATTGCTTTATGTCGCCTATGTGCCTCAAATACACCCACCGGTGTTGTCAGTATTTGCTGTGCATAGGCTCCACATATTCCTGGAGGTCAGGTCACAGGTGGTCTCAGGAGGATAGAAGACCAAAGCTGGTCCTGGTCTGCTCTTCTTAGAGATGCCTTTATGATCTCCAAGCATGAGGACCAACCCCTGCTGGGCCTTTAATCCGGTCTAAAGAGAGGTAGGATGATGGCTTCTTCTCTCGCTCTATGGCCGTCGGGTCCTCCCAACACCTCCCTGTGTATGAGGGGGATTAGCAATACAGGCCTGGAGCACCCCTACTGTCTCAGTAAGGAGCTGACCTTGCAACCCCGTAGCCAGGTGGAGCTCCAGGATGGATGGATACTCAGGTTTAAATGAGGTGTCCTGATGGGCACCAGGTAAGACAGGTCACCAGGGGTCGACGAACCTCCTGCTGTCAGACACAAAAAGAGCCAGAGGATCACCTGCCGCTCGCCAGATCAAATGCAGGCTTAAATAGGGGGCTCCTCTCTTGTCAAATCTCTCTCCATGAATACTCAGCAAGGCCAGAACCTGCTCTACAGCCCCCCCTCCCCCAAGTCCTGGCCTCCTGTAGACCTGAGACCCTGTTGACGGCTAACACCTCCTGTACTTCAGCCCAGGTCCCCCCTCGCAGTGGCCATCAAGCTCTTAATTCCTCCTCTCAGCCCATCACTAAGTACTGTGTGCATAATGGACCTATAATCAACCTCTGGCCAATGGAGCCTTTTCTCTCAGCGTGTCTGCACTCATGTCGAGCTTGCATGTCGAGTTGCAATGAGATGCTAATTAGACTTCATATCTACGGGGCTAATCTGTGTGTTCGCATTCAGGTGCTTTTAATCCACTCCATAGCTGAGCGGCCTGCTAATTTGCAGGTAGTATTTCCATATAGTGGTCAAGGGAAAAGGGTGGAATTATCTTATGAATTATTTCGATGAAGACATCTTTGAAGGTAGCCGTTCGGGCTGTAATTTCGAAGTTCTTATGTGGAGCGCGGTCTATGGTTGTAAGGTTAATGGTCAGATCCTGTTCTCGACGCCAAATAACCTCATCAAACTGCACTGCATGACAGGGTAAGTGAGGGGTGTGGCGGTCTAGGTGCCCGACACAATGCCCCCTGTCAGTCAGCCTCATTCCTGGGGGGTGAAGAGGTGTGAGGGAGGGTGGCAGCCACAGGCCATTGGGTCCCCGCGATTGGCCTTAATCCGCCAGCTAATAAGTTCAGAGAGGGGCCATATGCTGCAGTGCAATGTGCGGGGAGGGGAGTGTTGCCTCATGTTACTTACACCAGGCCGGTGCTTTCTCAGGTACCGCCCTCCCACGGTCTGTTCCTTTGTACTGGGGGATCAGCCCTCTCCACGCTGTGAATGGTCCGAATTGATTAAACCCCACCGTATAATTGTCAGCAAATCCCAGCGAATCATTTCCCATCCATTTGAAAAGTACAATGTGCATTTCTCTCTTTTTCCTCGCCTCTCTTTTTTTTCCCCTCTCACCATCCCCACCCCTCAATGCCCTGCCCCTCCTGTTTTTTCCACTCCTCTTTTTTTTCTTCCTGGGTTTCAAGTTTGTCCCTGCATGCCACTCTCTCCCCTGCATGAGAGAGAAATGAGAGAGAAAGCAGAAGCAGGAGGAGGACGGGGATAAGAGGAGGAGGCAGGGGTGAGGAGGAGGTGGCGGGGTATGCTTGGTTGGACACTTGGCCGTAGATGAAAGTGGGCAAAAGGGAGAGGTGTGTTTTAATCTGTGGCCTAGGCCAGGGAGCTGGGGAGCTGATCTGAGCTGGTACCTGCCTGGGCACAGTCGGGGCGGAGTCTGGTCGCAGCATCAGGTAAACAATAGGACGTCAGGGTTTAAGGGAGGCAGGAGAAGTTGAACAGCTTTTTTCTGCAGTACATGTGAAGTACTTTCTATCTGTATGTGTCAGCCCTGTTGGCTTAAACAGATCTTTATTTGACAAAATTATCCCAAAAACACAACTTGTGTTTGAATTTTTTGACCTGGCTCTTATTCTGTCAGCAATATGAGGAAGAGCATCACTGTTAATGAGTGTATCACAGTAAACCAACATGGCTCTTAACGACATCAATGCAACAGGTGTAAATCGTTTGACACGGCTAATTTAAATAGCAGATGTCACACCTCAATATAGATGGATTCCCCATCAGTAGGAGTATTTACACTGAGATTGTCAACCTGATAAAGATGAAGGATCTAAACCCTGTTCCTCCATGGTGCAAGAGCGTATAGCCTTAGTAGATTTTGGCTGTGTCCGAAATGGATCCCTAACCCCTATATAGGCGATTATATGGGGGTTAGCGCCATTTTGAGGGGTGTCTAAAACCCGAGTGATCAATTCTAATGCCCCATATAGGCGACTCAAAATTTCCCATACAGCATTGCAAAATGTAGTGACCATCTGATCTGTACAGTTGTCGAAAAACAATTGTTTGCTGCGTCATATAATCTCGTGCACAATATGACACAGCAAACAATATTCAGCATGAAAATATAATGCCTTTTAAATAAATTATTCATTATTGTTTTTTTATTTATTTATTTTTTATTTCGCAAACATCCTGGAAAAACAAATACATCTATACAACATCATAAAATTCAAGAGATGTGAAAACAACGGGTGCAACTTCAGACGTGGCAGTCTGAGCAGTGACGTCACAACGGTGCAACATGTAGTGTCCGAAATCTGCTGTGATTGAGTTCACTACATAGTCAGCCTTATAGTGAAACCCCATATGGGGGTTAGGGATTCATTTTGGACACAGCCCCTGATTAAAGCCTCCTAATGATGTCAGTGCAACAGGTGTAAATCGTTTGAAACGGCTAATTTAAATGGCAGATGTCGCACCTCAATAGAGATGGATTCCCCATCACTTTACGCTGAAATTGTCAACCTAAGACAGATGAAGGATTGTGTAAGACGCAGTACAGCTTTTGTTGATTTTAGGTATTAAAATGTAATTTATTCAACCTTGTCCGCAGCAGAAGGAGGAGGTTTTAACTAAAAGGTCAATGTTGAAGTCCAAGTTTAAGTTCATTATTTTTATTATTGTTCAGAAGGAAATTTGATATACAGATATACAGTCACTGAGAGAAAATAACATGAAATTTATGACATACACATTTTTCATGGTTCATACAAAGATCAAAACATTTTATTCCAACGAGAAACAGCAAAACTGAAACCTCACCAAGTCACCGAGTCACAGAGTGAGCAAGTTTGTTTTCAGCCAGTCCAGACTTGTTCTACGAATGAAAATTGTCCCAAAAAAACGTAAAGATTTGGTATTAGAAGAGGGGAAAGGTCAAAACACCTTGTGGTTCACACAACATTGAAGGTCCCCTAACCTTTGACCCGACTTTGACCCTTTTTTTACGTCAGCAAAGAAAAACTCTGGATCAGAAAAATACATATATGCCATTAGGAGTCAAATATAAACCGTGTTTTACAAATATCCTTTTTTTTAGCGTTTACATTGAATTCTGAATCACAAATGGCAGAGCTGTTCTTCATGGTACTGACCAGAGACCAATCATGACCTCTAACATGTGTCCGTCCTCTATTCAATCCTCCATTATGAGAACACATGTTCAACAGCCTTTCATTGATCTGAGAGGTCCCCTGACAGAGGTTCAAGACTCCCTGACCTCAGTCATTTAACCTTTAACCTCCAGCTACTAATTGGAATTGGTCTGGGGGTTTAAGTCATTTCAGGCGCCTTTGTGGCTTCGAAGGCATTCATTGATATCAAGCTGTTGACATATTTTGACTATATTGAAGTTTGCGGCAACATATTGATGCCGAATCTCTCTTTAATGCCGGTGATGGATGTGTACAGCCTTGGCTGTGCTTGATAGAAAAATCTTGACTCAAGGTCAACATGCTGGCCTCTCAGATACCTTTTTTTGATCTTTATTGGTCGATGTTGTGCGCTTACATGAGTAGGAAAAGCGAAGGATACCTTAGGCGTTCAGATACGGACCTCTCAAACTTCATGGCTTTTTGTTGGACTGGTTCTTTAAGGCCCAAGCTCAGGCTAAAAAGGTGCTCGTACCATTATAAGCGTGTCATATGGAGCAAAATGTCATTATGGATCACATCATATTTTACACAGTTCTTGATCCTCATCCCTTATAGATCCATCTCACATACGAGCTCATATACATACACGCAGGCTCTGTCAGGAATCTCATAACCTGACATTGATCTTCAACTTTGACGCTCGGCTTTCATTACTGGCTGAAGGGCGTTGTTTGTGGGAGCGATCTTCATGTAAAGTGCTCATAAATGATCACAGGCCATGCGGGCAGATTTATGATCATGGGGGTTACAAGGAGACGTGGGACAATGCAGCATCTCATCTAGACCCCGTATAGATTGCGCCATCCCGTTGGTTTGGGGTTCGTGTGTGGTCGCGGTGGTGATGATGAAGAAGAGGTGGAGAAATATGAGGAGGCAGAGGAAAGGGCGGAGAGGAGAAGTTATAGTTTTGATGCTTTTGGACAGGTGATAGAAACAGGTGCTAATTCATAACATGCAAATTCTCATATGGTTACAAAACACACATTAACATGCTAATTCTGGATATAGCTGGTGGTCAGGAAGTGCTGCAGACCTCTGGCCCCTTATTTCCATGCAGAATAGTTAACCTTGAGATCAACGTTGGAAAATGCAATCCTCAAAGACTGTCCCTCCAAAGACCCCATCTACAGTTAATTATCATTTCCCACTCGCACCTCTGCATTGTTAATGATTTCCTTTGCATATTTTCCCTGCTTTTCCAAGTAAAGTAATCTCTATCATGGTGCTTTATCCAGGCAGGTGTTGGACTGTGAATTCAATTACGACAATGCAGATATTCTCTCGCTTAAAGACTTAATCTCTCTAGGTTAGAAAAATCATGATAGGCTGATGAAAGTTCCTGCTGACATTGTCTGTGGACACGCGCAACTAGAGTGACGCTTCAACAAATGCAACCGCCATGCTTTAATGCTTAAAGTTGCGGCGTTACTATTATTGTCTGCCAAGTTTTTGGCGTTTTACACGCAGCTCTGAGCGGGAGGTTAGCAGCCCATCATGTCAAGGGTCATTAATCCTTCACTTGTGCAGCCAAAGTCCTTAATGATGTCCACTAACAGGCTCAGGAGTCTATCAGTGAGAGTCTCCAGAGAGCCGAGCGGTGGTGTTTGGTTCACACACTCTGACCTCTAGTGACCACGGTCGTCTGACCCACACATGGGCCCTCGCACCAATGGGGTCATCAATGGGACCCTGTCAAGGGCCGTGAGCAAACAGATTAGGCTCCATTGTTTGTAAATAGGATGACCAGCTGCCTCACTGCCCATCACTACAATTATATGACCCGCGAAGAAGAACCTTTATAGATGTCTGTGACTGTTTTTCTTTAACATAATCATCAATAAATTAAAATACGCTCTGGTGTCGAGAAAATGCAGGCACAGGTATCAGTACACTGAAAAAAAAATCAAAATCAAGCAGGTGTTTGTCAGCAAAAAGTCTCATTAGACCAGACCTGGGCATTTTACGGCCGGAGGGCCACTTGTCCTTGCCCAGCCCTTCGTAAGGTCCGTCAATCAAATCAACATGCTATACAAGTGTGTGGCTTTTATTTTAAAAACTTAGGCATTGTTTTATTTCCATTCGGACGCACATGCGTACATCCTAGATCTGCATTCATGAACAGAGACAAGTTTAAACATCAGCAAAATATACATAGATGCCTCAAAACTCGTGAGTCGCTGATGCACTTTTTTGGGGCTTGTTTTTAACTAGTAGTTGCTTTTTTGGGCTTTCTTTTCTGAATGTGAAGTTATTGTTGGTTCGGCCCTCCAGCACAATTCAGGTTTCTCATGTGGCCCCATGTAAAAATAAATTGCCCACCCCTGCACTAGACTCAGAATTCATCTAACAAGTCAAGATAAACGTCTTAATTCAAGGTATCTAAGACCTGAATTGCTTGTGATTAATGTAAAATATCTGTCACCACATGGTCAGAAACATTAATTAATAAAGTTTGATTCGACAGGTTCGACAATTATCTTCTTACTCATTACAAACAATTCAGATCGCCATTTAGGCTAATAACACCTTAAAATGAGATGTTTATCTGGACTTTTCACATGAAGTGTAATAGACTTTTTTTCCCCGCTAGAAATAAGACAAAAAAAACAAGTTTGTCTAGTTAATGTGGTATTTTTTCCTTTATTAAACCAAAAGGATTAAGTGAATTTCACATAGTAAAAAAAATCTGTTCATGGCAACCAAACCCGATTCTCTTCAACTGTGAAAGCATTCACCCCCCTCAAAAAAAATTGGCTTGAGTTGAGTGTTGCTCGGTGTCAATCATTCCCTCATTGACCCCCTGCTTCCTGACAAATTGCCCCCCTGCCACTGTTCAGGAACTCTCCCCGTGTCCACTCATGGCTGTAACCCCCCCCTCTGACCCTTGGGAGAGAGAGCCCTGTGTGGCTGACCACCGTATCCTCATTTGACCTGCATCTCCCATATGGAGAGGGGGCAGAGAGGAGACACTGCTGGAGGGTCAAAGGTTAAATGACCAGGACTGTTTACAAGGCAATGGGGAGTTCAAACAGCAGACATTTGTCCAGTCTTTGTCCGCTCACACTTAATGGACTGTTAAAGAGTACAGAGGCACTAAAGCACTAAATTTAAACATATTCACTAAAGGAATGAGGCGGACTAATTAACCCCAATTATAAGGTGTATTAGTGGCTGTTTTTGCCTTAACTGTACAGAAATATACTTATTTTTAATAAATTCTTCTGACTAATAAATAAGCAGCCTCCAGTCCAAACTTGAACCTTCCACATCTCAGCTCCTTCACATCTTCTCACATGGGTTATGAATCTGATTAACACAGGGTTTGCTTTTGTTTGGACACCCTGTGTTTACATAAAGAGGCCCAGTGGGACCAGCCCTGGAGGTCAGGGGGTCGATCCTTGGTTGTCAGAGAGCCTTGTGACATTTCTTTCCCACGTTTCCCAGCTTCCATTGTCCACGGCGAGGAGCCCCCGTTAACGTTTGGCCCTGGGAGGTAGTGTGGCGTGAGAGGGAGGCCTCGGGGTATTGGACCCTCAGCGGGTCCCTGGGAAACGGGCGTAACCAGGCGGGGCCGAGGCGAGCGGGGACAGCATGGGGTCATTTTCCGGCTTGCTGCCCCTCTAAAGGGCTTTGGAGCACAGTATTGGCCCCTGGAGGAGTGCTGGTGTGGAAGACAGTACAAAGGGCTTTGTCTGTGTGTGTGTGTGTGTGTGTGTGTGTGTGTGTGTGTGTGTGTGTGTGTGTGTGTGTGTGTGTGTGTGTGTGTGTGTGTGTGTGTGAGAGAGAGGGATGTGTGATTGACTGCACACCTCAGCAGCTTCATGTGAGTTTCCAATTATTATTATTTTACAAACAACAAATTCTTGTCCACCTTCTTATCAATATCCAATTCTGATCATTATAGATCAGAAGGTCGTTGGATATGAGCTCTAGTAAAGATTTTGTGTTGCTTAATTGCTAAATAACTATCAACACAACACCCTAAATTAAAACAAATAATCTGAAATGACAAATCTGATGAACATTCTGAATGCAGCACTGATAAACATGTAATTTTCAATAGAGCCCGACCGATATGGATTTTTTTGGAGCCAATGTCGATGCCAATTATTAGGGGGGGGGTCAGATTACCGATTAATTGGCTGATTTTTTTTAAAGTTTTAAAATGTTGTTAATTTATGTAATATATCTACATATTTACTTATATTTTTAACAAATGGCTGCTGTTGAGCCTTTCAAACACTTCTTCAAAGAATTAAAGGCAGAAAACTTATTTCAAATCCTTTTTACAGGTATTTTGTGTAAAGTGCAAACAATAAAGTTAACTTCCAACTCTTTTGCTCAACATCCTCTTCTCTCACATCCCTCAAAACAAACAATAAAAAACAACTGCAAAAGAATGAGGTAAAGTGTGTTATATTAATATTGTTCTTATGTTACTAAATACCTAATTCTTTTGCCGTTTTTTTTTTTTTTTTTACTGCTCTTTACACTGACAGGAAGACGACTGATCATCTCAGTAATATTCCACCTATTTATCATGAATCAAACTCCGACCAGCAAAGCGTTTTTAACTTCTTCTCTGTCGCTGCCTGTTTCAGATCCGTCACTCTGTTGTGCTGTGAGGTAGTTAGTGGATGAAGACTGTCATGAGGTTGCTGCGCCATGTACAGGATAAGTCGCGGGGTCTTTTCAAATTGCGGAACATTTTCGAAGTGAAGCCGAATCTTATTCTCCGCATTTTATTTCTGAAAGTATTGGCGACAATCGGTGAGTTTTGGCCGATTATCGATTAGTCTCAAATGGGCTAAAATTGGCTGATTTAATTGGCTCACAGATAAATCGGTCTGGCCCTAATATTGTATAAAATATGGATATTCAACTTGCTAATCACTGTCTTTCTATCCAGAAATAAGAATTTAGGAGCAAACTTGACATAACATGAAGAAATATTACTTTGAAAATGTTGTTTCTAACAACTTTACTGTAGCTAAATTTAGAAATAATGCCCTCGCTTTATATAAATCAGAATAATATTACTGAATTAGCAGACAAATCCCCTTCTTTTTACACCTTTCCTCACTAAGAAGACGTGCCTTCACATTTTGGCTCTTGTACACCCGGGTTGTCATTTGAAGCTAACACGCTAAGCTATTGAATAATAAATAGACGTCAGCAAAATGAATAAATAAAACATATCACCCTGCCATTATCACCTTTTTCTCTGTCTACATGCCAGAAAAGATATAACCAACGCTCGTCCTTATAATCAGGTCATCCTTTTTTAATGTTAGCCTGCTCCTTTTCTGCAGGCGCACTGACAGCTTCTCAGGAGGCTGCTGCTGCTGCTGCTCCAGTCGAGTCGACGCTTACAGTAATGTGCCAGTATGGGGCTTTGTTGATCTGAGAGGGGGGTGCGTGCTCGCTAGCTTTGAGAGATGATGGGAGAGAGAGAGAGAAAGAGAGAGAGAGAGAGAGACCCCTTTACCCCTCACACTTAAACACACTTTCACACACCATCAGTGTTCCTGTGGATGGAGCTGAGAGAAGCAGCAGAGGATCTCGAGGCGCAAACGGTCTCTGGTGTACGGTGCATCAAGAGGATCTGTGCTGTTTCTTCCTCCCCTCGCTGCACCTTGTATGTGTGGCGACAAATGGCAGCCATTTTGTTTTTATGTATTAAAGATTCTCCTCATGCCCCTCCCTCCTTTCACTTTTTTGATTTTTTTAAGCACATATTATGGGATCTTTATTATCAGAGTAGCGAAATCCTCAAACCTAGACTTGTTGTACTCCTTAAACATAATTTCTTGGATCATTAAACATGTTTAATTTCTATTTTCTCACTGGCATCAAGTTTGATAAACCAAAAACAAGCTCAACATGGGAAAAAAACAGAAAAAAAGGGGAAATGTAACTCTGTTTACATGGAAAAACCGTAGATGCACGCTTTGTTTGTCTCTAATAGACCATGCTAGCTCCTGAATGCAACATATAAAAGTTTCAATAAGACGTCTATTCATCCCGGTGTAGGTTTACCTTAGCTGAACGTATTACCAGTAGCATATCAGCCCAGAGAAGCAGCCTGATAGAATCTCTCCACTCTTCCAAATCGCAGACAAAACATTGCAATCTGCTCGGCTGATTGCTGCTATTTTCTTGCTCCTCTCCTTTAGCAGAATTGTTTCCTGCCCTTACGGCTTGAGTTTATCAGGTGTTGAACAATAGGATAGGGATGCTTCATCAGGTGTTAAACAACAGAATAGAATACTTTGGAAAAAGGGTCGCAACTTTCCGCAAACCTCAAAACCGAACTTTATTTCAATTTCATAGAAGGAAAACAGACACAAATCTTTCGATCTGGAAAAAAAAGAAAGAAAGAAACTCAAGGATGCTTTGGATGCAACACAGCATTTCTGCACACCTCTTGTTGAGCAGCCCTGACACGTGGGAGGGAACTATTTTATTCTCAAATGTATTTATTCATGGATCTGACATTTTAAACAACCCCTGCGTGCCTGCGGAGTTACAAAGCAAGCTAATTTTCTATCATATTTCATAGATTTAAGGCTCTATCACGCTCCATACGCAGAGGAAGATTTGCTCGCTGTCTTCCTGCACTCCCAAAGCCTGAACCCGAACTTGGGAGTGCAGAGGCAGATTTATATGCATGCCCCTCCTTTGATGACAGGGTAAATATTCACACAGACAGCCAAGGTGCCCCCGTCATTACCCATGTGCTGCCTGTTTGCCCACCAGTTAAATTCTTAGGGGGATTGTTTGGGGAGATGAATGGGGCCAAAGTGCTGAAGGACGTATCGGAGTTCAGCAAACAAAACCTCCACAGATTGGCTCGGCAACAGCTCGGTCCAGTGGGCAAAGTTAGCAGTGAGGGGGTGAGAGGAGGAAGAAAAAAGGGCCGTTGTAGGTTTTTCGCCTGTCAATTAAGACTGCAGTGAATGGCTGCGAGGTGGAGGGTGCCTGCCATCTCTCAGGTCCTGTTGGATCAGTGCAGATAGCCGAGGTGCCGTTCATCAAAAAAATAGGAGAAAAAAAACCCTGTCAATATTCAACTATTTAATAACCCTGAATGTGCCGCTCACGGTGCCTTTTGAAGACTGTGGGGTCTGCGTATCCCTTTGATGTACTTTCATTGTCAGACTCTCTATCTGAAATCTTCCAAGATGGAATTGGTGACATTTTCTCTTTTTTCATTCATTCAATCCAACCTCAAAGGTTTCCTGCAGTATTTCTCTAGTCCAGGATGCTTTGTTGTAACAGTATGGGGGGTGCAGAGGGGGGGCATTCAAGTTGGCTGTAGTTCCCCACTAGGATTTCTATCACAGTGTAATGGAACACCAGGAGATTTAGGCAGGGATGTTACTGACAAAATATATATATTTTATGTGCCTGGACTTCTAAAGCATAGACCTTGGAGTCTAGATTGCTCCAATTTACTTCCTTTTCTCAATATGAGACACACATTGAAAGACAACATACTTTCTCTTCCACGAAAAAAAAACACAAACACACCCAGACACACAAAAACAGATTCACAGTTGACTCGCTTGTCACTTCCAGCTCTAACTAGATTTATATATATATTTAAAAAATCTTCATTTTAACATCTTTGCACACTCTTTACTATGAAAATATTGAACATACAAATGAGGCTTCATCACACAAATTAGGTTTTTAATTCCTTTTATTAAAATATACAAAATTAAGTGTGTTTGAACATAATTTAAAAAATAATAATAATTTGAATATAGGATTAAATTGTTGATTTTAAAGTTCTATCATTTTTCTATCCTTTCATTACTCTGTGTCACTGTTTTATGTATTGTGTTACTGTATTTTAAAGGCACTGTAAGGAGTTTTTCACTGCTTAAGAAACTGACTGAATCTGACAGCAGAGACTCTTTATGACCTTCAACATTAAACTAAACAGATAATTTCTCTGTTGTTGTTTTTAATGCCTGAAACTGTTTAAGAAAGGGACTTTTAAATATTCTTCTTTGGCATTAGAATTAAACATTTTACTGTTTAAGAGAAAGAGGATAAGGTTTTTATCTGGAAGTATTACTTTTGCACGTGCAGGACAAGAAACAAAAGGCATCACTTTGTCCACAGGAGGCGCTGAAATCAACACAAACCAAAAGTTACTTACAGCAGCTTTAAAGCAACACAGAAGATGGTTGTGTTGGTTGTTCTTCTTTACAGTCTCAGTTTTTATCTGAAACAAATGTGCTGATATGAGTTCTTACTGTCTTTGTTCATCTTTTTTTGTTGTCCAACTGGTGTATTTTGGTAAGACATTTGTTTACAGTCTCTGGTAGGAAGCTAAAACCAGCTAGCTATCAAAAGTCTGACCAAACTCGTGCTAGCAGCTGGCATAATAGTGCTTTATCACATCTTTATCTGCAGGCTGGACTTAATTTTTCTAAGACAGGACTGAGTGAGGCATCTTGTTTAAAAAAGAGCACCATTTTGAGACAAGAGGAGAGGAAGAAAAAAGGGTTAAGGACAATTTCTTTGTAGGATTGAGTATTTATCATCGTAGATTGTTGCACTCTTTAACAAGGTAGCAAAACTCAACATAACTGCTACTGGGATGTTTGTTAAATGATCGTCAACTTTAACAGTGTCAAGCTAGCTACCAGTCTAGTCTCCTCCTAAAATCTAAAACTAAAACGAAACAATAAACTCCTGAGAAAATTAACGCCGATGCTCGTCCAGTGAGATTTTAGTGTGATAGCTGGATCCCCCTAATTTATCTGTACAGTAAAATAAATAACCAATTTAAAATCTTTGCTGTTTTTCATGTTAATGCTCGATAATCACTCAGCAGTTTTAAGCATCGAAGAAATATGAAAACAGCCAATCTTAGCCTATGTTCACACTGCGGGTCAATTCCGATTTTTTAACCATTTGTGACACATATCTGATTTTTTCATGTAAGTGTGAACAATGCCATTCTGATTTTCTCAAATTTTCTCAAATCCGACCCAGGCCTCTTTTGTATGTGGATATAAATCGGATATGTATCCGATGTGACTGCAGTGTGGACGCTCAGGTCGCGTTCATCCGATCTATACGTCATCATGTGCGACAAACGTCACCATTGTTCAACAACACAAACAGGCGCGGAAAGCAGTTTGTACTTTGTGCGCATGCGGGTCACTTCACGGATGCATTCCGTTCACATTAGATGCCGCATTCATTGTTGTAATTTGAACGACCGCACAAAAAGATCAGATTTAACAAAAAATCGGAATTGTTCATCATAACCTGCAGTGTGAACGTAGCCTCAGTGGTTTTTTTTTCTTCCTTTTATCGACATCCATCTCAGTTAGTTTTATAACCAGCTCAAAAATTCCCCACAGAAGCTTTAGCTGAAGTGTTTTTTTTTCTTCTCTTGCCTATCATGAATCAGAATTCACATCTCTAGGAAATCAGAGTTTTCAAAAGATCTTGTTCACATTTTTGTAAAATACTGATAAATCTGAATGCCTTTGGTTTTTTTTAAAGGTTAGTGGACGATTGGAGTTGTGTCGGGTTTTTAAAAGTCTTTCTGACTTTAACTTTGAATATGACCCCACTACTTACATGTTCCTCAAAGAAAGGTTGTTATGCAGCATTCTTCAACTAAATGATAGCACCCTCCCTCCTTGACCTGTCACTTTAAGATACCATACAAACAAAGGAAACCTGTTTATTATTGAGCTGCTGAGACAACCTGAAACACTCAAAGCAGAGCCCTGAGCTGAGGCAGTGATGATGATACAGATTCCATGTCACATCCGAGCAGGAAGAGTCCCTCTGAAATGAGTAGGGTGGACTTTCCCTCACTATAAAGTATCTTTCAAGGTCTGTCTGGAGGAGGACATAACTATAGAGCCCACACTCCACAGTGTACAACTGTAATGTCTAACAACTTCCTCCATTTCTCCTCCTCATATTCAGCTAATTTGAGTCTCCCCGTCTCTCTGCGCTGCTGTGTGCTCTATACATCTTCACCCACCATTCCCTCACATTTTCACTCAGTGCACTCTCACTCTGGAGGACCTATACACCGGCAGATAAGAGGAAATGAAGTCTCGTCTGCACAATTTGAAGCGCTGCTTTGAAGCTGAATGCGAAATAGCGGCTGCGCTCCTCTCTGCTCCTCTCCGGCTGGTAAAATAAGGGCCCTCTCGTTAAAAGCACTTTACCTGTGCTCCCTCTATGGATCATTGCTCTCATTAAACAGATTTGGGGTTACATTCAAATCACAATTACTCCGAGCACTAACTGTTAATGGGCACAAGGGTTGAAAGAGTAAGAGAAATGTTTCTGACATTTCTTTTTATTCCTCTCTTTGAGGCGCGATGAGAACACATCAAAAAGGTGTAAGGTGAGGCATAAACCAACCTAAAGCTGAATGGGGATTGATTTCAAAGATGAGCAATATTGAATTGAGTCTGAAATCACATGAAAAAAAGTTAAACTTGACTCTAAATTTTAATCATATGGGAACACTTACATAATTATTCTATGTTTAAATTATAGAACTTTCTCCTCGGGGTTAACTTCAACTGGAGCAAACTCTTGCCCTTACGTGACCTTTGAGTACTTTCTGTGTGAGTTTTTCTGCACTTCAAGTTGCAACAAATGTGTGTTTGTTAGTGTGTGTTTGTGTAAGTGTGTGTGTTTGTCTAGGGAGTCTGGTATAAGAACTAGACGATAGAGAACAACCCCCCTGGGTCCTACGGCACAATGCCAAGAAGAGTGCAGGCAAGAGACTTTCATCCACTCACCACTGAGATCCTGCGGTGTGTGTGTGTAAGTGAGAGTGTGTGTATGTGTGTGTGTGTGTGAGTGAGGGTATACATTCATGTGTTTGTTTAGTGTTTGAGTGAACGGTGAGGGAGAGAGAGGGAGATATGTCACCTTGGGATCTGCAAGAAAAGCAAAGAAATGTCGTTTTTTGCAGATTCAGCAGCTGTTCTTAATGTCGCTCTTTAATCACGTGAATTTAACAATGTTTAAATGACGATCCACACTTTGCATCGACTGTTTGTCAGATCAAGACGAGCCCCCTTCAAAACTAACAGACTTATTGCCTCCTCGGAGAGTTTCTCTGACTTAATAACCCGCTGACTGCCTCAGGAAAAGAGAGCTATAATAAGAGCGTCATTAATGACAAAAAGAAGCAGAATGCAGATATGATGCATCTTAGTGTGTGTTTGTGTTTGTGAGTGTGTGTGTGTTTTACATACAGCACACAGTATGCACACAGTTTAGCATTTTGTGTGTATTTGTGGGCATGCATGCGGTTGCACCTTGCTGCTACTTTGTTGCATGTGTGTGTGTGTGTGTGTGTGTGTATTTTACTGTATGTGTGAGGGCCTCTCCTGGTGACTGCCTAGGGCAAAAGCACCGGATGTAATCCCATGTATGCCTCCAGTCTCTTAGCTGCCTGCGTAGATGTGGAGGAACGTTTTAGCCCCTGCAGTGTGCCGTAGGGCACGGGTGCTCACCCTCCCGCACTGCTAACAGACAGCAGCTGCCTGCTGCAGCTCCAACACTCGCTTTCAACATGTGTGTGTGTGTGTGTGTGTGTGTGTGTGTGTGTGTGACTCTCTTTCTACACTCTGCACCCGTATGACTGGGTTCAATTTCCAGCAATGAGAGACGGCTTAAGCAGGGAGAAATTGACTTTTGACAGCCATTATATTAAAGTAGGCACACTTTCACACATTAATATCAGTGTGAAGAGGTGAAGAGCACTCTCTTGCCTAGAAATCAAATCATCTACTTAATGTAAAGCCTTAACGGGATTGGCACTTGGTTGTACAGAAGCTAAGAAGTATAGAAGGTAAAACAAGCTCATAGTGGAGCCAAGTGTCGCGTATTGATTATGAATAAAGTGCAGACTTCCTCAGGGGCTCAATTCAGGCTCCGTGACAGGCAATCAAGTTTCATTTGACGAACAAATTCAAGGAAACAGACGGACATGAAAAGCCTTATGCAGCGATATGAAATCGGATCACTAACAAAAAATAGAACATCAAGGAAAACCATCGGGGCTTTTTCTTTGTTCTCCAGCTGATGGTTTTACAGAATCTATAAGAAAGAGATCTGTGTGGTCATAAAGATGTTGGTTTATTAAACTGCAGCATTACAATAATCACATCATCTGTAACTGGATTTGGAAATCCTCTGCCTAATGGAGGAAACAAATGGAATTGTAAGCTGTGTCTTTAAAATGTATCTTCACAAACACGAGACTCCACATGATCCCTAGCCTCATTTATCCTGGTTCATTTACAAATAAAATACGTCACATGCTCAGGCTGCTAAATCGCAGCTTTACTGATACGCCAAAGTGTGTCAAAAACAGCTCCTGATTTCTGTTTCTTGACTCTGAGACTAAAAACTCAATCGAATACAGATTTTACTGGTGTGTTTTTTTATTTTTAGCCTTCTTCTCACCTGTCTGTGTCCTCATCCTTTCCTCTGGTTATTATTCCCAATGCCTGCCCTCCTGCGGTGCTGATCGAGAGTTTTGATGAGCTTCTCAAAAGAGGGCTGAAGGAGAGACAGGTGGTCTTGATGATAACTATCCATTCACCCTCTTCTATCTCACCACGCTGCAATCCTCCGCCATTGATCTTACCTCTGATGTCCACAGCTGCAACAGAACCCAGCAGAAAGGTAGATCAATAGGCGTCATAATCGATAGGTCAGGATGAGGAATCACTTGAAAGGTCAGCGCCAATCGATTCCCACATTATTGCACTCTAACCTCTCTGCTGCTGCGTGTCGATCATTAACTATGAAACCCTGCAGGGTGTCGGCTCCCCTGCCTGCTTTTAGCAACATCAACTAATCCTGATTATTAGTTCCGCTCTGGCTGGAGGGGCAGATGATGACTTTTTCTTCATCTGTGTCTGATGTGTTATGGTATGATATCTGCTCGACCCTAACACCTTTGACCTGTCTCTCTGTGAGACCGATCCTCGTTAGGAGAAAGTCCGCCCGCCCCCTGCTGCACGGAGACGCTGCTATACATCCATCATTAGTGAGGGACAGTGCTGTGTGTGGCTGCCTGGCCATATGGTCTTCAGACCAGCATTCTTAAACTCTTGGAGATGATCTCAGGGGGGCCTCAGGTCTCAAATCTTAAACCACTCAGCCCAGAGCGATCCTGATCAAGTAAAGAGTTCAGCATAGATCCACCTGGCCAAATTTGATTTTCACCTCTGTCTAGACGCAGGGAAGCAATGATGGCGTTTTGACTTGTTTTTAATGCAGAGTCATGAGGGTGACAAAAGGAGTTGGCTTACGTAAAGAGGGGTACACACATAAAGATAATCGGGCTGTTTTTGTCCTGATTTTCCCCCTCCCGACCAAGGACAACAATCGGAAGGTTATCTTATGTCTTCTAAGATCATCCTTTAAGATTATCCTGTGGTCTGAGGTGTATTAAGAGTGAATTTGTACCAATACTTGGGTCTGAAATGGGTCAGGGCTGACAATCATAAATATTAAACTTGTTCAATATTTACGACCAAAAATCTTCAGCCGACGACTCCCGAGTCATGACTCTGTGAATAAAGCGATCATCACATAACATAATATTGTAATAATCATACCAGCCATTAGCTTAATTTGAGAACAACTCACCTCTAGTTCGTTCAGTAGACTATAAAGTCCACCTTCACGCTGTCTCCAGGATTTTTTCCACGGTCTTCCTTTTTTTAGTACCGGATTTTCCTGTCAAAAATACTCCCAAAACCACCATCATTCCCTCCTCTTGTGTGTCCTCTTCCATGTTGCGCCATGTTGTTGCTATGTTTCTTCTTTGTTTTTGTTTCTAGATTCTAGATCGGTGGTGGAACAGAATCGTTTTGTGTGTGGTGTGCTGTGTTGAGGTTATCGGGACACACCACACAGAGTACAATCAAAACTGTTCAATGTCTGATTTTTTATCTTCATGTGTGGGGTCTGTAACAGATTAAAAAAATCTCTTTAGATTTAAAAAAATCCTTATGTGTGTACCCTGCTTAAGTTTTTATTCTTAACCTTCCTCCTGTGTTAGCTTTTACTACGCACCCACTATGTTAAGGGTCGGTTTTGACCCGTGTCTTAAATCAGCTGTAAATTACACTAAAAACAATTCTCTATTATCCAATTTGGTTCTCATCTGTAGGTTACCTTGTTAGGCTTTATTATCCATGAAAATATTACTTATAATATTTTTAGTTGTGGGCCTTTGGGTCTTTCTTTGCCAGTAAACCCCCCCCCACACATACACACACACATCTATACTGAACTGATCTCACATGTCTGGACATGTCTGATGTTTTTTGTGCAGGAGGAAACATGGCAAAATGAGAAAATGAGAATTTCCTAAATCTCACATGATTGGAAGAGGATCTGACTGTCAGTGTGGTGCCTGACAGTGCACTTATGATTTCAGTTTTTGCTCTGATTATTAGATATTGATCTAACCGGGTCAACAGCGACCCTAACACAACAAGTGCCATGATTTTGATAAGAGCATTTTATAATTTAGTCAATTTATTTTTTTATTTTGTTGAGATAGGGGTTCCTGACAAAGTCAAAAAGTCTTGATGCAAAAAAAAAGCTAATTTAAGTCATTCTTTTATGCATTTAAAATCAAAAACAGGTCGGTGCAGACCCTCACACAGGAGGAGGGTCAAACAGTACAACTTTTTGATCATCTCAGAGCCAGTGGACGCATAAATCCACAAAAGCCTTGGAAGTTTAGAGTCCCATGTACACAAAGTTCTCATACGATCTGATAAGGTAGACATTTTTCATCCCTGTTAGTAGTAGCCAAGAACAAAGAAATTGAGAGGCAACACAATCTCATATTTAAAGAAAACAGTCTCAGTTTAAAGGAAAAATGACTGAGACGGTGCACAAGAATGCTGAATATGCCAATATGGCATTAGTTTCCAAGTTTGTTTGCTATTACAAAGGATTTGACTTTTATTTGACTTTGATTTCTACCTGCAAACACTGAACATGAAACACTGTGTATACTGTAACCCGACATAAGACATTAAACATTAAACTTACACTCAGTGAGGAGAGCGAAGGAATAATAATCAGGACTGTCAGCGCTTTTATCAAAACGTGATTGATGTCTTAAATTAGCATGTTACATTTTTAGACACATGCTATTTTGTCCCTTTCAGCACGCTGTAGTTAGGCTAGCGCAGCATCTTCTTGCCTCTTGCTGCTGCCATGATGGAAAATAGTAACAGCACTCTGCTTTTGAACGGTATAGTTCACTCTGAAACTCCCCAGCTGACAGGTCAAAAGTATTATCAAGCACTTTGCATCAAATGGAATAGAAATATCCCAGTATTAGTTCAATTTGAGCCACTACCTGTGAGTGAAGCATACTGGTGCAGCTAACTAGACCTCAGGCCTAATTAGACTTTTACCAACCTCACGTTCCTGGGTTGTGGCGTGTTTGTTTGATAAGCATTTAATTAAAACGTGCTGCACAAGTACAAGTACGTGCGTGTGTAAAGGTGTTATCCCTTTAAAAAAACCCATCAACACTGTACTTTAGAGAATAAGAGCTCTGATAATGTCCCCCGCCTCCAGGTCAGGGATCAGGCCACACTCATAAGGCGGTGAAGCGTTTATTTGAATGATAAATCTACAAGTTACAATCATCATTTCATGCTTTCGTTTGATTTCACTGGCTTTAAATGGCTATTATGGACTCAGAAACTTTTACATGCAAAATAACACAATTTCAAATATGCTGTTAAAATTCTGTGATGAACTACAACTGAAAAATCATTTTCAACCTTGTAAAAATATTCATTTTTTTTTGTGTGTGTTTATGCTTTTACTGCAAATAGTGTGCAAAAGTGTCAGACTAAGTGATAAGATGAGAAATATAAAAGTTTGGAAACAAGTTTGATTTAAAATTGAAGAAGTGAAGTATCTGGAGAGATCTGCAATATTTTGTTTATAATGGAATAAGATGATATTGGTTATATATTCCAAAAATTCTGCAAATTGATTCCTTAAAAAAGGTGCATTTTAGCATCAGTGAATCAGCTGTTTATAAAGTTATCATGGTCAGCAGAAGATTATTGATCCCTGCTGATGATCTCTATCAATTATTAACGGAGCACAAGTTAAGATAAGATAGGAAGAACTTTATTGATCACTAAAGGGAAAATCAATAGGCAGCTAATATTTAGCATTGTATTCACAGCTTTGAAACACATTTGAAATAACATGCTGTCGATATCATTAATGCCCAATTTCCAGACCTGAACGACTGGAGCGTGTGAGCGTGTTCATGTCACATACCATCGACGATCAAAAATGCAAATATTCTCATCAGCTGTGAGTTCGTGTGGGAACTGAATTCGATCTTTAATACAAATTGAACAAATTGAAGACTAGACACAGACATGCATGTTCACTTCTGAAAAGAGGGCTGCACCGTTGCCAAGCAGATACACACCTCTTTTCTGACCCTCTAAACCCTTTTTGTCCGGCACCTCTTCCCTGAAATGGCATTAGCATAAATCACCAGCTCATAGAGGTAATGATGGCGTGAAATTATGGCTGCCTCAGCAGACCTTATTCCCCTCTCTGCCTCTCCCTCCCTCTGGGTCCAAGGCCTCAGCCTTCGTCTGAGACCATCTCCTACACCTCCTTCTTTCTCTCCTTCCTCCTCCACCCTCTTTCTTCTCCTTTTGCCTCCTGGTTCCATTCAAAGGGAATGTGTAACTGAATTTGAAATTGAGTGCCCTTCTTTCAAGGACCACAGCTAATGAGACGTTTTGCCTTGAAATCCAGGCTGAAAGAGGGGGAGACCCTGATGGGTGGAGATGATAGCCATCCTGTACATCAGGTGTAAGGCTGTCCAGATCTCTCACTGCTTAGGTGGGGAAAGGTTGCTTTCTTTAAGGCTGAGAAATAAGGATAAGCCCTTACAGAACGAGCCCACTTGTCTGGGTCACCTGGGGCTGCCATTGTGAATCCAAAAGCGGACATGAAATAATACGGCCGTGTGGTCCGCATCGACACCAGCCGGGCCTCCTTCTTTTGCATACATGTATTAAGAACCATCTTGTTAAAAAAAAAAGGAGAAGCATATAAGGGTCTAGAGAGAGATAGGAGGTGACAATTAGATTGAGATGGCGGAGCTGGAGTGGGTCAGAGCGAGTCGAGGCAGGATGGAGAGTGAAGAGACGAAGGAGAGAGTCAAAGAGATAGAGAAGGGGGTCAGGCCCATAGAAACAGGTATACTTGACAGTTTGCGGTCCGGGGATCATCCGAGAGACGCCGCATGGGTGCGATGATGAAAGGAATGGAGAGCTTTGCGTCCTAGGGGTTCTCCCTTTAATCAGGGGCCCCGAGGAGAGAACCTCACAGCCTATATGGGCCCCTGGCCGCTGCTAGCCACTGTCATGCTAATGAAAGAGGCTCAGGGTGTGAATGGAGAGGCTAGCTTGTTACCAGCGTGCTAATTAATGCATGCAGTAGGGGTGTGTGAGAGGGTTTTTATGCATTTTAATGAGGTGTCTGTGTACGTGTGAGAGTGTATGCGTGTCGGGATGACAGGGATTTGAGGTGTGGAGGGAGATGGATGTGCGATCAGGGTTAAAAATAGGGGCTCAGGAGTGCACAACACAGCAGATGTATCTACGAAGAGTGTGGAAATAATTTGTAGGGAATTACCGTGAGTAAATCTGGCCGAAACATCATCCTTCTGCGTAATGACAAGATGTTTTATTAGATGGAATAGCTGTCATGGACTGTGTTGGGGATAAATATTAAAAAGTGTAAATTCTCTACATTTCACTGCTAATTAAAACAGATCAAGATCTCATCTCCAATTGTTTGTCAAAGCGCACACTGCTAACGCCTCACACGCCGCAATAGTACGGTCTCTCCATCACTATGAGGTGAAAACAATCATGTCTGATTTATTTTCCCATGACTAGCTTCATCCCATTGACTGCTGTTTAGCGATGCCCCTGTGTCTGTCATGTCCCAGACTATGTGACAAAACACTATCCTCGGAGATCTTTTAAGTCTCTGAACCCAGACAACCCTTTCTGTCTACCCCGAGTTCCCACGGACGGATAGACGGGGCCACTCGTAGATGTCCACAGGCTGCAGCATATGGCCTTAGGCGACGGCATTGTCTGAGCTGTTTGTCCAAGATGAACAAACGGCATTGTTGCACGTGTCACTTCGACAGGACGCAGGGGCGTGTGTCAGCTCAAAGGGAGCGCCATCAAAGTCTGTGACCTTTTAATTTGCTGCTGGCCTCTCCCACAGACCTCTGTGTCGGCCAAACATGCCCCGTTCTGTCATCCAGGGGACTCAATCAATCTTGGCGCTATTGACAAGAGACGTGTTTGCTGGGTTTGAGTGATGCAGCCCAGGAAGAAAATCCAACAGATTTGTTATAAAATGTGGACGTGCTTCAAATGATTATTTTTGGACTGGAGGCTGATTTAAATGAGGTTAAACGCTGGGAGGTTGTGTGGCCTGTAAAGAGAATTACCACAAGGCCTGAAATGTGACATTGCCAACTTTGAAGAATTAATATTATATTTCAGAGCATCCACATGAATTTCTCCAAGGATGTGACCCAGTACAAAATGATCTGCTTTTCCCATCAATCAGCTTAGACGACGCTTGGAGTATTTTGACAAAATATGAAAGCGAAAAATCATTTATGTCGACTGAATAACAGGGTAAAATTAAAAGTAGAGGTTTTATTTACTTAAAAAAGAAGAAGATATCCTTCTCTTACCAGCTGAACACACTATGTGCATTTCTGTTTCTGTGCATTTGCAAAGCAGTTACCTCAATGTGCAGATTACAGGACATATAGGTCACCGTCTCTCCTCACAAGTGCCACACACACTGGAGATCCTACATTTTGTTCCACCAGCACTGCCGCCAATATCCCATCCTACCCCCCCAACCTTGTCCGCCCTGTAAAGTGCCATTATAAAAATGTCAAGGGGTCCCTCTCTCTCGTCCTGCCTGTCAAAATCATGTGCCATTATGCAAATCAGTGTGTGAACACACACACACTCATGGATTTACATAGGCTATATGGGCTATAGGCGATGCTGAATTCAGATGATTACCGAATTAATCCCGGAGATACACATTGCATATGTACATCTATGAAAATGAGAGAATATTTTACATTTGCCCTTGGAGGTTAAAACATTATCAGTGCATGTACATGACAGCTGTGGATCAGAAGGTAAGCAGCACCATCGGTAATCACAGCAGAGTGGGTTCGGTCTCGGACAATGCGCTGAACCTCAGATTACTCCTGATGGCCCGGCTGGTATCTCACATGGCGCTCTGTCGTTGACGTGAATTAATTAGAAGAAAAATTCAACAACATCAGACAATTCAAAATAGTTTTAACTTTATTTTTATGTCATCTCTTACCTCTGTTTCTGTCTAAAAGAAGCATTTGTGTAAATTAATCCTTTCTTTTCTAGTATGCACTGATAGTATCGTTTATTAATCACGACCTGCTTATGGACTTTAGATAAAAATGACTTTAAATTGAGCTTTATTTTTGAACAAATGAAACAAAAACAAAAGTGTTTAAGTCTTAAGATCTCTTCAAAGTAAAAGGCAAACATCTATCTGAACATATCCAAATCTCTTTGGCCTGCAGTCTGTCAGACACATGCTTAAATTTGAATATATTCTCAGAGTTAAGAGGATTTTCACCACTGATACTTTTTATTGAGGAGATCATGCTAAATGGTCCACCGCCAGCACCCCCTTAAAATTGGGGTTTAAGTGGTTTTTCTCAGTGGCTATTAGATAGAAGTGCATGTGTGATTTTATCCTTTTACATTTCTTAACTTTCTCCTCTTCGGTTGGTCTTAAATGTACGAATTACAGCACATGGAGTGGTTTTGCCTTCCTGAAGAAATGAGGGAAAGAGGGACGGAAGAGGTGGAAATATGTAATTTTTGGTGGGAAGCATGAATGTACCTCAAGTGGAGGTCAACCCTATAATGTAACCCATTGGAGGCAAGATCATTAAAGCAATTTCCTATGACTTTCACAGTGTTGCTTCGAAAGTAATGACAGAGGTCCTCCTATTGAGGGCAAAGGGAAAAGAGTAATGTGTAGCCTCCTGCCGTACAGAACATTACATTACTGAAAATCAAGACAGGACAGATCACTTCACTGCTCCATGACACATCAGGATATCCATTATCTGCAGGAAGAACATAAGAGAGAAAAAAAAGACAGCGAAAGGGAGAGAAATCAAGATCAGGCCTTCTGTTTTGACAGCCCTGAACTGGAATATTTCTCCATTGTTTGTTTCTCAGAGCAGAGGAGTCATGGATGTGCTTTGAGTGACAGTGAGGCCGATGCACGCTGACATGTGGAGCTGCTTCACATTTCCTCTAATTGCTCCGCGCTGCCCGAGCTTGGCACACATGTAGAGCATGGTAAGAGGCCGTCTTTTTAGGTCAAAACACAGGGTGCTGTGATTTGGCATACAAAGAGAAAAAAAAGTCGAGGGGAAGAAGAAGAAGAAGAAGAAGAAGAAGAAGAAAACGATGAGCAGGGGGAGGAGAAGAAGAGGTGTTCTATTATTCCTGATAGACTCCTCTGAAGGACAGAGAGGTGATGGCCTTGCTTGTACAACTCTGTGGCATAATAATGTCCTGCATTAAATCTCAGGCCAGTTAGAGCAGAGATGTAGTGCCAGCACACCAGATATACGACATCAGGGATATCTACCAATCAGCTGTCAATGATGCGCGCTATAGGTTTATGGAAATAAACAAATGTAGAAACAAAAGCAGGGGTGTGTGGGCTATAGTACAGTGTTATTCATGGTGTCACTTTTGATTCACGGTGCGCTGAAAAAAGCTCTGAGATTGGAGGAAATCCTTGCAAGGGAGGGGAAAAAGCCTCTATCCTTGCTGATGCTATTTTAATTAAATAGTTGCTAGGTTACATCTTGCAGAACGACAGGGGTGGGTGGTGTGGCATAGGCGCCTGGGTACAGTGTGTGTGTGTGTGTGTGTGTGTGTAAGAGAGAGAGAGAGAGAGCGAGGGGACATGTCCCTGAACAATGAAAGCACATCCCCTTTTTTTCCACACCCAATCTGTAATAAGGGTTTCAAATGTGAGACATATTGACATGAAATACAGCGCCAGCGATTTTACACTCTCTAAAACTCTCTGGCTCTCTCCACATGTTCGTCTGCCTTTTTTCATTTTCCTCACACTGATCAGAGGGTGGAGGGGAAGCCCCCTTTTCATCTCCGTGACACCACTTTTCACCACCTCTGGTGACTTAGACCGACGATTGGTGCTTCCACTGCACCCTGGGATGCCAGACGATGGAAGATGCCATGGCCCCTGCGTGCCCTGGCAACCGCTCCTCAAGCCTGGTCCCTCCCCGACACACACACACACACACACACACACCTCCTCCTCTTCCAGACTCTTCTTGCACTCTTGACTTCCAACCTCCACCCAGGACTCTGACCACTCTAAACCCCAGAGTGGGCACTGATGGATGGGCCTGGAGACAGCAGAGAGTCCCTTGATGTTGGAAATAAATCTGACAGGCCCTACTGGATAAGGCCGAGCATAATCTGTCTCATTGACTTCATGCTGAAGGGTGTATATGAGCGTGTGTATATGAGCGTGTGTATATATGTGTGTGTGTGTGCATGGGTTTGTCCTTTCTCTCCGCTCTCTCTTTTCTTTATTTCTTACACCCTCCCTCTCTCTCTCTCTCTCCATGCCAGCTGAGATAATGCCATAATTTACAGCTATGCATTGCAGAAGATGAATGATAGTTGCTTTTCTTGCTTAATATGCATTCACCACGACCAGATAATAGTCTTTTTGTAGGAGGAATAAAAGAAATACCTTCAAAAGGAATTGAGCATTTTTATGTTATATTCTCCCTGTAATGTGCTAAAAGTGATATATAATTCTCAGTCTTTCATTAGAAACAGAATTGATAATGATGAAAGTGTGCTATGCCTTCTCTTTTTTATTATCTCCTGTGAAATATTGCAAGGGGGAAAAAAAGTTAGCTTTTCAGCTTCCCCTCCTATAGTCTCCTGAGTGTATATGGAGCCAGCTTATAACACACATGCAGACACACACACACTCATAATAATGCAAGCGTCTTCTGCAAAAACATCTCCTCCTCTTGATGCATCTACGACATAAATATGTATTCGATGTCTCAGTCACAAACAGCTATTTCTCTTCTTGCATTCTCCCACAGCAAAGGATGTGTTGTAGAAGATTTGGGAGCTGCAGTGTGTGTGTGTGTTCCTGCGCCAAAAGAGAACCTCAGGGGCCAAATGTCCATGCAGAGGGCCGGCTTCCCTCGGGACTCCTCCAAATTGACTCCGGTGACCTGTCGGCCCTCCTCGGTGGTTGGCGTGTGCTCCAGCGGGTCGTGGAGAAAGGTCAGGGGTCATTGGAAGCAACATGGTGTCAATATGTGACCTTTCAATAAGACAAATAGGATCAAACGGTGAATTAACTCTCAGGACAAAATCTCATTTCGAACCTGGGTGAAGAGGACTGACAAGGTGACAGATTTTGAGGAGATCAAGTGCAATTATTCAGATCACGTGTTTGCTCTTTTAGCGCTAACTCAACCCTTACCTCCCCTAAAGAAAGATAAAAATTCTTGTTATTTTATCAAAGTGTAAGAAAATAGATTAATATTGACATTAATAATTGTGTGTTGAATGCCTTTATTTTTAGTACAAACCCAAATCAAGGTGGTCATAATTGTAACTCAGTCAAACACAAACTTTCTGCTCTGTGTTTTAACATTCTTCTCATCATTTCGATCCAACATATACACACACTGCATGTATATTAATAATACCAGAGCTGAGCTACAAGCTAACAGCGAGAATTGGAATAAATTTCTCCCTCCATCCTGAGTAATGTTCCAAATTTTCCGCCTTCATTCCAATCAGTTTAACATTTCCTGAATGCAGCGCAGAGTTACATTGTGTTAATTAGAACCACGGGCTGGCTTTACAACAATGTGTGGGAGGACCTGGAGGTTGAAGTGCTCCGTGCATGCAATGTGCATCATCAGCCTAATGAAATATAACTCTGAAAATTAAGTCAGCTGCACCTGAGGCACGCAGAACAACAGGATCCCTGAAGCCAAACCATGCAGGCTTTAGCTGTGTATGATGTGAGTGTGTGTGTGGATATGTGTGTGTTTATATAAGTATATTTGCCAGAGCGTGGAACCACAAAGGAAGCAATTATATTTGTTACTGTATTAATTCTTTCTTCAGAGTAGAAAGGAGAAGAAACACTGCAGAGAAAATGTGATGGAGGCTGCAGCTGCTTTTTGTCCTAGTTCGAGCTCCTCATTCGCCAAAGTGCATCAAAGTGTCAGCAATTCAAACATGAAAAATGGATGAAGACAATGGTGCATTTCTCTCAAATTTTCTAATAAACTGTCAATCAAACTGCTCTTTGAATGACACTAATATCACATGATGCAGCATCCCGTATCAAAGATCTCATCGATGCTCGTTCCCCCCTTTGGCTGGATGTGAGGCCTGTCCTCCCCTCTTATTATCACCATCATCATTCGGACATGAAAGGAGAGAAACAAGTGCCGCACCATTGCCAAGGAGAAACCTTGATCTCCCAGCATTTGCATTCGCCACCTTGTTCGACTGGATGTATGAACGCGTTAGCAAGGCGCTCTCTGATTGGATGGCACTGAAAAGCTGGCATTCTGCTAATGCTCAAAGCAGGCGGCAGGCTCTCTCCCCCTCCCCCCCTCTGTAACGCTGTCACACTCAGCTGGTGGCACTAGGGGGCAGCCCACTCTGAGGGTTGTTAGGCAGCAAGAGAAGGATTATTATCAGGTGAAACAGGACACAGAAAGAGTTTAAAAATATATATTTAAGTCATTAATTCATTCATGTTGATCTCTTTAAAAACCCATTAGGTGTCAGTGAGCTTAGAGTCCTCCTTTTCACAATAAAAGACAGTTGTCTGTGTTAGGCAGCGCCGCTTTCACTAATTAATTTGGACTGTACCATTAATTTATTAAAGAGTATCATCAGTTTTTGTGTAAATCATGGATAAATGACTCTGTATGGAATAAGCTTGTCCCAGTGGGTGACACGCTGCACAAGCAAAATGTAAAGCCTAGTTGATCTATATTCTCATAGCAACACATGAGCAATTGATACTAATATATATGAATGCTCCTATAAAAAATTAGGCAGGCCAGTGTGTCATAATTCACCCTCTTTGACTGTAGAATGCTTGAGCGAATGAAAAACTACATCCTTTAACAATACTTTAAAAATTAATTTCCAATAACGTTAAAAAAAGGCCAAGATGTATCGGGAAAATGACGCTGCGTGTGATCTGTGTTGAATTAAAAATGAGGTGGAGAATTGAGGCTGTTGGTTTACATTAAGAGTCAAAGAGAAGCAATTAATTTCAGCACTAAATACGAGGACTCACGCTCACACACACAGACACACACTTTGAAGGAGCTATATTGTAGCAGTGTGTCCCTGCCTATCAGGACGCTGCTGATTAAAGGCCAACCAAAATGAAGCTTTGAACCCTCAAAGGAGCCATGTTCATCTGGAGATGAATGAATGTAAGAGCAGCGGTGATTAGCACAAAGGGCAGTCAGCCATTTCTTATTTCTTGCATGAGGAAGTGGACTTAAAATTTGAAACACGGCGAGATTTGAACTCACCTAGCCTGGAGATTATCTCTGCCCTCATTTTGCCATGTTGTCTGGTTTGCACCGACAACGAACTTGTGCTTGCTTGGCTCAATTAGGGAATTAGACGTCATACATGGGTTTAAAAACAACAATGTAAAACGAATGCAGGTAAGTAAATGATGGATTATAGGTTGATCCATCACAATGCTTCATTTTCTAAAATGTTGTCTGTGTTGTGATTGGCTTCTTGTGATTTATTTTACAATGGATGAGACACTTTAATCTGTTCAGATACAGTTAAAAATGCCCCAAAACATACCCTTTATTTTTACTTTATTCAAGTAACCTCTGTATTTCTTATCTCAATGCAATGTAATGTCTTTATTTCTCTGAGTGTTACTTAATTGCAGCATAAATATGATGTGAATTGTTCCTAAATGTACCGCCTGTCAGTAAACTATTAATAAAACGATTTGAATTTTTCAGTCGTTCGTTTGTCTGTTCTGTATTTTTAATGCGTCTTTGTGTGATTAAGAAACACATGTGAATACGTGCCAAATGAAATGTCCCACTCAAGTGCTGCAGCATAAAACACCTAAATGAATAGTGCTACTTTCCCAGCTGTTGTCATGGTAATGAAAAGATGATAATTGCATGTATTACATTAAAGATGATTGCTACATGCTGATCTCAGTCAACCAATCTGTAATTGGCACTCGATTCAGCGGGGGAATCTTTTCTCTGTTTTTCTATCTTTCTCATAATTTGGGGGTATCATTGTAAAGAAAATAAAAAAAGTAAAAACAGGTCAGAGGAGTTCAAGCAATGTAAAGTGTTCTCTTTTAGGCCATTCATGACGCAAGGTCAGGTCAGTCCCTGAAGTATTGCTGCTGCTTCTCAATCGATGTAGGGGTGAGATCACCATTCTGTGTTGGACAGAAAGCCCACTATTATCGCCACCCCTCCAGAAGCTTCTCATTTCTTCTGGCTGTGTTGGGGACAGAAGGGTGGGGTGGGGCAGGGGGGGGGGTCAGAGCTCCACACTGCTCTACGCAGAGAGGGACCTTGGTGAATAGGCCCCACTCAAGAGGAATAAAGGAACCTCTCCGCTGGTTTGTTTTGGAAGCTGTCTTATTGATCTGTCTACCTACGAATGAATGAATTGGCCCAGTTTTCCCGCTCATGTGGACAATGGCACTCAAGGCCTGTATTAACTGGCCCGATGTTATTCCCACAGAACAGCGTGCATTAAGGGGAGTCTGGGAGCGCTCGTCATTCCGTCCCGTTATCTACCCCACTAACCTTTTCTACGAGGGGGAAAAAAAAAGAGGGCAAACCAGGAGAAGCAAATCAATGACCACTGATGGTCTGAATCAATGCCAGTTTGCACAAGGACACACTTCATGAGTAAAACGATGCTGAAATACAATCACGGCGTTATCAAGTATAATCATACAAACCAATAATTATTGTGAGAAAGACTCAATTTCAAATCTACTCTCGGACCCCAAAAAGAGCCAAGAAATCAGAGAGGAAACTTGATGTGCCTAGAGTGTCTGAAACTGTTTTTATCATGGGGTCAGATTTTGTTGTTCTCAGTCACATTTTAATGACTTTTACATCAGTTAGAGGGATTCAGATGAAGCAAGAGAATAGGATTTAACTGAGTCAATGAACTCTTTTACCAACGACTCTTTGGTAAAGCATCATTAAGCATTCCCTTATGTGGGCCGGTATCATCAAACTTCAATAGGAATAGTGACTCGCTGTCATTTAGATAATTTATTGACCTACAAAACTCATCAAAGTGAATATGGATCCATTAAATATCCAAACCTGGTTCTCTCTCTGGTCATCTGCACAGTTTAATGACTGCGACCAAGACATCCATCCCAGATCTCAGTTTCTAAAGACTGCAATCCGGCACAATTACGGAGGTCTTTCTTTTAATGCTATAAAGAAAATCCCCGCTTTGATTTCACAACAAATACATCTAAAGTTTCATTAATGAGCCCATCTTTCTGTTGTTTTCTGGCAAAGGCCACGTATGAAACTACTGAGCCTGTGGAGAACAATAAATCATAGAAAAAGAGGACGTAGTAAAGAACATAATTTATTTAAGACAAGAACTAAAGCTGAAATAAATACATGAGAGAACAATGTGTGGAATTTACTTGTTATACCCAACAGTGAAAAATAAACACTTTCAGCGGTAACAAACAGAAAAACAGTGCCACACGGGGCCACTGCTTTCTGAAAGTATCCCAGGTACTTCTTAACGGACCAGAGCATTAAAAAAAAATCAAACAGGTTAATCTGTAACTGATTTGTCGAACACGTTTCAAACTGATTTCAGCCATCATGAACTCCCACAACAAAATAAAATGTTTGCTGTTAAAAGAAGAAATGTTTACAGGCCTCGACATGTGTAATAAATACAAAAACAAAGAGAAATCATCATAAAAAAAAACGTCATTAGGACAAATTAGGTAGATGATAGTAGACAAGGATTGTGTTCGGGAAGTGCGAGGGGAGAGGGGGGGGGAGGTTAAATCAACTCAAACGAATCATTTTCATGAAAACAATCTAGAAATTAGGCAGGATTGATACATTCATTATGTGCATAATATTCCCTGTCGTTTAAAAGAAATAAGACAGAAGCTAAGACTTTCAACATCAGGAGCTTAGAAATGTGACATGGTGCTGCTTGGATTTGTAAAATGTGTTGGTATAAAACTCATAGAGTTGGAATTGAAAAAGTACAGTCCTGTGATCGAGAGAAACCCCGCCAGGTTGTGTGGTAAACCTGGCATCATGTACCCTACATTCCCGAACAGACTGGACGTCACGTTGACCCCCTGTGCTTTGTCAGCACATTGCTCATGTTTGTGTGTACATTAAGCCTCCAGAGAATCACAAAGACACTGTAAGTATGAAGGAGAGCCCGTGATGGATCCACAAAAACAGAGGGCCGCCGAGTCCAGAGTCCAGAGTCCAGAGTTACAAACACAAGCAGACACCACATCTACAGACATTAAGGACAGGGGAACAGACTCACTTGGCACTGTTTTAAAAAAATCTGAATTTTTAAAAATTCACAATTTGATCCTTTGAAAGAAGAATAAAAACAAAATGAAAAGACTGTTCATAAGTTAGTTTAAAAACTATAGATGGGAAAAAAAGTCTTCAAAACAGAAAATGAGAACATAAAGGCGTTAGCTCATCAACAGTAGTTGACATCATCTCCTCTTGATCGCAATGCCCTTTCAGATTACAGCAGAGACCCTATACATGCAGACGGATACACACATACATACACACACACACAGACACGCACCCACACACACACACATACATGTGCTGTCCTCCCTTTAAATCATCACTGCTGCTCAAAAATGAGCTTCAATCCTTTCATAGCTTCTGAAATGGCTCAGTTAACACCAAGGAGGTTACAAACAAAACCTCAAATCTGTTGGATCTCCTTCTATTGAACAAAAAAAAAAACAACAACCGTAAGTTCTTCCTTGATGAAAAGTTCCACTGGAAACATTTAAATATATCAGCTTCAAGTCAATCGTATTTCTCCCAGTGAGTTCAGCATCTCCTCATCCTCTTCCTCCTCCGGTTGTCCACTCTATAATCCTGACAGCTCTGCACAACCTTCCACAGGCAGCCCCTCCTCCTCATCCTCATCCTCCTCTTCCTCTTCTTCTTCCTCATGAAAAGACAGACATGGTGATCCTCACTGCAACATGTTAAGACTCTGAGACCCTTTCGATGGAATTTGGATGTTGCACAATCAAGAATTTTGCTTGAATACAGAAAGTTTAAATATTTTGATTTAAAAAAAAAGAAACGAGGGCAGAAGTAAGGCAGTCTTTAAAAGAAGTGAAAATAAAAGATTAATTTAGGTTTTAAATCATCGTTTACAGTATTCCACTGTATCAAAGTAGCGCTCTTGAATCAGTCCGTTCATGTGGAGTTGCTTAAATATCTTGGAAATTCATAAACATCATCTACTAATACTTTTGAGTACCACTGACAACAGATGTATATAAAAGAAAACAGACACAAACTTGACACTTTCTCCTTCGTTTGAGGAAATCATGAATCTTCAGATGATCGAAATCATAACATAAAGAGAACATTATTATTCCTCTCTAATCTGGCATCTTTGAATTTGGAAGAATTGAGCAGTTTTTCCCCTTTTCCACACCTACGACTAATCTGAACCTCAGCTTACTTCGATGCCTTCAGCACATTGGACCAACACACTACTACACTGATAATATTCGTCATACTCGTACTTTAGAAATCCGGCTCGCTTAATAAAAAAAGGTAGTGGTTGTAGTACAAACAATGAAATGAGTTCACAGAGTCATCTGTGGAGGAAGCACAGGAAGTCTGATGATATGGTGAGTCATTGTGAGGTTGTCGGAGGGACGGAGGAAGGAAGGAGAGGAGGAGTTCTGGAACGGAGACATCAAGAGGTCCTCGCTGCCCCCACTCAGTCCTTTCTGACAGGGCTGAACACACAGCAGCCTCGGGGGTGGTCGTCGGGCTGCCACAGTCGGGTTGCTGATGCTATGCGGCCATGAGATACTGATGGTAGAAGAGGCCGAAGAGGGACGTGGAGAACAGACAGGCGGCGATCCACCAGGTGAAGAAGGAGAAGAGGCCCCGGAAAAGTAAGGGGCTGAAGACAGTCCGCAGTCCCCCCAGGGCCACTGACAGCTGGGTCACTGACGCCCTGGCGCCTGTTTCTACAACTGAAGCTGGTGTTGGGGCAGCTACAGGTGGTGCCCCCATCACAGAGTCAGAGTTCAGTTCATATATACACGGTAGGTCTTCTTCGGGGTAGACCCACCAGGAGTGTCCTCCTGTTAGAAATGAAACAAGAGGACGATGGAGTCAAACTTTGGAAAGAGAGATATTTTAGAAATTTATCAAATAGTTGAGTTACTGACCTAACGTTTTTAGCAGCAAAGTCGTATGAAGCAGCATCACCAGCGGCGCCACATACTGTAGTGCGATTACACACAAATAGTAAAAAACACGTGCAACCTGGGAGAAATCAGAGAGGGAGGATTAGCGTCTCTAATTTTTGTGTCACTTTTCTCACAGAATCACGTGTTCGAACTTGAGGAGCGACTCTGCGCTGAACCAGACGGTTAAACCTTGGCTGACAGAAGCTCGTGTGAGAAAAGGGGGGCTTCAAAAAAGAAACGATAGGAGATGATGTGTTTGGCAAGTGATGCCGATCCTTAACACACTCAGTGATAATCTCTCCAATTTCCAAGAGCACCCCAGGTGGGCTGCGTGCGCCCTGCATAATGTATGTTCAGAGTGCAGACGACTACGGTTCGAGCTCTCTGTTCCTTAATTCACAAAGACAGAACACAAAATGTGTTGCTCATAATAAAGTGAAAGTGGCTTACATCTAAATTTCTCCACCCCTGCAAAAACCAGCAGGTTGGCTCCATCTAAGTTGTGACTGTGGAATTGCAGATTCTAACTCTGCCTTATGGTCCTCTTAACAGCTCAGCGTGTGCAAATGGGATCAATTCATAATTTTGTTGTTTTTTTCCAACTGATGTGAGAATGAATTAATATTGCCAAGACTGTTTCATCTTATTCACCATCTTCTGCAGGTCGACGGTACTTATCCGCCCCGCCTCCTTCTTCATCTGGTCCACACCCTTCTGGGCCAGGTTGAGGTAGGCCTGCAAATGATGCCTCATCATCGCCAGCCGGAGAACACACATCAGTATGATGGTCCATAACCGCAGCGTGTCGAACGTCTGCTCAGTCATCCTGGTGCGCAAGACAAGAATGAGCGGAAGAAGTTGAATGATGAAGGTGTGACTGCCGATGAAATTACCGCTGTTGTGTTACTTGGATTGTTGTCACAGACAGGAGAATACAGAGGGCGAGAGGGCTCAAACAACTTAGTGAAAGTACAGAGAGGGAGATCGGTGGTACAAGAACAAATCCTGAATTCACAGTCTTTGTCAGCAGCAGGAAAAAAACTTTGACATATGACAGATTTGAAGATGGCAACAAATGAAAGATTTTATCTTCAAATGAACAACTACCAAACAAACGACAGCAGTTAGAGATACAATAAAGAGCCTTCCCTGAGGTATGACTAAATTTGTTTACAGTCTAATTTTAAACCAAGCAGACAACGCATGCATTGTGACTTAATCTACAAGCTGAATGCATTCCTTATCTCATTGAACTGCTGTAAATTCCATTTTCATAACTGCTGTTGCATTGTTTACACCCATTTCCCCGCACAAAAGCAACAATTACTTATATTTTCACTGCTCTGCTACAATGTCCCGTTCCTCTTGTTTGAATGGCAGGTAATTAGCTCGCTAGATATCAAAAGGAGCCCGACTGGCTTGTCTACAAAGTGCAGATCAATCAGCGGAGGATGCAGGCAAAAACACCTTCAGCACAATGTAGTTTCTGTGAAATGTTTAGCTCGTCCTTACAGAGCAGTTTATCACAGAGCTAGTTAGGAACTATTAGCAGGAAATGTTTTAATTAACAGGATGCTGACTTTACCCACAACAAAACCTGTGTACGAGAATTTTTCTTCCTTTTTTTAATGTTATTAAATGTTTATTCATGATGTGTCTTATCAGATATTTCTGGATCACACACGGTTTGTTTGAACTAAGTCACTCCATTTACTTACAAAGGCACACTCTCCTTCTCCAGAGTGGGGTTCATGATGTAGTCCTTGGTAATAGGCTTCACCCACAACAGGACCATGATAAGAGGGGACAGGAAGTTGATATGAAGAAGAGTCCTGCAGAAATGAGAATAAAGAACAAGACCCCCCGTTTAATAAGAAGCAATGTCCAACATCTGTCTCCACCTGGCAGTCCAGTCCAGTCCAGTCCAGTCCAATATGGTTGAGTTCCACATGAAATTATTGGTGTTTCCATCGTCAAAGGTTGAGAAACCCGATGTTGTTAACTTTTGTAGCCCCAAAGTTCCCCATTGGGGGACTTAGACGTCTCATATACTAAGAAATCTCAACACGTCTCACAAATGTTCCGTTTACTGTGACGCCGACATTATTCAAATAGACCTCATGGTTACATGGTTATTAGGGGTGGGAGAAAAAAATCAATACAGCATAGTATCGCGATATTTTGTCCGGGGACATTACGTATCGTCTCATTTACCAGGCATCATTTTTTTCAAATTATTTGCTAATATGAAGTCAAATCTATGATAATGGAAAAATAAAATCAACTGTTTGTCTGGTGAGGTTGTCAGAGGTGAAATCATAGAGCAGGAGAAAGTTAGTACAACAGACATAAGGTTTGCAAGATGTGCTACCTGACAATAAAATACAGTGTAAATAAGACAAACGTAAGGGAAAGCCAAATGCTCAATTTGCTAAACAGTTGAAACAATTATATAAATCTTAATATATTGTATCGCAATACTCACTTTATTGAAAATGCTAAAAATCGCAATAGTATCATATCATGGCCCAAGTATCGTGATAATATTGTATCATGGGGCCACTAGTGATTCCCACCCTTAATAGTTATAACCATTTTTGGGTATGAAACGAGCAGAAAAGCTTAAAAAGTGTAAAAATAATCTACCACAATTAATTATGACCCCTTTTTGTATGTTTTTCTATATTTCAGGGAATGCTTTCATTTATTATCCGAGTATCAGGAGTTGGTCTTGGTCTCTTTTCCCTCAATAATGGTTTAATGTAAGCTCCAATAAAGAACTGTTTAAGTTACTTCTTTTACCAAATACCTGTTCTTAACTCGGCTTCAAAATAAAAGCCGTGGAAATCAAGCAAGTTTAAAAGTTTATTTTATTTATTTACTTGTTTTTATTTTCAAGTTAACAATAGAATAAATGATGACACATGTGCAGCTTCCCCATATGGAGTAGGAATATAGCCAAGGACCAGATTTTGAGAGTTTGGAGGTAATCCCGCGAGTGACAGAGTGTGAGGATGTAAGCTCATGACAGTGAAGAGGGGGGGATGGACGAGGAGGCCATTTTGGGGAATCTGCTATGCCAAAGTGGATTATCTGGCTGGGATGTGTTCCCAGCTCTGTACCCTTCCATCATGGTGGTAGACATGCCACCTAGCGAGTTTGGAAATAGAAATTCCTCCATGCTCAGAAGTCTTCATCTGACTCACAAGGTTCTCTCTTCTATTTGCTTCTCCGAATAAGTTGGAGACAAGTAACACTGGAATATTCTGGTCTTTCTGGTACCTCAGGAGAGGACAGTTTGGTTCTAGTGCACCGTGTTTTCAATGTCAAATATCCAAAAAAAAGGTGTTCAATCATTACAAATGTGTGTAGTTTTTACACTTAACTTTAATTAAGTTTGATAATAACTGATTTCACGAATAACTATGAAGAAAATAAAGCTTACTTTTGACCCTGTACTCAAGGATAAGCTTTAAAAGGGGCTGTTTAAGCAGGTATAAACCTAGTGCGACTACAATGAGAAAACGAAGCACATAAAGACTGCGGGCGGTGATCTTAAAAGGTCCTATTTCAGCAAAGACACCATGACTTCCCACCTTTAACATACTTATTGTTAAGGATGAAAAAGATATCAAACATATTTTATGAAAAATTCATGAGAAACCACCAAACTCACTGTGTAAATTTGGCTGTGGTCAGATTGAGAGCATCCAGGTGCATTTGGGCCAATCGGAGACCGGGAAAGGTGAGAAACGCTCCAATCAGGGAGCAGAGCAGGGCCAGGATCAGCTTGAAGGTGAGTTTAGATATGGGACCTCTGTGACAGAAAAAAAAGTATCTTAGTGAGATACTTGTGCAGTTTCATGAGTCATAAAAAATTCATGACTAGATAGAAAACAAAAAAAATAAAACACACTGTGAGAATACTGATTTTATACTTACTGAGACTCCAAGCCCTGGTGCTCCAGAAACTGTAAAGCACTGTCAGAGAAGTTTGCAAAACCTAGAAGAGAGCGAATGTTTGAAAGCAACTCACTCACACAGACCCGAACTAATAAGATATGGTTGTTATTTGCATGCCCATTTGTTTTTACCTGTCTCAAGACCAAACTCCAGGTAGTTTTCAGTGACGATGAGGATGGCCATGGCTTTGACGAAAAAGAAGAAAGCAAAAGTGATGCAGAGCGAGCGCTCCCCTCCTTCCTCGAGTTTGAAGTAGTGGGCCGTCAGAGAGAAAAGAGTCTTACTGTGGAGACCTAGTCAAGGAAAAACATCTCCAGAAGCACACTGGCGTATAAAGCATATCCAAACCCCTTTGCAGACACATTTTCAAATGTTTTACAAGTTCAAGGGAAAAAGAAATAAGTCTCAGAAATCAACCGACTCAAGACATTCAGAACACAGTAACACAGCTATTCACAACAAAAATGTTTCATCTTTGTGCGAGTACACACAGTTTGTGCATATTTACGGACCCTGTTTGAACCCATCAGTGTCCTGATATGCAGCATATGTGGGTATTTGGTACCAGAGCCATTGAGGTTGTAATAGTATTTTCCTCCCCTGTATACACTGATCATGAGGCAAGGACAGAGCATGTTTCTAAACGAACCCTGGTTGCTGCAGAGATGAAACTCTCAGTTCCTGCAACATTTGAGGTGACAGCCTACCAATTTCTCACTCCTTTTTAGTCCAAGAATGGTATTCAATCCAATGAAGCCTTCTTTCTTTCCTTTTTTCCTCCTTTTTAGTACTGTGAAGACAGCTGTATAAACATCCACCAGCCGAGTTCAAGTCAGCATGAGGCTGAAAAGAGAAATAGTCATGTTTGAGCTATCGGCTATTAATATGCTGCGGAGCTGGTCTGTCAAAAAATCGCCAAGGGTGAGGAAATGCAGTCTCATTTCTAAATTACAGTAAACAGGAGGAAAAAAAAAACGGGGTACCTTAAGATGCAGATGCCTGCAGAGCGTGCTGCTCCGGGGATATCAGGGAAGGTTAAGGCAGTAAAGCTGATCTCCTGGGCGAGAGTCTTAAACATATCATCAGAGCTGAAATAGGAAAACTGAAATCAAGTGTCCCATTAACACATATATTGAGCCAACATATTCCCTCATCTTCAGCTTCATAGTCCCGTTTCATCTGTTCCACACACTGTCCTTTTCCCCAAGCATATCAGGCTGGTGGGCTGTGAAAATTGTGCCTCCCATCTCAGACGTGGGCAGGAAATGACACACCATCTGACCGCTGTGAGCCGGGCCCGACCAGGAGCACTGGAAAGATTGATCCCTGTGGTTGGTGACGAGGGTAATGCATATTATTTAACTATCATTCAGCGTGGCAAAATGGCAAGTGGCTGTGGAGCATAGGAGGGCCAAGAGGAGCTCGAGCACTCTCTCCCTGTCCTTGCTGCATCCGCACAATCATGCAGGAACGGTTTTGTCTCTTCCAGACAAGAAAATATAAAGGTTCAACACGATATATACAAGAGAGAGGTAAACAATGTACAATTATGGAAATGTGACTTACAGGCAAGCTATAGACAAAAATGTTTCGCCAATTTACAGAATGTACCAAACGCAGCGGTGAAAGTGACAGTGACGGATTTAAGGATACATGACGAAAGCCAGGACCAGCAGACACCAGACCACGCTGATGTTCATCTCTCCTGAGGGCTGAGTCACACTGTAGTACAGCTCCGTTATCAGATAGACCAGAGTTGCTGCGACTGTGAAATCCACCAGCCACTGGAACTCTGGGAAGTAGTGCAAAGCTGTGGACGCAAAAGGAACAATTAAAACATCCAAGTAAATCCAAAAGGCAGGATTTTAGTTGTAAAGCCAAAAACACACAGGATTGGTATTAAGCGCGTTTCATATTTGCAGCGCTGGGTATCACAAACAGGACGTGTATTTAGAGCGTAGCAGCAGCGTAGAGCAGCCCCAGTCAGCTGGGCTCAGTATAGAGGAAACAACATGCTCATAACAGGTTGTTTTGTCTTTCTGTGGTCGATTTCCTGCTAAATTGGATATAATTCAGTGACCATTGAGCCTCTATTATATGTAGAAAAAAAAAACGGGATTTTACAGTTTCGGTTTTGGCAGGTTTACTCATGTTTAAAAGAGACAGTTATGTTCCTTTATGCTGTGCTGTTACTTTCAGACAGAGTTAGGAGTTAAAAGTCTTGTTGGGGTCCACATGGATCAGGGATTGACCATCAGATTGTTCTGTGTTACTGATGCATCCATAACCAGGCAGGATTTCTCATCTTTACGAACTGATACACAGTCCGGAGTTCACATATGGTGTTTTATTTTGAAATACCAGATGACGTGCGGTTTTCATGCTTGACATTCTGTCTAGAACGATCTTTTCTATGTGGATTGACGCGTGTTGGAAGCGTACAGCAGCAAAAATAGACTTGGTGCAGATCTTTAGCAGTGCCGCGCTCCTGTATATGTGTCCTGTATGCAATACCTCATTGATTAGAACAGCAAACCATTTTCTGCATGATACGCGACGCTGACGTTACGCGCTCAATCTTGTATGTTTTAGCTTTAAGAGATTCATACCTAATGTGTCGACTTCTGTGATGCATTTCGTCTCCAGCTGCAGATCTATATCCTTTGGAACTGTTAGGGGCTTATTGTCTATGTGACCATTGTATTTCCTATGGGGAATAAAAGAGAGAGCACAGTTAAGGATCATTACAGGTCATTAAAGAGAAAAGAAGTTGTAAAGGATTCAAATTTAATAGTTGTCAGAGGTCTAAATACTTTCGTTACATCTAACACTACTGGAGTCTACCATGACCAATAGGGCCATCTCATATGCAGGGCTAAGCTGCTAACAGCAGGCAAATGGAGGGCTGTTCTTAAAGCTTGGAGAAGTGTCTGGTGGGCCTCCTCAGCTCTGGGCTTTGTTTGCTCAGCTCTGTGTGTGCCCAGGACTCGCAGGACAATAACACTGTAAGACTCTCCGACCAAACATGCGCCGGACAGATTTCATCTCTGAGGCACCTGACAGGCGAAAAAAGGGGCTCAGCTTCACCCCTGACTGGGAAAGTCAGGCGGCTAACAAAGGCGGCAGAGCTCCATGGCACGAGCTGGCAAAAGGACAGTGGTCCATCTTTTTTTTTTTTTTTTCTTTTTCAGAGGGATTATTGGACATGTGGTGCCGGAGAGCCTTGACCTGCCTCATACGGGGTCAGAGAAAGGATCGTTCAACAAAACCTCCTTAAGTTAGACGCCGGGAACCATGAGGAACAGTAAGGATTAACTCTCAGTTGTGACTCTGATTCAAATCTTCAAGAAGAGTACAAAGGAAACAGCACTAAATTCATGTGTCCGACATATGGTTCAGCTTCCACCTGCAGTCCTTAAAAAATGAATGTTGTTTTTTTGAATTGCAAAATAGTCTCAAAGAGGAGCGAAAGCTTGACATCTGACCACTTTGAAGACATAAAGCAGTTTGAGGAACTTTGATTTCAGAGAGGATACAACCCTTCCAAACTGTCATCCCCAAAAATAGCTTAGGTAGTATCGGTCCTACAAACTAAAACCAACTTCCCTCACATCTACTCGACAGGGCCACTTCTAAGCCGACTCTTTCTGAGCCTCGACGAAGAAAGAAAACAACAAAAACACACTTCTGTCTCTGTACTTCAAACAGGCCTTAAATGAGTCACACAAACACATCAGCTCCATCTGTTTGCTGACATGCCTGTGGTCTCCATCCATCTCAAATATCTGCTTCTCATCTTTCTTCCCTCGCCGATGAAAGGTGTGCCTTTTCATACCTCCTCTACCCCCCCTCCCAAAACAATAGCCCTTCTTCATTCCGACCCCACCTCCCTCACCGTCCCTACTTACCTGTCTTTCCTCTTCTGTCCTTTTTGTTTCCCTGCTAAGCTCCTCAACTCATCTTCCGTAGGGTGCTGGTACCACCGCAGACTGTGGACAAAGAAGAAGGCGAGATGAGGAACAGCCATGAAAACATGAGAGGATACACGATAAAACAGACATTTTAAAAGGTAAATAAAGATGTTGCCGTGGTGTCCTGTAATTAATGTCTCAATTGGATACTGAACTCTAGGAAGATATGATGAAGAGATTTAGACCTAAGAATTAGGGCTGGGCGATATGTCGTCAAATCAATATCACAATATATTGAGCAGTTCACCTCCATAACGATAAATGGACGATAACTACTCCACAAGCTGCTCACCCCCTCCCATATTAACTTCATCTACTTCAGCCGCTACAGCTTTTGAACCGTCCTCCATCTCCTCACCTGTCGTTCCCTCTTTGTTACGGACTGGATGGGGTGGAGTCATGTCTCTGATGTAGGACAACGTCTCAAAGGGACATGAGACCATAGCCTACCTACACACATCATCAACCAACTTTTATTTGTTTATTTTTGATACCGAATTCACCAATATGGGCAAAATGGCGTTGGTTATTGTTGTAAATTTAGGCTTCGGTAAATTTTTGGTTTCTCGCCCAGTCCTACATGGCGTGCTGTAACTAAAATATAAAAAATGTCTCAATTGGATACTGAAGTAGAGATACTGTGAAGAGATTTAGACCTAACGATCTTTTCAACGATTGATAATACTGCTCTATTACGCATAAATCCCCTCCCATCACTTCTTAAAAGCAATTGTATTCAGATGTTTCTTAAAAATGCTCTTGAAAATTGTAACACTGAGCCTTCTCTGTATGAACAGGACAGAAATTTAGAGGCTTTTAGCTCTACGATGTGCTACAGACGTTTCCAACAGCTTTACTTTACACCAGCTCCTCTGACACAGATTTAAAAAGCACTTCACTACAAGCAAGGTTATCTCTCCTTAAGGACTGAGCTTGATATGGAAGCTAATTCAAGAGCATCCTCTCTGTAAGCGAGCGTTTCAGGGACCCTCTTTAACTTTGTTTAGAAACGCTCATCACAGAGCATCTCGAGAAGCACTCTGTGGTAGAGGCGGGGTAGAAAGTGCGAAGCTTGTTTTTCCCCTCGTACATTTATTTATTACGGAAAATTAATCAAGGAATATTCTGGAGGGACACTCCGGGCCGTCTGCTCGAGGGCAAAAGTTTTTTGAAAAATCTCTCAACAGTGCCCCGAAAAGAAGAAAAGATTAATTATTAAACGTGTTCCTTGAAGCTGCTGAAAAACATATGTGGTGCTAATTAAATCAAATGAGGCGGGCTCTTTATTTTTCATGCAACATCCTCTCTGGTTATCCCAATAAGATGATGCCCTTTTTAGCTCTTCAACTATGATTGGATAAATACTTCTTCTTCGATTAAACCCAAACCCCTTCAAACCCTCATATATCAGAATAAACATTTTTAACCCTACTATCTTGACTTATTTGTTAAATACATTAGACAGAAAAAAATACCCTAACAAATAAAACGGGAGAAACTATCTGAAACTGCATGTACAGGATTCTACATTACCTTCCACTGCAGAGTAGCCACCTTGCAAAGGAATAATGAGGTATGATTTTCTGAATTACACTGGCCATTACCATGGTAACCACCAGCTGCACACCAATCACACCCTGTGGAAAAGAGACGGAGGTTAAAATAACATTTAAATAGCAATCATACATGCAATAAAGCAGTTAAACAGAGAGTTGAAGTCTATGAGCAGGACTGGAGCGTGTCCTCTTACTTTGTGCGCGAAAGGAATTAAAACACATTTCAGAACAAAAACGATCCTCAATCACACTTTAAATCAAACTAATCATGATGTCTATAAAAATATGTTAAATGTGCCCTCTTTGCACCACCATGTTTGTCACTACTCAAGTTTGTAGAAGAGGCTCGTGATGATATTTCGATAACACACTTTTGCAGTAAGTGATTATTTAGTAAGTAGCATCATAAACAAGCCGTGATATGAGGAGACACCCTTTTTAAAAAGGCTCAGAGTGTGTTTCAGGACAACCCCTGTTTGGATAAGTTCAAGTACTGCAATCTTCTTGGTGATAGCTTTCTTATGAGTCTCTGGCAAGGGCCCTGCTGCAAAAAAGCGGCAGTCATATGGCGCCCAATACTTGCCATTGAGTTGTGCCTTGGTCACAACACATGGACGGCAACCATCAGGTGACTTGTAACACAGCTGCTTTATAGAAAGGTTACATATGATCCTTGTCTTTTACTTTCCCCTTCTACAGTGTAGATCCCAAAATACTTCTCGGATGCTTTGGTGCTGTGATTGTCTGCTCAGTGTGGCTTTGCTTGACCACGTCCTCCATTTTTACAGAGTAACAACAGTACTAGCTGACACAGGTCAAGAGTGCATGAGTTGGCCAGGTTTTGATGAAAGCACCTTCCTCTGGATCATACAGACACTCTGGTATACTGTATTATTATGAGTTTAAACGTCTCATTTCTATTTGAATATGAACTTTCCCCCCACAGCTCAAATAGAGTATGTACATCGCTTTGGATAAGTGACGTTGCTTCCTCGTCTTCCAATTTTAGCTACAACTTCATACCTTTTCTTATTGCTCCTAAACCACACTAAAACTTTCCATATTATAATGATGCTCATTTGTAATACCAAGAGAATAAAAGCTTTGTATTATTGCAAAAGTACGAGTGAGGGATTTTTCTGATAACGCCACCAATAAGCAATTAACCATCCGGTATGAAACATAACAGAAATCCAATCTAGTTTGAAAACTATGGGAAAGAGCGTTGTTTATGGATTTGGCTTCAGACCCTTGATCTAGAGTTCAAACATAGGATGACCTTCATTTTGCTACAAACATAGATAGACAGCACACTTTGAAAGAGCCAATCTGTGTTAGTCAGTCAAAACAAACACAATCTTTAAAGCACATTTTTCCTCTTTTTCTAGCCTATATCAAACTCTGCTCTGTACAGTGTGACATTTCCAAACATGGCCCCCAAAGCTGTAGAACCAAAAGAGTCACAGTGATGAACTTAAAGACAACTAACATACTTTTACAACTCTTGTCTTACCAACTTCGGTAGTTGTCTATTTAAACTCTCTTTTCATGCAAACCAATTTCAGGCAATGTTACTCATCATTTTGAGGTGTTTAACGACAGTGTTTGGTAGGAACTGTTCCTCCAGATAAGCCAAATACTGTTATTTGATCTTTAGATTGTATATATTTTTAAATCCAAGGAACAGTTAGACTAATAATATAATGACAGGGATTACTGTTGCAGTTACTTTCAAGATGTCAAGGAAACAAGATGTCAATATCAACCGCCCATCTGGGCCCTGACTAAGAACTGAAACCACAATTTCTCAATAAGTGTGTTAAGAAAGCGATCACTTATTTTTCTCAGCACTTTCTTGAATTTAGGTACAAAATATTTAGTTACTAACAACCAACTCTGGTCAATGATATTTATTAAATGGTGTAACTGTCCAATGAATAACAGTCTATAACATCCGTCACACTGTCAGTCACCGTGTGCTCAGGAGAAAGAGCAGCAAGCTCTCCTGAGGTAGGTACCTGAAGATTTAGCAACATAAGGAGCTCAATATCAGCCCTGCACACTTAGATCAATATTCACTTAAGCTTAAGAGACCAGGATCATTCCCATCATGGTGCGTTTTTATCCACTCGCTGTAGGGTAAGGTGAGCGGGTTGGTCTCTCTCGTTGAAAAGCAGCAGGAATCATTGATATCTCTGCCGACACACATTTGGGCAAAGATAACCAATTAGCAACTGATCCCTGGCAAAATATTTCACCCTTTTTTTCCCATATGCAGTCCAAGAGGCCCTGGGCATATACCATTAAATCTACACATGGAAACTTATATACTCCCTTTGTTTCCTCAACAAGTCTACTCCTCCTGGAATCAGGATAAATATACATCTAACTCTAACTCAGCTTGAAGTGTAGCTTAAAATGCTAAATTCGCTTTTCATATGTTGATTTGAATTTATTTAAGAAGTTTTTCTTTTGAAAAAATTAAAACATGAGATTAATACAACAAAAAATAGGGCATTGACTTTAGTTTATTAACCAGCATTTATTCTATTTTTTTAAAAATAGAATGCATCTTTGTCTTTCTTTTGTGTTTAAGCAGAACGAAATGTTATCTTTTCACCTACAAACACTGATTACAGAAGTTATACAGAAGTCTTTTAACTGATTTGAGCCTGTGTCGAAATTTGTAGATCATGCTTCTGTATTTTTACCTTAGTTCTTCAAGCTTTTCTTAAAGGTTAGTTAATGTAGTTGCCAAATATCATTTCCATAATCTTTTTTTCCATAGAAATGAAAGTCAGTCTGGGCAGCGGATACCTAAACATGCTAACTCACCGAATACATCTGGGCTGGACAAGCTTACATCTATCATTTTTAACAACCCTGTAAACTGGACTTTATGATTTTTTTCTGATTTGAGGATAAACCTCTGTCAGATTGCAGCAGGAAAAAGTAAGTGAATGTCTCCTGACATAGAGGAGGTTAAAAGGCTGGTCCTGTGCACTAGACCTAGATTTTGGATTAGTCATGGGGATCCCAAGTGTCACCCAGCATGGGGTAAGCTCCAAAAGCTAAAGTCAATACCTCTTCTGGAGTCACAGAGGGAGGACTGGGTGCCATTAATTTGGCAATTATGCTCACCAAGTTTGTGGCGCGTGACCGAACACAACCTCTCTGACTCGAGACATTTCTTCATGAGAGTAATATTCAGGCTATATAGGTCATGAACGCACGGCCTTAGGTTGGTAGATGCTGACCACTCTCTGTGGGGGCCCTGCAAGGATCTCAGCCCTGGGGGAAATTGAGCCAGCATGGACTCTCTTATCTTGCCTGGTCCGCTTGACCCCATCCACACAACAACCAAATGAAATCTGTGGGGGGTGAGGAGAGGGAGCTGCAGTGATAACTACCATCTGTAAGACCTCAAACGAATCACTACCATTTCAGCCTTAAAAAACTAGCTATTGATAGTCCTTATTGACCAATGCTGCCAGAGTTTCTGTCATCTCGACTACTCTTAGGTAACTTCTCATGAGCTTGCCTCAAGACATGTCGCAGCACTTCAGATGGATCATAATTTCCCATACTTCCATATTAGGAATGCCATTCTTCATGTTGAAGGACAGATGCTGCAGTTTGTTTGTTTTTTCACACCCTTTCACTTGCATTACTCTGTGCTTTTATAAAACTGGTGCTGGGCTGTCAGCAATGGACTGTGTTTGTACTCACAAAGGCTACAATCCTCTAGCAGTCAGCCCAGATTTAGGCCCCTCACCCTCATGTCAATCCCTTCTTAAGTTTCCCCACAACTTGTACTAGAGTCTAAATTCTGTATCAACAAACCACTACTGTCTTGTACAAAATAATCTTACACTCTGACAGGGAAATACTGAACCAATCAGAGAGACAGTCTGCTTGTTGTTTGATAAGGATAACTCAAACCCAACTCAGCTGACTATCTTTTCTGCAGATTAACAAGAACAAACTGTGTTGATCAAGGTTGTACGGTAAGGTTGTACTGGCAGCCTAAACTCGCAAGTATTTGAAATTTTCTTTCAGTTCAATGTTGCAAAAGCAAAATGTTATTTGCTAGTGCTACATTTTAATAATTCAAGTGCTTTTGGTCAAGCTGTATTCTCCTTTCGTGCACCGCAATCCTGGGACGAAATACCTAGCACCATATGTGAACTCCCAACCCTCACTCTTTTACTAAACATCTCAAGTCATGGCTGTTGGAAAACCAGATCTGCCATCATAATCACGTCTGAAACTGTTTGTCATGTCTAATTGGCTAATTGCTTTTGGTGTACCACTCTTAATTTGTTCTAGTGTATTGTCATATCGTCATTCATGTATGCAAATTTGTTACTAAATGGTATACATAATACATTTATGTATACAAACCATGTGCAATTTTAGACACACATCTGCTAGTGAAATCGTGTGCTATGGGCATTGAGCAAATTCAATGTAATTTCGGACTTATACACTCGTCACTTTAACAAGCTGTACTGTAGCAAATTGCACTTTAAACACCTTTAGCACATGACACACTAGTTAGCACTTAAGCACTTTAAAATTCTCCTTTAATCTTTTTGGTCCCCTTACTATCGGTCACTTAGTTTTCTGTCTGCGTACGTTGATTATGTATTTTATGTGTATGTTGTCAGTGCGTTGTTCTACTGTCTTGGTCATGTTGTTTGTACTTTTAACATTATTGCTTTTATGTTTCACATCAACCTGCCAATGGGACTGGGGATGGCAATTAGCCATTTGGATATAATCCCAAATATTTTCATGTAACTGTTCATCAATATATACTGTTCCCATTTTCCATCCATCCATTTTCTATCGCTTATTCCCGTTCCTTGGGTCGTGGGGGCACTGGAGCCTATCCCAGCATCTTTGGGCGAAGGCAGGGGACACCCTGGACAATTCGCCAGTTCATCTCAGGGCTGACATATAGAGACGAACACCCATCCATGCTCACGTTCACACCTACAGGCAATTTGAAAGTGGCCAAATAACCTAAACCCACTAAGGCATGTTTTTGGGATGTTGTAGGAAACTGGAGTACCTGGAGTAAAACCACGCAGACACAGGGAGAACACGTAAACTCCACACAGAAACACTTGAGCCAGATTTGAACTCAGGACCTTCTTGCTTTGAGGCGACAGTGCTAACCACTACATCACTGTGCTGCCCTGATCCCATCTTTAAAGATAAATAAGTAGAAAATAGAAATAGAAAATATTTGTAGTGCCCTTTACATCAAATGACCTCAGAGGGGTACATCTTAAAAGCAAAGAAATGTTGCAGTATAGGAACTGGTTAAGAAAAAACAAGAGAAACATATCATTAAAAGTATAAAAGCAAGATATGCACGAATTTATGAGGAGGGACCAAAAGTTGTGCTAAAAAGGAGAGTTTTGAGTCCTTCTTTAAACCTGTTAGTGTTAGATGAAAGTTAAAGTGAGGTGGGTACAAAAACACTATAAAAACTGCATTTCAGACAAGTCAATCTCCAAATTACTCATGTAGAAGTGTAGTGGGTGCAATATTGCTATCATGATGAAATGATATGTTAAACAAACGCCCTGCAGAGGTCATCCTGAGGTCACATTGGACAGGTGAGTGAACACACCTGCCCCTCTCCCTAATACCAATAACATACATGCTAAACACCAGATAAAATGATTCTACAAGTGTGAATATTTTCTCTGTAGCTTCTGTCCTGTTGTATAGTGACTAAAGTCAGAAATCTAAGTAGACTGAACCTCTTTTAAAGCAGTAAATTCACATACTCAAACGTCCCTAACAGCTTCACTGACCAGCCGGCTGCAGGCACCTGCTCAGGCTAACATGCTAAGCTAACGCATCCCTGAAACCACAACACGAAACTGTCTTATAGCTTCAATGGATGGGCTATGTCAAGCAGGAATCCAGACAGCATCCATACATCAGTTAAACTCCATAAATTATGAGAAATAATAAAGAAACAGCAGGGTTCAGGAGGTAACGCTCACCATGTTGATGCAGTGCAGCTGAAACGGACTCTACCCCGACAACACTGAGCACCCCGAGCCGAAAATCAAGCCGCGAGCAGCACATAAGCCCTTCTTGCGATGGTGGTGCAAAAAATGAAAGGGTTTTTCATTCAAAGTGTCACCGTGTCATCGCAGAAAGGGGGCTATATGGTCAGAATTCAATGGTTCCAGCCTCCGTTCCTGAGTATTTTCAACTGCAGTAGAGGTCACGCTAAAATTTTGGGTAAGCAGGCGTCCACAGCAATGCCTGTACAGCTGAAATAAAATCTTGTTATCTCATTATCCAAACTTTGTGAAAATTACCTCAGATCTCTGCTAATTAATTGCTTTAAATGCGCTATTAGGCAGTTATATTTTTAAATTCGATTATGTATCGCACTGTTTATGTCATTCTGATCAGGCATATCTTATGACTACTGTTTTACTGTGAACAGGACCGCAGCAACCGGAAAAGAGCTCTACACGTGACAGTTTGGTACCTGCAGCCGATCATAACTGTGCTTCTTATCTGATATTATTTCTTACTTGACACGGTCTACAGGCAGCTTGCTTTTGTAACTTGTAAAGTTATCAGGTTTTTTCTGATCTCCTTAATAAATAACTGTTCAGGTTTTTTCCTCAGGTGCAATAATGTTGACATAAACCAGAGGAGAAGCCAACATTACATCAACTTTAAAGTCTCTGCACCGGCAACCAGCATCTTTTTTGTTGTTGCTGATAAAGCTCTTAACAGTCAAAAACTTATTTATCAGATTTATTAGTACAGATACGCCTCCTTTTTTTGCAATACGGCATCAATTCGCAATGGTTAATATGCCTTCGTAACCTGCACTACTGCTTTTTGTGCATACCATTTTACTATTTGTGTTGTTTATAGTGTAAATACTTGTATATTATCTCTATATGTTTACTTATTTTATCTATTTATCTCTATATTTTCACGTATCCATTATTTATCTCCTCTTTTACAGTATTTGCACTGGAGTACTGTGACAAAAGCAATGTCCCCCAGGGAATTATTAAAGTATTTCTTATTCGGATTGTTATGGTCATGTTTATGTCCTTTAAATACCACATAAATTTTTTATTTATGTGGTATTTAGTGTAAGTATTGTAACATATTGTGGAATGTGTACTGTGTTTTATTGGTGCAGCCTCTGTTTTTTTTAATTGCCCTCCTGGATTAATAAAGTATCTATCTATCTATCTATCTATCTATCTATCTATCTATCTATCTATCTATCTATCTATCTATCTATCTATCTATCTATCTATCTATCTATCTATCTATCTATCTATCTATCTATCTATCAAGGTCTTTAGGTAGTAGTGTTTTAAGGTTCCTAAAACATAAACAAAAACGTATTGTGAAGCTGGTTTCTTGTTGCTACTGTCCACATCTGAAGACCTGCAGAGAGAATCTATGTTTTTTAACAACAAACTTAAGACATTCCTTTTCAGCCAAGTGTCTAACAGCGTTTTATTATTTACTTATTTTAGTTTGTTTAACTAATTCGTATAAGTGTCTTATAACTGTGATATGATATTTGGTATGTTTTGATCATTTATTTATTTAGCTATTAATATACATATCTCTTTATTTTTCATTTTATTTCAAATATACAGTGTATCTTGTCTGTGGTTTGTTCTGTGTTTGTTTGTCATAAACCTTGCACACTTTGATGATGCTGTTGACGTAAAGAACTTTGTCCTTAACTTCGTGCTATACTAATAAAGCCTGACCGATTGATCAATAATAACCTTATTGTAAGCCGTTCTTTACATTTACACTCTTGCAAATGTTGCACATGTGTGTAAACTTTTAAATTTAGGAATTCATGTGGAGAATGTTTAAATAATGTAAACCTATTAAGTGCAAAACTTAACTGTAAATTAGATTTGATCTGTTTTATACTTCATCGTGTGAATAAATGGAAGTATGAAACATCTTGAAAGTATGTTACACTCTTTGTTTTCAAGAGTGTAAATGAAAATGAAAACAAAACTATCAGTTAAAAATTGAACATGACAGCATAGCGTGATGTATTTGGACACACAGACTAAAACAGTGGTTCTCAACTGGCCTCACTCTGGGACCCACATTTTCCCATGGTCCTTAAGTCACGACCTGCTTAACACAAATACAACTGTAGAGCAAAGTGCATTTCAAAGCAGATAAACTGAGGATGACAACTACTAAAGTTGCATATACAGAAAATATCAAATATCAAATTGCACAAAATAAGCTATTTTTCCAAAATAAAAGACATGTCAAACATCAGATGCGCATTAAATATTTTCTTTTTTGACCAGTTGTTTACGACCGATTCAGAACCTGTCTGTGACCCACTTTTGGGTTGGGACCTACCAGTTGAGAACCACTTGACTAAAGAACTGTAAAGCCCTGAAACATTAGACATTTGGTTCTTTAATGTAACATAATTAGACTGATACTAAGATGCTGATATTCCTATTTTTTTTTTTTTATACTCAGCAATGTCAATTATTTTTTCTTTTATTTATCTTTGCTCTTTACATTATAATGAATTCTGAAGGCACTCAGTCACATCTGTCAAAGCTTAAATATGTTCAAGAAAACCAATCCTACCAGAGTTCGCGTCGTTGCTGCGTTCGAGTTACCTCGGAAGTCAGAAGTCGGAGCTGAAAATGACGTCACACCCGAGTTACCATTGTAGTTTTCAGTTACCAAGTCGGAAAAAAGCTAGTTATTTTAGCGCTTGCCTTGTCCATATATAACAAGGGCAAGGCGAGCGCTGAAATAACTTTCATAGATGTAGCCATCTTGTTGCAGACTTGGTAACTGAAACGCTGGTAACTCGGGTGTGATGTCATTTTCGGCTTCGACATCTGGTTTCTGAGGTAACCCGAACGTAGCAGCCTCCTCCTCTTGCGTTATGACGTATAAGGAACGTAACATTTTTTTTAAGTTTTTGAATGTACGAATTTCAACCGCCGCGCCACCGAGCTGAAGCTGACGGTTGTAAAATCAACGTTTGAGTTGGTTTTAACTTTTAAAACAGACCACAGACCCGTATAAAACCGACCACCAGTTATAAAAACAATGAACTAAGTAGCAACACCGCAAGCTGTTGCCGGTTTGGTGTAAAAACGTCGAAGCAGTGAAGGACCACTTTACCTTGAATATCGCGAAAATGGAGGGAAGACAGGAGTGGACATGGTGCCAGGATACAGTCTATGGGCGAGGACGTCGTGATGACCAAGAGGACGTTCAAGAGGATTAAAAGGCTGTGGAACCAAGAGGGAGCTACATTGGCACGGTGAGTTAGCGGCCTAAACTTTATTGTCTTTTAATGTATGGCTTGGTAAGCTTTGGTTGAGGGCAGCTGCCATTTTGCTTGAGTTTTGCATAGTAAGGTACTATGCATGAGCTGTATGAAACTATGGTTGGTGTTGAATCTTGTTCTCTATAATATGAATTTGTATCTGTGCATTGCAGTGGCTGTCAAGATTCTTATTTTTTTTTTTTTTATAAAGAAGGAAATTGATTAAGTTTGTGTTGCTCATTAAGAAATGTAGAAAGGCAACTGCAGTTTTGCTTTGCTCATCAGACCTTGTTTTACTATAATTCTTCTTAATGTTTGCCGTATTATACCTTATATTGCTGGTGTTAACTAACATTCACACAAACTAAACCTTGTTGTCTTTCATTGTGTGGCTAGGTAAGCTTTGCTTGAAGGCAGCTGCCATTTTGCTTGAATTTTGCATAGTAAGGTACTATGCATGAGTTGTATACTATGGTTAGTAGAAATCTTGTTCCCTTATCGTGAATTTGTATGCATGAATTGCAGTGGCTGTCAAGATTCCAGTTTTTTTTTCATAATGGAGGAAATTGATTAAGCTTGTGTTGCTCATTAAGAACTGTAGAAAGGCAATTGCAGTTTTGCTTTGCTCATCATACCTTGTTAATACTACTTATTGTTTGTTGTTGTTATACCCTCTGTTGCTGCTGTTTATCCACATACACACCTCAAAATGCTGAACACTCTTAGAAACGTTATTTGTGTTTGCTTTTGATGAAACTATGTGAAACAGACATCAACATGTGGGTGTAAAAAAGCTTAGATGTATTTGCACATGCGCAATTGTCATCTAAGCCCACCTTCCTTATTGCAGGGATACATACCCCACCCCCTCATTGCATTACACCAGCCTTTCCTGGCATTTAGATGAGCACGTGCGCTGCAGGTGTGTGCTTCCACTCTGTCACAATCTACACACTCTCACATTTCCCTCGTTAATTAACATTCTGTCCTGAAGCCTAAGGGGTGTCACCCACAATGGCTGTTTTGCTAATGATGATGTCAGCAATGAATGCAATTTCGTTAATGCGATGCCGTAATTCACGTGAGAAAGGAAATTACACCAGGACACATAAAATCTTGAGGACCTTTAAAACGTGTATCTTCTCACAAAAGTGGCTCTAAAGATAGATGATGTATCTCAGTATCTGGGTTATTCCATACAGTTTTCACTGATTTTCCTTTTATTTATAATTGAAGGGAGTCTCATACTGTACATTGTCCTCTTTGTATTCCACATCACACTCAGCACTATTACTGCTGCTGTTTGAACTCTATTCTCTCCGGAGCCTGTGTTCAGTGTTGTCTGTTCTTTTTAGTCAGGCTTGTTATTTTTAGATGAAACATAATAGCTAGGATCTTCAGTGTACTGCGAGAGTTTCACACTCCTTCCTAGTGTTTAATCCATATGACATCTCCTCCGTGCCTGCTGGCTTCTTTGAGTTTCAACTCACAAGCCTTACAATATATATATATGATGAGAATTTTACAGTAAAAATCTCAGCCTAGTCAATCAAGTAGACTCATTGTTCAATGTCACCATTCATTTTTAATGGCAGCTCTTTTTGTGTGTGAGTGCTAGTGCACATTATACATCGTTTCCTTCTTTTATTAATCAAACAGCAGTTTGAAATGTGTGCCACTGATCTCAGCAGTATACCTCGAAGCAGAGAAGGAAAATAGAACAAAAATCCATGTCAACTCCTCAGTAGTAAGACAGAAATTGGTTCAGAATGTAATTCTCTTTGGTGCAGCGCCTCCTACACCATTCTCTGTAATCTACAAGAATGCAAATTACAATGCAAATGCAAATACTCCTGAATAATTTATGTGTTGCGTAGTTCCTTCACAGAAACTGGGTGCATTTTGCTTAAATAGAATAATGTAGCAGTCAAAGCATACATTTGGATTACCACTGAAATGTTGCATAAAAATCCACTGTGAAAGATTTAGTAGGAAAATGTAGCGAAAGTATCCAGGTATAGTCAAATTTATGTGAACAGACATGTCTTTGTCTTACAAATTAAGCATTCAATTTACAAAACCTCTATAATTGCAGTTTGGTGTTGATGTATGATTTGTGACCCTATGGTCTGGTGAAACGACAACATTAAGAAAAAGCTAGCACAGGTCATAGCTGACCGCAGTTACTTTTCAATAGATGGATTATTTCTTACAATATTCATACCGCCACTCTCATTATCATCGAGTTAATTACATCCAACATACTGTGTGTTCATGCCAGTCCAAACTGCTCTTGATATTAGATTCCATTCTCTGTTTCTGCATCCAGCACAGTATGAAGGCCTCCCAGTCTCTTTGTTCAATTGATCAGCTTTTAAATTAAATTGAACCTCATGCACATTTTCATTTTTGTGTGGAGACCGGGGAAAATACAACACTTTCAATTAATCATATCCATATACACTTGAACACATACATTTAGTTTTTTTTTTCCCTCAAGAAAAAAAAAAAAGCGTCTCTTTCTATCCTAACGTGAGGCTGTGTTCAAGCGTCTTCCTCAGCGGTTTTTCCATCAGGGATTGTAATTAAGCAACAGCATTCATGAGTGGCCATGCTCATTTAGCCCGCGTCTGAGCTTAGACAGCTTTAGAGGGATGAAAGAACAAATCCTAGTGGAACAAGGAAATGTATGCTATAGCCAAAGTGAAAACATTGCAGACGGAATAACAACTACTTCAAAACTTTGAACGCAGATTTTGAGAAACAGTATGCAGTCTGCAACACTTATTTTCATTCGATTTAAAGGACATGTGTGCTCTCTGTTGTTTCTAATGAAGTGATTTATTTTTTTTACTGTTGTATACGTGAATGGGCTGAAGATTTCTTTGAACAGTTCTCAAAAAAAATAGGTCTGTATTTTATATGTAGTTTAGAAATATTCTGAATTTCATACTTTTCTTGTGCAAAGCTACAGTAGAACAAATCAATATTGACTATTTTATCTCTAATTTTTTTTTATGTTTATTTTTATATTCACAAATTAGACATTGCCTCATTCAAAATGCGAATTTGTGTGCATGGTGTCTTGATCACGGTTGAGGCTTTAATTGGGGTGAAGAGAATAACACTGATAAGTACGATGAATAGTGAAATATGTTGCTGACGTTGGTGCTTTTTAATGGAATAACATATAATCAGTCTAAAAAACAATTTGAGAATAACATGCTTTAACACAATTTCATACAGCGGTGCCAATTTACGTTTGTTGTACTATAACAGTTAAGGATGTGTAATTAATTCTCATGCTGTTGTTCGGGGGTTGTTGCCAGGGTAATGGAAATCTTTA